AGAGAATTTAGGTCGAGGCTCGGCTTCTGGTCTCTGAAGGGGGCTCTCCATCACCCGAGCGGGAAATTCGTTAGCAGGAATTTGGGTCAGAGCGCGGCAAACGCAACAGGAAATCGATTGGTTTGGGTTTCGGTTTAGGTTTTCGTTTCAATTTCGGTCTGGCCGCAGCCAAACAGTTAAAAAGCTCGAGTGCCTGACCACTTTCCTTCCCCAATCTTTCTCTATTTTTCTCTTGTATACCGTTTTTTTTTATTATTATAGAGGCGAACTGATTGCTTAGGTTTTTCCCCCGCCTACAAGGCAATAAACTCCCACAATGACACACCTACACCTCCCGCGTGCCCCACACCTGAATGTCTGAATACCTGAATCATCGGTCATGGCCAAAAGCACAGCTGCTGACTCGTCGCCGGTAATCTCGATGATGCACAGATGGCTTTGGAAGAGCGGAAAATAGCAGCAACAGCAGCAGCGGCACAAGCAGCAGAATAAAGTAAATCCCATTAAAAGTGCACCCAGAATCGATTTGAAAAGCTATCAACATAAATTGGTATACCCTTTAAAAAAAGGTGGGTATATACGACAAAGGTCAACACTAACATCTTCAAGTTGCTAGAATGATATGAAAGAAATATAAAAAATACATATATAACCAGTTTATGAAGGAAACATAAATCGTAGCTAAAGGAAATTATAAACAATTTTCCGTTCGAATCAATAAAAACCGATTTATTTGTGAGCATTTCATTTATTTTTTGCCAAATTCCAAATCTTTATCTATAGGATATCCACTAGCTGAATATTTAAATCCCCTTCAAGCAAAGAACGGAAAATTCACTTGACATAACATTTCGGCAGAAACAATAAAGATAAAAAATATTGCCACTGAATGCAGTAGAATAGCCAACGGAAAGGAATTCAATTTGTCAAGACACAGACACTAATGTAGATGCAGATGCAGGTACATCATGAGATACAAATGTATGCGGAGAGATACATGTGATGCCGTGATGATGCTCTAGATATTGTTTGGGTACGTGCAAAAATAAAAGAACGCCAGAGCAGATGAAAAAAAAAGTTCAAGGCTAACTTTTCGTGGGCAACACGCGCTACGGTGAAAAAAACAAAAACTCAGCCAACTGCTGTCGCTTGTCGCGCTATAAATTCTACTTATAGATACAGATACAGATACAAGGCACCCGCATCCCCCTCATCTTTAGCAGCTGGCACGATCGGCAGGCACAGATACAAATTGGATCTGGGAAATATGTCACAGACAATTTTTGCCGCATCTCTTTGGCTATTTTGGTTGGCTTCAAATTAAATTCTAGTAAAAACATTGGCGCAGTTTATAAATTACACAAAAGCGATGAGGAAAAGCATTGCAGAATGTTTATCAAAAATCGAAATACCACAAGGCATTTCACGTTTATTTATAAATAAAGAGCTCGACACTTAAAATACCATCAGACCTAAGCAAAAAAAAAAAAAAAAAAAAACTAGGAAAAGAAAGAGAGTCGCATAATGGAAACGTATCATCGATCAATCCATCGGTGGACGTGTTCCACTTCCTTGGGAACATGAAAAAAACATGAAATTTCCTGCTGTAAAAATAAAACGAAGTGAACCGCAAACAACAACCAACACGAGCAACACAAACAACAATTTCAAACCGAACCTATCCCAAGTGCACTTTTATTGCGTACGCTGACCGCAGCCAAATAAATTATTTGTAAATGTCTGAAAATGCAATTCAATTTTTAGGTAAGCAATAAAAATTAACAACTGCGCAAGCGAAATAAAATCGTAGATAAGCTAGTTGGCAGGTGAAAGGAGGAGGATTAGTGTCACTCAACTTTATGATTTGTTTTCTCTTGCGATAAGCCAACCAAGAGTTCAAAAAATGTTTTAAAAAAAAAAAAACGATGGATATTCGAGAAAGTGTCCTTCTGCTGATAAAGGCACCCCAAATATTGAAGGGTGTCGACAAAGTAACTCAAACAACGATATGGAAAATTATAATATGGAAAGAGATCTCTGATAATTTTTTTATGGGTTGTAAATTGTTATCTTTAACTCACATGTGAAAGAAATCCTTACTTAAAGCTGAAGCAGAAACCTCTTGAAAGAATACATTAAATTAATTGCTTGGTAAAGCAGAAGATAGGAATAATGGTGTTCACCTCCCACTCCCGTATTGTTAATCAGAATGGAAAAAGTTTCATTTACTCGTATCTTCCATAAGAATAAATGAGCAGCGAAGCAGTTTTGTGATGACAGCCAACTTTCCGCAACCCTCAGACAAATCAGGCAAATTAAAACGAGATACACGGCCAACTTTGCCAAGGATAATTTGCTACGCCTCGAACTTGAATGCATTTCAGACCCTGACTTTGTCTGAGTATTACCCTCTTTTTTTTCTTCTGATTTGATTTGAATTTGATTGCTCTGATGGGTCAAGTAGAGTCGGATGAATCAGCGCCGGGTCAGGCAAAATGCGCCAGATCAGACGGGTCACGTACGACTGGCGACCGCAAGGAAAACTTGCGCTAATGCCGCGTGTGAGCCCTAATCAAAGTCTGGGATATGCTCTACGTGCCGCATTCAGCCGTAGATAAAATCAACATAGAGATACTATTTGCCCAGCGAGAGGGAAACAAGGAAATAGGAAATGTGACGACACATGGTGCTGGCATAACTATAAATTATATTTACTTTTAGCTGCAATTAACCAAAATGACATTTTTAATTAGCCGAGGGGAAAATTCACTCTTTACTGGTTTTTAGGCCGTGGTGAAAGTTTCGCCTCCTTCTTTTCGGTCGAGGAGTTCAAAAGTTGGTGACTGAAAAATTCCCAATTTGCTTGCTTAGCTTCAGTTTCTAATTATAAGCCAGCCAAGCGGGCGCATAATTATAAACAAACAAAGCAAAACAAAGACGAAAGACGAAAAACTCGAACCCAAACTCAAAATGTATCCCAAAGATAAAACACAGGCGGCAGCAGCGGTTTATGACCTTTCAGCAAACAAAAATGAGCCGCCAAAATAAGTGTGAGGAGCTAAAAGAAGGCGAGAGGAGACCATTTGGCCTTGGCCATCAAATATTTAGTAAATACTTTTCAAGCGCTGCTGGTCCTTTTACACAGCAAAAAACAAGACCAATCTTTATAAATACATATATGTAAATAGTATTTTCGTTCAAAATGTATTTTCAGATCTTTTCCCTTTAATAATTTGTATGTCTTTACTTTTATATTAAACGAATTACGCACTATGGTTTCGATAATTAAAATAGTTATTATTAGTTAAATATAGGTAATGTTCTCACAATATTTTTCACTGTTTATTTGCTTAAACTTTCTTCGGAAGTGGGCGTTACCAAGGCTTTTGACTATTTAGATTTTAATGCCTTTTTGCCCTTCTACTTGGCCAGCTTATCGCCTTGAGAGCTCTTAAAATACACAAAAGCGATTAAAAACGGCCAAAAAGTGCGCCTTGCCATGCCTAATTTCTAATTTCTGCGACGCAGTGGGGTGTCTGTCCCAATTATAGATTAATCTTTGTCCAGAGTCAACATCTCAGCCAAATTGGACAGAGCCTGAATCATCCGCATGCAAATAAGCCGCTAATTCTTATCAGCCAGGCCAGAAGAACGTCAAAGAATAGCAACCAAAGATGAGGCATTACTCATTTCGGGGTCACTGGAACAAAAGCATGGCACAAGACGTGTGGAATGAAATAAAGCAAGCAAAAACAAACCCACAAAACAAACCGGTTTTATTTGCAGATCGCCATCCAAAGATAAAAGCTAATATACACAAATTTCTATAATATATGATTTAGTATTGGTGAGGTTTATCATATTTCTACCTGAATTCAGCCAGAGTTGATAAATATTTGAAGTAATAGTAGATTTTTATCGCAATGTAAAAAATTAAAAAAATAAATAGAACAACTGACAAGTGTTGTTTTAACATTTAACGCGTTTGTTTAGATGAACGTTCTTAATCTTAAGTTTTATTCTGAAATAAAAAGTTTCAAATGAAATACTCTGTTCTATGTATAACCCTTGTTGTAGTTTAAAAATTTTCTTATCTCTAATATAATGTTGGGTTAGGTTGTGATTTGGTTGCGGTCAGAGTTATTATGGCTTAATTTTTGAGTTTGTTTGTGTCCCTCTTTGCAATCTATTTGCTCTAGGAATTTCAGATTATAAATTTTATATGGTTCATGCTGAGCTTTCAAATATTTCGCAATCAAAAGCTGATTTGGACATTTAAAAAGGTCAAGTTCGTAAAACCATAAAATCGATGAATTCTTGAGCGCCGAAGTCAACATTTTCCATACTGCACTTTAAACTTTTTCGATTTCTTGGGCAGAGGCAAACAAATAAAAGTCAGCTTTGCCAGCGGCAACAACAAAAGCCTTTTAAATAACAGTTAGCGCGCTTGCTTTGCGTTGTTGCTTTTGTTAACTAAAAATAGGAACAAAACAAAAACCAATCGAACGGAAACCCAGCACGAAAACAAATTGGCAAAAAATCAACAATAAAGCTGTAAACAATCTGCTGATTTGTATTATCTATTAAAAGGTTAAGAAGTACATTCAGCCAATAACTGTATCCCCTATGATTTTATTTAATATTCCATTGACATTTTACAATATATATTTAAAATAACAATGTTTATATTTTCTTATTATGTTCTAGGTGTTATAAAACCAAAACCTATTTATCTATCTACTTAGGACCACGGTCACAATTTTCATTTGAACTTAGCAGCTGGTTTTCAGTTTGAAGGCTTTTAAGTAAAAGTTTGTTATTCCGTCGACTAGTTAAATAACAGTTACCAGTCTTGTATGAGTATTGCCGCAATTGGCGTTTTTGTGTTTGTTTTTTTGTTTAACACTATAAATAGCAAACAAAACGAAGCAGATTGGCAAGGGGCTGCTTTGTTTTTACTGTCTCTTCGTCGCAATATGTGAACATTGTATATCACTCACCTTGGGATGCAATTGGGAGGCGTTCGGTCCACTTCCCAGGCGGCAAAGAGCTTCATGGGCACGGGTTTCTGGCCATTGGCTCCTCCGCCGGTCATTCCACCTCCGCCAGACAATCCCGCCGTGGTCGACATTCCGCCGGATCCGGAGATTCCTCCTCCACCGGAGCTACCGCCTCCAATGCCACTTTGCATGTTAAGCGGTCCTCCTCCACCGGTTCCGCCGGTGCCGCTGATAACGGCAAATTTATCCACCAACTTGGATGACTTATCGACCATCTTCATGTTGTTTTCTGTGCTGGTTTCCGAATTTATATTCGTGTTCGCGAGGTGTTTTTATGGACTGCTGTTTATGTGCTATTGTTGCACATTATTTCTATGTCCACTGGGGAATATTTCTCGGGCAGGCACATAATTTTCTGATAGTTTTCACAATTCAATATTTTCAAAGTTTTCAGATTTCTACGATTCTTTATTTTATTTTCTTTATATGGGTTAGCGCGCCAATACATATACACATACACGAACACGTACGCACGTTGGGAAAGGGCGTGCCGCCGCCTTAAAAAAGAAGCGAAAAGCTGTAGTATACACAGTGAAAAACGAGGGGGGCGGTTGCTGCCGTTCGGTTCAGGGAGTTTTCTAACGAAGGGGGCGCGCTGCAACTGCACTCGCACTGAATCAATATGTACGTATACACGCTCTGCGAATCTGTTGCGGATTAGACGGCTGCAAGGGATACTGATTCGGATTTAGATTCGGATTTGGGTTCGGAGCGGACTCGGAAGCTGCTGCTGCCTTGGCTGCAGCCTTAAATCGCGTCGAAAGTGCCGCGAAAGAACCGTCATGCTCCAGAGTAAAAGTGCGAATGTCGCTTTATAAATCTGGCCACAGTTCAGCTCTCTTTCTCTCTCTTTTAGTTGCTCCTCTCTCTCTCTGTCTCTAGCCCCAACAATAACAATATGTGCAAATGCTATGCGCACACACACTTGTACTACGATTTTTGCAAATCCCCCTCTCGCGCGAGTATGGGTGTGCGCACTTTATGCTTTGCTCTCTCTTGCGCGCATAAACAAAAAGAAAACGCCACGAATTTCGGGGAGCGCGAGCAAGGCGGCACTCTCTCTTTCTTTGGCACTCGCGCGCGGCTTTTTCTTGATTTATTCACATAAAGATTCGGTTTGATTACTATTTACGTTTTAAGCGGTTTTCATCAATTATTTATGACTTTGGGCACGTTTTGATGGGTAAATTGTTGCGGAGCAGCGACGGCGCAGCTTCCGCTTGGTGCAATGGGGAGCGGAGTAGTGTGGCCGAAGAAAGAGCCCTTAAAAATACCAACTGGACGGATTAGCAAAAACATATACTAATAGGCCAATAACCGGAAAATTTATGGTAATTGCTATTTAATCTTTAAAAATTGGAAACATTTTTTAAAATATTGATAAAAAGAATAATTCCAAAGCCTAAAATATGTCATCTTTATAATTTACAATTTTTATACAACACTGTTATATACAGGCGGTCTAAATGATAGGGATGGGCTCGTGATTGAGAGTTGTTTACAACTTTTGCGCTTGTTTAAACCGATTAAAATAATTCTAATTAATGTTTATCCACCACTTTCTTTTCCTAGAGCTACATTTAATTTTTATTGAAAACAATTTTTTTTATTTAAATACATTGATTTATTTTTTTGGTTAGTATATTTTCCGTTGCCACTAGCACGGTAACACTGCCAGCCATACTTTGAAAAAAATTTACTTTGTTTACTATCCGCTGCCGGCGATTTATAAACAATGGCAGATGCTTGGGATATAAAGTCGCTAAAGACGAAGCGGAATACTCTCCGCGAGAAGCTGGAGAAACGCAAAAAGGAGCGCATTGAGATCCTGTCTGACATCCAGGAGGATCTAACGAATCCCAAAAAGGAGCTCGGTGGGTGCCGGCAATGGCAACAAGTTGGAGCCCTATAAAAACCATTTTTTTTATTTATTTCCAGTTGAGGCTGATCTGGAGGTTCAAAAAGAGGTCCTACTGGTACTCAGTTCCTGCTCTTTGGCCTTGCCTATCGTGTCCACTCAGGTGGTGGAAAAAATTGCTGGCAGCAGCCTCGAAATGGTCAATTTCATACTGGGGAAACTGGCCAACCAGGGTGCCATAGTAATCCGTAACGTAACCATAGGCACAGAGGCTGGTTGCGAAATAATCTCAGTGCAGCCCAAGGAACTGAAAGAGATCCTGGAAGACACCAATGACACTTGTCAACAGAAGGAGGAGGAGGCCAAACGGAAGTGTGAGTACCTCAAAAGCTGTTTTAATAGTAATGTTAGTTAATTTTTTTTCCTATTATGTTATAGTGGAGGTTGATGATGGCGAGCAGCCGCAGGAAAAGAGTCTAAAACTAGACACCAGTGCTGCTCGGAAGGAATCTACCAGCTTGGACGCCCCCGACGACATCATGATGCTGCTATCGATGCCTTCCACACGTGAAAAGCAGAGCAAACAAGTGGGCGAGGAAATCCTAGAACTGCTTACCAAACCAACAGCGAAGGAGCGATCCGTGGCAGAAAAATTCAAATCTCACGGCGGTGCGCAGGTCATGGAGTTCTGCTCCCACGGCACCAAGGTTGAGTGCCTCAAAGCCCAACAAGCCACCGCAGAAATGGCGGCCAAAAAGAAACAAGAGCGTAGAGACGAAAAAGAACTACGACCAGATGTGGAAGCCAGCGAAAGCGGCGGAAAGCTCGCCAAGACAGTTGACTCTGTAGCCGAAGATGGAGAAATCATCGCTGAAGGCCTTAACAACTGCGAAGCCGAGTCCCAAGAGTCCACCGATGGTAGCGACACCTGCGGCAGCGAGACAACAGACAAATGCACCAAGCTACACTTCAAGAAAATCATTCAAGCACACACGGATGAGTCGCTAGGAGATTGCAGCTTCCTAAACACATGCTTCCACATGGCCACCTGCAAATACGTGCATTACGAAGTGGACACACTACCCCACATCAATACCAACAAACCGACGGACGTGAAGACCAAGCTGAGCCTCAAGCGCAGTGTGGACTCCAGTTGCACCCTTTATCCCCCCCAGTGGATTCAATGCGATCTGCGTTTCTTGGATATGACGGTACTGGGAAAATTTGCGGTGGTAATGGCCGATCCTCCCTGGGATATCCACATGGAACTGCCCTACGGCACAATGTCGGACGATGAGATGAGAGCTTTGGGAGTTCCAGCTCTTCAGGACGATGGCCTGATCTTTCTGTGGGTCACAGGTCGAGCCATGGAACTTGGTCGCGATTGCCTCAAGCTATGGGGCTATGAACGCGTGGATGAACTCATCTGGGTGAAGACCAACCAGCTGCAGCGGATAATTCGTACAGGTCGCACCGGTCACTGGCTGAATCACGGCAAGGAGCACTGCCTAGTGGGCATGAAGGGCAATCCCACCAACCTTAACCGCGGTCTCGACTGCGACGTGATTGTGGCAGAGGTGCGGGCCACCTCGCACAAGCCGGATGAGATCTACGGCATCATCGAACGCCTTAGTCCGGGCACACGCAAAATTGAACTCTTCGGACGGCCGCACAATATCCAGCCCAACTGGATAACACTGGGGAACCAGCTGGATGGCATCCGGCTGGTGGATCCAGAGCTCATTACACAGTTCCAGAAACGCTATCCAGATGGCAACTGCATGTCACCAGCTGCTGCGAATGCTGCGTCCATCAACGGAATACAAAAGTAGAAATGAAAAAGTATTTTCTGTGTGAATTGAGGCCTCGACAAGCAAGAGTCCTCTACAGACTCGACTATAAAATAAATTATTATTAAAGCTTTTTACAAACTAAAAAAGGTGATTAATGGAAAAGGAAACACAGGGATATTTTATTTCTTTAAAGTTCGCTATATGTAAATCCACATATATAGATAGATTTATTGCTCATACTAGGGGCTTTGCGCGTATTTACAAAAGTGCGATATCACCCAATCGGGCGGTTTTCTAGGTGTAGTATATATGGTTTATATAGAACCCAGTACGTGTACATATCACTATCAGCTATGCACGATATCGGTTGTTTAGTTACACGATTATGATGGTAACAATAACTTATTTGACTTATCAGAGAGTACATGGTTTAAGTTAGCGTTATAAACGAATTGAAATGCAACGTACACAATGTGCTCGACTGGCCTGCCGCTATTCATTGTCCACTGGCCTCTGCTTATGCCAAATTCCTGCTAGTGTACTTGGCGCGTGTATTTACATGTCAGGAATGAGAACATCGGCGTGTGCCCCTTTCATTGTTTGCTTTGGCTTTCGTAACAATAAATTTGGATTTACAGTAGCAAGCAAAGAAGTAATAAATAAGTTACATGAATTTGTTAAACATTAACTTGTCTGTGGTAAACATCTGTGTTTTTAAGTCCCTCCCCAAAATCCAGTATATTCCTTTAGCGGGAATGTGCTCCGGCAGCGCTGATAGTTTTAAGCACAATGAATCCCAGCATGGTAGCTGCGGCCACGCCCAGTCCCGCCTTCCACCACAGCTTTGGATCCTCCGTCATCAAGCCAAACTGCCGCAAGTGGCTGCGTGTGGGAGAGAAAGGTACTGATTAGATCGAAAGCAACAGCGGAAAGTTTTTAAAAGGTTTCTTAAGGGTAAAGCTAGAGTCTACAGGATGCTACCGCACACCACGTTAATCAAGCGGATATGGTTGGGGATTTGTGCGCCTCATGGAAGTAATACGGGCACCGTGGCAAATGGAATAACAACAGATAGAAGGCTGACATTAGTAACGAGTTCAGTTTAAATGGTAACACTTACGCCGATTCCCACAGCTGTACCAACCTGTGCTTGTAGAACAGTATCCAGGCGGCCTGGAAGCGTCTGCAAATCCGCGAAGCCATCGACGTGCACAAACATCAAACAACACAGAAAAAACAGACACCAACCATCACACAAAAAAGGGGAGAAGAGAAGATAAGAAGATAAGTAACCATTAATCCAAGATATGACCCGTGTGTTAGATGCAATCTAAATGTACTGCAAAGTGGTGAAGTACTTTTAGGGGTTCGTAAACTTCAGGAAAAATACTTCACTGCTTTGAACCAGGTTAAGTAGTTTACAAATGAAACCGGGATAGAGCTCACATTGCTGTTTCCAGCTGGATTAGCACACCCGATAAGCCAAAAGGATTACTCACGGAAAAGCTGCCATGGTGGCCAGCTTGGTATACAGTTCTTTCTTGTTGGTCTTTAGACTGAAGAGGTGCGGGGGCAGAAGCTTGTACTTCTCGCAGAACTCTGCCGGCTGCATTAAGTAGTCCTGACGGCGCTCATCCATGTCGCTCTTGGTGCCAACTATCATGACCGGGATCTTGCTCTCCGCATAATACTTGATATAGATACGGGCCACGTACTCGAAGGAGCGGGGATTGGATGAGTCAAAGACCAGACAGGCCACATCGCAGTTCACTTCCTGCGGCTGGAGGGGATCAAGGGCATGTCTTACATCGATGTCGCGCAGGATAAGATGCTTTTCCTGGCCATACACCTGCACAGAGTTGATGCAATGGACCACATTCGTCTTGAACTCCTTGCCGATTAGCTTATGCATGTCCTCCACCAGAAAGCCGCGACACATTCCCGTTTTTCCCGATCCCTTGGGCCCAATCACATGACACTTGTACACGGACCGACTGCTTTGGCGCTTGGCCAAATCGATGCGACGCTCTCGCGTCACGTGTATTGCGGCCAACTGGCTGTCGTTTTCATGAACATTAAAGCCAAGGTAGGCCAAATACTCCATGGTCTTGACCACATCGATTAGAGTCATTAGTGTCCAGCGACAAAGCCAGCCATGCAGGGTCACCCAACCAGTAGTCTCGTTAATCGGGCAGGATTTGCGAATGTCCGTGGAATAAGACCACGGTGCAGAGGGACATGTGCTGAACAACATCTTGTGCTCCTCGGGCGACAAGGCTCCGTCTCCATCGCGATCGTAACGCTCGAACACTGCAATGAGGAACTGCTGTCCCCGATGCGAAAGTTCTGTGCTACTACCAGGTGGTATTTTCAGGGGTGGTCGCAGATACTCCTGGCACATCTCCAATTGGTCATTGTAGCCAAAACGACGCAGCACCGCCCAGGTGGTCTCATTCCTTCCCCGCTGGATGAACAGGCAGTGCAGAAAGAGGAAGCCTTTCAGGGTGACCGCATCGTTGTAGATGCCATCGGGTACGTTCTTCTGTATCACGGCTTTCACCTCGTCCAAAATCTGAGGCTGAAGAGGTGTGTTGAAGCATCTCCTTTGAAACAAATTCAGCTCGTAATCGTTCAGTAGATTATCCCCGTCAATGTCGCAGATTTTAAAGATTCGCACCAGCGACTTCTTGCAGGCGGATGTAAGCTAAAAAAAAGCGGTTGTTATTTATGGCAAGTTCTATTTGTAGATCGGTTATCATTAGATAGTATGGCTTTTATTTATAGAAAGATTATAATCCGAAGTATGAATCAACACGGTGCAGCTCGGACCACTTACCTCCTGCTCTTCCATCACGTACAACGGTGAAGTCGGGTGCAGCACTGCCTTCTGGGCGTAGTAGAACATCTCAGAGATATTATGGAGCGTTTTGGCCGAGCATTCCACGCAGCTTTCGACCTCGGGATAGTCCTCCATGATGGCTAGCACGCTATCCATTGTGGAATACTCAATCAGGTCGATCTTGTTGCCGACCAAAACGATGGGTTTCCGCACGGGTTCCCGCTGGGCGTCACCGCCCTCCGCCTCCGCTTCGGCATCTCCTTCGCCGTCCAGCGAGGGATTGCACTTGGTGCGGATGAGCGGCAGCCAATGGGAAGTGATCCGGTCCAGGGAGTCGTCATCGTCCACGGCATACACTATGCAGACCACGTGCGCCTTGTTGATCTCGGCGGCCAAGGCGTCCTCCGTCTGCTCCACTGCCGAGAAGTCAACGATGCTCGTAGGCACTTGCTCTGGTGTGACGTTCGCCGGAATGGTGATCTCCTCGGCCCGTGGAGGCACCTCCTCCGGGTACTCCTCGCTGACCAGCGACAGAATCAGCGAAGTCTTACCCACCCCGGCGTCGCCCACGAGCAGGATCCTCACATTCTTGCGCTGCGACGCCGTGTACTGTCCCATTTCGTCTGTTCTGAAGGTGGGATGTGCCTCTCCTGGTCTCCTGAACTCCGTTTCCGCAATCGCCTGCGTTTTGGGCGAATTTCCAAGATTTTGTTATGCAAAAACGCAAAAAAAAACAACCAAGAGTGAGTTGGGATGGCAGTTAGTGTATCAAGGTTGCGTTATCGATGTATCGCTATCGCAGCACAGCGCCAGGGCTGCCACGCGTAGGCCACCGCCAAAAAATAGCGAATTATTTTGAAAATAATCACCGGCGGTCGAGTTTAAACAAATTTATTTTAAACAGTCTGATTCAAACAACGCCGGCTTTGGTGACTTAAATTTTCTTCAGAACTTAATTTTGAAACGAAACAAATATCCCTGTAAAGTACCTCAACTTTGTTGGCATCTGGCCTTGGAGCACATATGCAGTTCTTTCCTGAGTAAATGTAAATGAAAAAAATAGTAAACTTTTATTGGAAAATGTGTTAAAATGTATGTTTTAAATCAACCATCCGATTATATATTCCCCATCTTCATGAAGTCTAGAAATTAGATCGCAATTAAGTCCGTTATTTCTCGTTTTAGTATAAACTTTGAATTTAGCTATTTTCCTGGCTACATAACTGAAATCCCCTGGAATAGGTAATCGATAGTTTGGCAGCACTGGCTGGGACTCCAGAGCTTAGCTTCAGATTTTAACGTCGGAGAGTTGCAAAAGTGCGGAGAAAAATCAGTACTCTCGAATATCAGCAAAATGAGTACTTGCTCGAACAACAATTAGTTACTTGTTTGTTTATTGTTCGGCCAACGAAACCTACGCGTGCCACGGCCAGTAACCAATTTGAGACGAAAGGATAACTTCCCCGTGCAACTTCTGCGGGGCGAGGGCAAGGAGAGCGAGGGGCCGGAGTGCTGGACGCGCAGACAGCGCGGAATCGATATCGATGGTACGCACCAAAAACCAGTCGTCCTCCTCCAGCGCCAGCAGTAGCAGTACCAAGTCGCCAATAAAGTCCAGCGGCGGAGCAGGATCATCGGGCGGTGGCGGAATCGGCGGTGGTCGCCAGTCCACGTACCGCTCGTCCAGCGCCTCAAACGTTGCCGCCGTTGTTGCGGGCGCCTCATCCGCCGGAGTCTCCGCCTCATCGAATCGCCGTAGTCCGGGCAGTTCACCAGACGGCGACGACGACACCACCACCACAGATGACCTGACGCCCACGTCGTGCTCTCCGCGCAGCGGTCACCATCATCCATACGGCTACTCCTCCTCCTCGGTGCACAAGCAGAACCTCTACGTCGTCTCGTTTCCCATTATCTTTCTCTTCAACGTTTTGCGCTCGCTGATTTATCAGCTGTTTTGTATTTTTCGCTACCTCTACGGAGCGAGCACAAAAGTGATTTACCGCCCGCATCGACGCGATTGTAATATTGAGATCGTTGTGCAGAACTCCTCCAAGGAGCAGCAGCAGTCAAATAATCCTTTGGAACTAAACAGTGAGGCTGCTGGCCAAGAGCAGCTGTTGCCCAATCAGCCTCAGCGTTATAGAGCAATCCAACCACTTGAAATGGCCGCCAATCGTCCGGGAGGTGCCTACTCACCTGGTCCCGGGGATCCCCTGCTGGCCAAGCAGAAGCACCACCATCGCCGCGCCTTCGAGTACATCTCCAAGGCGCTCAAAATTGACGAGGAAAACGAAGGTAAGTGGCGTCGACGGGGGTGGAAGCTCCAGTTGCTTGACTTTGAGTACTCGATGCTCAATGAGTCATCGCCCGCTGGCCGCTTTTGTTGTCTGTCGAGTGTGAGAATCAATAAGCCAAAACGCGCGCACAAAAGATGCCCCACATGTCGGGCGGAGGAGGGATTGGACGAGTTGGCCGCCTTGATTGACTGGCAGTCCTTCAAATCCTTTGCTTTTTTATTGGGTTTTTATAGTGCCGAAGGGTATATTTATGCACGTCATAGTTGACAGGGAACTTTACCTTAACCCCCGTAACTTGAATTGGGTTTATTTTATGGAATATGATAAAAGTAGTAATTATATCCATCTGGAGCTTATACCTGGATCTTAGGAATTTGTTAGAAATACATTAAGGTTACGGCATAGAGTATCTCATAGTCATAATAAACTATTAAATTTCCGGTTTTTTCAGGTCACAAAGAACTGGCGATTGAGCTCTACCGCAAGGGCATCAAAGAGCTGGAGGATGGCATAGCTGTCGATTGCTGGAGTGGACGTGGCGACGTGTGGGATCGGGCTCAGCGGCTGCATGACAAGATGCAGACGAACCTCTCGATGGCCCGGGACCGTCTCCATTTTCTGGGTAAGTGGCTGTCCATATTCCATCCGCCCCGAAAACATATTTATGTAGTTTTTGTTTACCTCATTTTTTGTTTATTTCATTTGGCACGTTTCCCTGCTTTTTTGTTGACCACCCTGGTTTTGTCCACATTATCGTGTTCATCCAACGCGCAGCGCTGCGCGAGGAGGATTTGCGAATGCAGCGGCTCTCCTTGAAGGAGAAACAAAAGGAGCAGGCTCCAAGCAAGCCCCCGAAGTCCAGGGAGCCCATGCTAGCGGGTATGACCAGCGAACCCATGAGGCTTAAAGTTCGCAGCAGTGGCTACGGGCCCAAACCCACCACCAGTGCGCAGCCCACGGGTAAGTTCCTCACCAGCTAAAGCGCACCCAACAAGATCCTCACCCGGCAGAGCCACAGCGACCAAAAGCAGATCAATCAGTCAATCCCTATCACCTCTCACTTGGCACTTTATTTTGTTACGATTTATAATTTCGTTAAACCAAATTGTAGCTTAGAAAGAATAGCAACTTCTGTGTATTCACCTCAAATCTCACATACATTCTCTCATTGACAGCATCTGGACGAAAACTAACCGTGGGAACCAAGCGACCCGGCAATTTGGCCGTGGCCAACAAGTCCCAAACGCTGCCGCGCAACCTTGGCTCCAAAACATCCGTAGGCGCAGTCCAAAGGCAGCCAGCCAAGACGGCTGCAACGCCTCCGCCGTTCGGCGCCAGTTTGTGAGTACTTGGATATGTAAACAAAATGTATCTGGTTATAAATTTGGAAAGTTTGCAACGCAGTGAAATGTTATCAAAAGATCTGCTAAGCTTACAACAATTTGGTCTAAAAATTAGTTCTTATAATTAGGCTGAATTCATAAATCATAAGACTAAAATTGTTCAGCTGAATTTCTTAGCGTATTATATTTGCTCTTTTAACAATTGTTTCAATATTCGCTTTTATATTTATTAGTCCTCTGGTCGTAATACGCCCCCGCAGCGCTCGCGAACTCCCATAAACAACAACGGACCCAGTGGCAGTGGCGCCAGCACTCCGGTGGTCAGTGTGAAAGGCGTGGAGCAGAAGCTTGTGCAGCTCATACTCGATGAGATAGTCGAGGGTGGAGCCAAGGTGGAGTGGACAGACATTGCCGGCCAGGAAGTGGCCAAACAGGCTCTGCAGGAGATGGTCATTCTACCCTCCGTTCGACCGGAGCTCTTTACAGGTAAGTTTTTTATTACAAAGTCCCTTGAAATTATTTTATTACAATTCTTCTTTTCTTCTTCAGGACTTCGTGCCCCGGCCAAGGGACTACTGCTGTTTGGACCTCCCGGAAACGGCAAAACATTGCTCGCTCGTGCCGTGGCCACCGAGTGCAGTGCCACCTTTCTGAACATCTCGGCTGCCTCGTTGACCAGCAAGTATGTGGGCGATGGCGAAAAACTAGTACGGGCTCTCTTTGCCGTGGCCCGTCATATGCAGCCCTCAATTATCTTCATCGACGAAGTGGACTCGCTACTCTCGGAGCGCAGCAGCAATGAGCACGAGGCATCACGCCGCCTGAAGACCGAGTTCCTGGTGGAGTTTGATGGACTGCCGGGTAATCCGGACGGGGATAGAATCGTGGTGCTGGCCGCCACCAACCGGCCACAGGAATTGGATGAGGCTGCCCTGCGACGGTTCACGAAGCGCGTTTACGTCTCACTGCCCGACGAGCAGACCCGCGAGCTGCTCCTTAATCGATTGCTGCAAAAACAGGGCAGTCCGCTGGATACGGAGGCACTGCGTCGCCTGGCCAAGATCACCGATGGCTATTCGGGCTCCGACCTAACCGCCCTGGCCAAGGATGCCGCTCTAGAACCCATCCGAGAGTTGAATGTGGAGCAAGTGAAGTGTCTGGACATCAGTGCGATGCGTGCAATCACGGAGCAGGACTTCCACAGTTCGTTGAAGCGCATCCGTCGCTCGGTGGCGCCGCAGAGCCTCAACTCGTACGAGAAGTGGTCGCAGGACTACGGCGACATCACTATCTAATCTGCCCTTGCCAGCAAGCCTGCCCGTCTCCATCACGACAGTGTGTGGAACAGCTGTGATGTGAGTGTCAGAACGTAACCTTTGCCGTTGCACTAGTTTTGATCATGTGACCCATGGTTCTCCTCTTTTACTAAGGTTCTATTCAATCAGTAGACTTATCGTTTCACAAAACATTGTTAGATCTGTATTAACCAGTGAACTATTCAATATCATTTGTTCTCATGCGATTTCTCTGTGTTTTAAACTTAGATTTAACTTTCATCCGTCATGCGGCTCCATTATCGTTATACTCATTTAACCTAGTGTATTTCTAAGAATATCTGTACTATCCAATGGAGTTGCTAGAATAGAAGTTCCGCCCTATTATCGTTTACTATGTTTATTCCGAGGGCACATTGCTTGTAAACTAGTCCTAAGTTTTTGGAACATTCCATGTAGTGGTGTTTATTGTTTCGTTGGACAGGCGGCCCATGAAGTTCACAACTACTTCCATTGTATCCTTGAACCAATAGAGCATATTTTTGTTGTACATTGAGTGCCCATCCACAAGCTATATGTAATCTAGAAGTAAGCTTAGTCCTAAGATGAGATATTCTTATACACAACCACAAAAACTATACATTTACCAGCGCAGAATCGGATTAAGTTTTAATAGTTATCTCTCTCCGTATCGTTAGACTAGTTTAGTTCCTTTGTTTCAATCTATGTACCTACGGCCATAAATACAATTGTCTCCGAATCACCTATATTATTAGTAACGCTCCCAAAATGTTGTACCTAGCAGTTGCGTATGGATCTGGTGTTATCAGATCTATCAGATACATCAACACACGCTCGTCGCTTATCGCGGTACTTTGAACCAGCTTCAACGCAGCTCGCCCACCCGGAATTTGAGTTCGATGACTAGTAGCTAAACACAGATCCAAAACTACAAGCATATAAAAAATATATAAAAATAAATCTATAGAATACGATAAATAAAATCGATTTCAACAAAAATCAGATGCATCTTAATCGGCAATAGTTTCATGGTAAAAATGGGCTATACTCGTACTATTGGAGACCATTGGTAGTGCTTAAACATTTGTGCTGCATCGCCAGGTTTACTCATGAAAGACATTCTTTAAAATTATTTTTGCATTTAAACCATTAGGGAAAAAATTAGCTCGGATTTTCGTATATAAAAGCGATCAATTGTTTGTCTTGCAAACTTTATAGTCATATTTAGTTTGGCTTGCGTAATAAAGATACGAGATATATTCTCTTTACTTTAATACATACTATATGTTTGAAGACTCAAAGCTTACTCCAATCGTTATCCCTCTAAGAAACATTTCTATCGTTATTAAACACGCACTGATCATTGTTTTTCTCACTTTTTTATATATTTTTTTGTTTCTTTATTTTACATTTTACATATTTATATCGCATTTCGTTTTCCACATTGGAAATACACAATATGTATGCTCGAATTTACATTCTCTTAGTTGCTAAATTTGTTTTTCCTCTTGTTTTTGCATTCGGCTTGCTTGTGGCTTTCTTCTCATCCTACTGACATCCTCCCTTTCCATCTTCAGTTTTCGTTGACACATGTTCCACATAGTTACAATTACAATTTGCTTTGTCACGATTTGTTGTTTAGATTGTGTTTTCTTTGCTGCTGTCGCGCGTTCTGCCTTCTCCGTTCTCTGTTTTTTTTTAGTTTTTGTTTTTAATTTCTCATTCGGTTTATTTTGTTTCCGTTTCGTTTATACGCCTATTTCTGCTTAAATTACAAATCTTTAAATTATTTTAACACGTACTTAGATTGGATTAGATTGTTACAGCTACCCGCCCATCGCCCGGAGCTTTTCAGTTGATGTTGTTTCAGTTGTCGCCGGCGTGGTTCACTTTAAGTTGAGCTCCACGCCCCGCCTCGACCTATGACTTGAAGGGGTTTTAAGAGTTGACCCTCCGCCCCGTCAAGTCCGCAACCGCCCACCGCAATCGGCCGCAACCGTAGCCACAACTCCGAACTGGACGCTCGCGCGTCTGGCCTTCTCCTAATTGCCTGCTGCCGCACCACCGCCAATTTCGTTAGTCATCGCCGGCAGGGCCAAAAGCGGTTCCGCCTTGCCCGGAACAACTCGGTATTGTACGTAACCTAAGCGTGCGTAATGCGCTTGCAAGTGCTGCAATTGCGGCAGCTGGGACAGCAGTGGTGGTTGTGGCTGCGGCTGGGGGCGACTGCCCGGATGCTGCAGACGGCGTCGAAGCTGGCGTCACATCTCAGCTCATTGGGTCTGGTATTGTGGCATCGCAGCACTGTACATCATCTGGGGGGCAAGTGAACCGTTCGCTGCTGCGGCCGCGGATGCTGCGGCGGCCGTTACACCGGGCACCACAGTTCCGGGCACGCCCCATGCCACGTTCGGCGGCACCATGCGGTATCCGGCAGCTGCAAGTGGTAAATAACCTTTTTAACTATGGTTCGGAGAATTCAATGGCAAGAATGGTCTACTTACGAACACCTCCCGCTTGCTGAGCACTGGTTGTATAGGCGTAGGGGTAGTAGCCCTGCTGCATGTACTGCGTTTGCATTTGGGTTGTGGGATAAGCCTAAAAGACAAGGATATCTAGTTAGTGGCAAGTTCAGTCGATGCGTTTTAAGAAAAAATATGTAAATGATTGGATATCCGCAAATATATTGATATATGTAGATTTTAATAAGCTAGTTCTATTTGTAACCCAAAGTTGCCCACAACTCACCGCTGGGGGATACCAGTATCCCATTTGCTGATAAGCGTACGGATACTGCGCTGTGGCGGCGGCAATCTGCTGGGGCGTCATCATTTGGCCGGGTATCGCCGCTCCAGTGGCGGCGGCAATCTGTTGCTGTGTCATCATTTGACCGGGCATTCCCGCTCCGGCGGCCACCGCCGCATTTGCTGCTGCCACAGCGGCTACATTGGCGGAGGCTGCTGCCGCAGCGGCTGCGGCATTGATGTTATTGGCCGAATTGTCGCCGCCGTTCTCCTTGCCCCAGAAGCACTTGACCAGATTGCCGTGAACCTCGCTGTTGTGCGTGTGCTCGATGGCCCGGGCGGCCGCCTCTTTAGTGACGAACTTGATAAACGAAAAGCCCTTGTCCTTGAAGACCCGCACATCCTGGATGGGACCGAACTGGACGAAGTGCTTGTGCATCAGATCGTCACTGATGACGTTCGGCGGGAAGCCGCCGCAGTAGACGGTGGTGTTGGTGGGGCTAGACTGGTTGTACACCTCCTCGAAGGTGTGCCGTTGGCTGCCCTTTACGCCGGATCCATTTCCTCCCGGTCCACCGCCCATTCCGCCTCCCCTGGCCACCGCCCTTCGACGGCTCGCGTGGTGGCGGCAGCTTACGCGTGGACCAGTTGGTGCGTATCGACCGCGAGCCAATCCACTGACCGTTCATCGCCAGTATGGCGTTCTCTGCCTCTGCTTTCTTTACGAACGATACGAAGGCGTAACCCTTCGACTTCATGGTGTGCGGGTCACGCACGATCCGACAGTTGGAGATCTCACCGAAAGGGGCGAAAGCCTCGCGCAGCGTCTCCGTTTCGATTTCGGGGCTGAGGTCGCCCACGAATATGTGGTGGTGCGAGCTGATGTCTGTCTTGGGCTGATTGCCGGGACTGGTGGCCCAATTGACCTGCAAAAAACAGAATTCGTTAATAGGTGCTAATCAATTTTATGTCTGCCTAATTATAAATAACTTATGAGGTTCTAAGGCGGGCGAAATATGCAAGACAGAAGAAAACAAATGTTACAATCTAAAATAGAATTTGTGGTTGATGCATTTTAGAACTTGTTATAATTATAAAACACAATATTTTCGAATATTGAATACTTGATTTCTGATTAATAAATAGTCATGATTTGTGGAGACACAATTTCGTTTTTCAAAAAGACTTTTAGTAAACTCACCTTGATCTCCTTGTCGAGGAAAAGTCGTTTGTTCATGGCGGTCAGGGCTGTGGTGGCTGCCTGGTAGTTGGAATATTCGATGAAGGCGTACGGATCGTTGCCCGGCTCGCGGATGATTTTGCAGCTTTTAACGGGGCCCATGGTGCTGAAGAGGGCGATAAGCAGATCCTCAGAGACGGAGCTGTCCAGGTTGCCCACATACAGGGTTTTCGGCTGTGACTCGTCCATGGCGAATGTGTGAATGTCCTTGGACTGTGGTTTCGATCGGTTTTGGGATTAGAATCTACTCTAGACTACAACGACAAACTCTACACTCGGACTGGAATTGCAAATTCAACTGGCCGCATCAATCGGAAGGGTCAATATCAAAAAATTTGCTGATGTTCCTAGCTACGTACAAAATCTAAATATCTGCTAATTAAACAGGTGTCTTTGCGGCAATCTAAAAGGTGCTAGCTGATAACAGAGAACTCGGCTAGAAATTTGAATATATTAAATATTCTACTACTACTTTTATCGACTCACTCTCGACTTGGCTGGTATATGAATTATATAAACTATATTTGCTGCATCTAGGTAGGTAGATCTATCTGCCTAACGTTGAGGTTCGTCGTTTATTGCTTTGCTTCGTTCCTAATCTGGCGCCTAATTGAAAATTTCGTTAAACATCTATATGTATAAATATATCTGTCCTAACTAAACGCTAATGGAGTGTTTTGGAATATATATGATTTGTCGCACTATGTATAATCGAGTGACACCGCTTCCGGGGGTCCTGGGGTTTGGATTCCTGGGACTCGGGGTTCCTTCGGGGGCACGGTCCTTCGATTATCTTGCTTGCTTTGCTTTTAAATTATAAATATTTGTCCGTTCCAATATACAGGATTGTATAAATGTTTACATGAATACTTGGTTGCGGCTTCTTGTTCACGTACAAAAATTAGTTGGCTATGTTGAACAGTGTGAAAGTTCGCAGGTCAAGTGTTGTTTTTGGGTTTCGAAGCTGACCCCTGGAATCGCTGCTGCTGCAAAAGAAAGAGAAAAAGTAAAGAATCTAGGTTAGTTTTTGGGCCAAAAGCTGAAGCACTGGGACAAGGTCTAATAGCACATGATCGGTTGGCTTTAGCCAGGCAAATGATATGGATATAAATCGACTACCCCGCCCCTCCCCCTTTCGATTGAGGGGAACAAAGAAGGCGGCAAAGCAGTGCAGGGACACGCACACACAGATGCACGCTCCCTCACACACAAACGCAGAGAGAGACACTAAGAGAGAGAGGGTGATTTTATAACAAAGCAAATGGCAAACAATTGACAATAGCCATTCATTCGCAACGAATTTGCGGGCCTGGCAAAATGATTTAGTTTATAATTAATAATTTCTGCATTCCACATTCCCTGCTTCTTAGCCGAATTCTTTTTGGGACACTCACGCACAGCACACACCGACGCAGCGTGAAAAGAGGGCGAAAGGAAAAACGAAAATCGACTAGAAGATGAATGACCGTCGATAACAAAATGAGGAGAAAGAAAATAGGGAGAAAGAAGAGGAAGAGGAGGGAAATTTGCGAAACCGGCGGGCACATACACAATCGCACACACGGTTGCATTAGACTCTCGTTCTTTATTCAATGTGAAATCAAAATTTTGAATTTGCATAGCACTAAACTTGATTTTGATTATTTTTGCGGCGGCGGCAACGCGGCGCTAGAAAATGTCAGTCAAAGTCACAGAACAGAAGAAGAGGTGGCGAAAAGGGAATGGCGGGGTGGTTTTTGTTGCTCTTTTGCTGCTTATTTTCTTCGTCTCTTTTCGCACACACTCACAAGCACACACACATCCACGCAGAGGCGTCTTGCGCTGGTCTTTTTGTTTGCGTTTTGTTCACATGAGTCGCCACTTTTCTTTTTCATTTTTTCTTCGGTTTTGGTTATTGAGTGTATTTAAACTAATGCCAATATACCAATACCAATGCGTTTCGAATGCGGGACTTTTCATTTGCCTTTCGGCTTGCCGCTATATGTATGTATGTATCTTGTTCGCCTTTTGTGCTGCCATCTTTTTAATGCCGCTCCCCCGCCCCTCTTAACCGCCACGCCCCCGCCCCCATCACCGCTGCCGAAAACTGCGTTTAACATTTATCGCCGCGCGATAGTGCAATATTTTAATACCCATTGTTCGGATTTGGCTGCCAAAATCCAAATCCGCACTCTCTTTTTTTTTTTTTTTTGTTAATAACGCTCTCTGTGACGTGGCTGCGGTTGTAAATTTACCGCATTTTAATTGCTTAGCACTCTATTCGTACACTTCACTCAACGTCTGAGTTTAGTCGCTACCGGTTTCTATTAAATTTGCATTGGTTTCGCTATTTTAAAGGGGTGCAAATTTACGTTAAACGCGTCGCTAAAATTTTACCTTCGTCGTCTAAAATGCGAACTAATTAATGAGATTTTTGTGTGCGAGAGCCAGGGCTGCCAACTCGGTGGGGAACGAAAACGCAATGGCGGCAAGCTGTGAAATAAAACAAAAACTTTTGATTTGTTTTGATCTGCTTCGAAAATTAATTACCTAAGAATTATAAAACGTGGCTTAATAGATTATTAAGTTGAATCAATTCTTAATAAGCCTTTTTTGCGAACTTTACGTTAATTATTGATCAGCGGGCAACCCTAGGGCCATCGATAACGATGGCATCGCCGCTTTCTCTTTCTAACACACGCGTCGCGGCAGCAGATGCAGAACAAAGCGGAATAGTAAAATCAATCGTTATCGAAAAGGGAGAACGTAGATATGGTCGTAAATATTTTTATAAACAATAAACATTTTATTACTTGTGCAAGTCACAATAATTATGACGAGCTATGCAGTCAGATTGAGGAGAACACAGTAAGTACAATAATTATTGGGTTAATTTCATAAATTTGCCTAATGTGGTGTTTTTTGTTCCAGAACTTGAAACGTCAGGATTATTATCTAGTAAGCAATGGCAAACGTTTTATTGGAGAACTTCATCATGGAGATGTCCACTGCGTCGTTCGCCAGCTGGGCGGCAAAGGAGGGTTCGGTTCCATGCTGCGAGCCATTGGAGCCCAAATCGAGAAGACTACCAACCGCGAAGCTTGTCGTGATTTAAGTGGTCGTCGTTTGAGGGACATCAATGAGGAGAAGCGGGTACGTGCCTGGCTGGACAAACAGGGCGAGCGGGAACGTGAGGCCGAGGAGCGGAAGAAGCGAAAGATTGAGAAACTGCTGGCCGTCCCCAAGCACGACTTCAAGGATGACCAGTACGAGGAGGCCAGGGCTAATCTCACCGAGAAGGTAAACGACGCCTTTGAGGAGGGACTCAAGCAGGTGGAGGAGATAAAGGAAAAGCAGGCTCAAGCCAGTCAAGAAGCCTCCACCAGTGGCACCAAACGGAAGTCCCCCGCCGAAGAAAAAACTAAGGCTAAGAAAAAGAAAAAGGGCACTCTTTGGATAGGTGATGACATCTCCGGATCTGATTCAGACTCAGACGACAGCGAGGAGGAGCAGAAAACCCAGAGGAAGGCCCTCAAAAACTAGGAAAACAGATTAAGGAATGAGTAGTGTTAAGGCTTTCTTACCATTTCGTGTTTAAATCATAAGTTCTTGCATCTTACAATAAACCTAAAACACCGAATAAACTGACTTGGCAACCTATAAAATTTGAAAGTTCTCGATTTAATACTAAGCGCTAACTGGATTAATAAGTAGTTGTATAAATAAACATTTAAATGGACAAGGGGAACATCACGGCGAGACAAACTGCGAGGACACCCAGGCCAATCCCCATTTCAGATTTGTCAGCATGAACTTCAAAGCCTTGGTCCACTGCTCCTCGGAGTTAAACTGGATCCTGCGAAGAAATTAATTATTAATATTTAAATAAAATCAATAAAAGTTTAAAACCCACTTGATAGAATAGGAATTGCCGGTGGAGGGATCAATGATCTTGCCCTTCTCCATTTTGTAGGGCAGCAGGAACTCAGTATCGCGCTTCTCCACCTCCTTTTGGAACTGGGTAAGGCAGTCCAGGAAGGCCACCATGGCAGCATCGAATTTGGTGTCCCAGAAGAACTTAAACCCGCCGCTACCGTAGAGCGGCAGCTCGCGATTTTCGCCAAGCACCTCCACGTAAGAGTGATTGCCAAAGGGCACTACTCGATACCGCTCGAAGGTTAGGCCAATCTTGCGGGCCAATGCGGACAGTAGGAGCACGGTCTGTCCCCACGCGGCGTTGATCTCCGACCAGTCAACGGATACGGAAGGCAGCCTGCCCAACCTAAAGTTATTAATGGTTCCAAAATGCCCGGCATGCCAGATGTGAAAGGTAATGTTGAAAATGTTGGTGTCGCGCAGTTTGTCCAGCTGTTGGCGGGAGTAAGCTATCTGGCTCTCCAAACTACGCTTGTCATCCTCGGTGAGCATAAGTTCGCGACGGTGTTTGGTGTACTCCCGCCAGTAGCTCTCCTCCTGCTCATGCAGTTCCTCCCGCTCCACTTCCTCCTGGGCAATGGCCGCGTTTAGAGATTGTTCCTCTTCCTTGAGCTGTGCCAACTCTGACAAAAGCTGCTGCTCACTGCGCTTCAATTCGTCCAGCTCCTTGTCTAATGCGTCCACATTAGGAGCTTCACGCTGCTTCTCTAGCTCGTTCAGATACTTCTTGTACACATCCCACTCGTCCTCGGCGATCCGTAGCTCCCGATCCATGATCTCCAGCATGGAATCAGCGCACTCTTCACACAGGGGATGGTCAATTTCCGAGTTGGAGGACAGGCAGTCGAATAGCTCGGCTTTTAGCTTAAAGGCAGCACTCATCTTTTTGTTGTCCCGACCATCGGAAACCAGCATGAACCCCGTGCCATTGATGGAGTCCGTGAGCCTATAGGGCGGCACAAAGTGGTCGAAACTACTGGCATCCTGGGGGTCCAAATTATTTCCGTCATCCCTGTAGATGGGCACTGCAAAAGGTGAATCATTAGAGGGGTTTTCGTATTGTTTGTACCATTCCATACGCGATAACTCCGCCATCGCGTGCACGCTGATCTTCTCCAGCTGCTCGTCCAGGACGATGGGCTGTAGGCAGCGCTGGCAGGCGAAGGACACCGCCTGTTTTTCCGCCTCGCTCATTGTCGCTGCTCTTTGTTTTCCAGCGTTTTGTGCATACAACTAAATTTTCCACTGAGTGAGGAAACACAAATAATTGATCAGCTGTTTGCAGCTGCTGCCACAGTTGCCACACCGTTTAAAATAAGTCTCGTTAATGGCGCAGTTAATGGAAGAGAATTGAAATATGTTCTATTAATTTTGAAAAAAAAACAAAAGATTAAAAATAGAAAAGATTTCCTAACATGACAACGCACTCCGCATAATCTTACTTTTGAACTGGATCTAAGTCAACTAAGTATAATCGTTTACAACATTTTAAAAATTAAAATAATAATTATGCTTCATAGTACTTGAGAAAAAAAACAATGCGTATTTATTGTAGTTGAATTTAAAAATAAATGTATAAGGTTAATTCGGTTACAATTTAACTTTGCTGATTTAAATTTATATCCGCCATCTTTGCGGACAGGGTGGCAACGCTAAGAAAATTTTAAGTATTTTTTGACCATCTGTTTACCAGGCTGAGAAAATACCATTCGCAGGGATGGCAGGTTGGTAACACCGATTCATTCAATTCGATTTCAATCTCGAACCGATTTAGACGCTCTCTGCGCGTTAACGGTGTTCTCGTTTTGTGTTTTCGTCCGCCGTTTTTTAGCCACCCCCCGCCGGCCCCCGCCCACTTTTTGCGCGAGTGTCGATTATTGTTTTGCTGAATGAAAAGGATCAAATAGGGGGATTGCAATGAATCCTACAGAATGCATTCGCTGCACGGACAGTTCATGAGAATTTGACATTTAAGTGCAAGTGAGTTTTAGCCGCAAACTGCAGTTTGGCTTTGCAATTTGTTGTGTTTTTGTTTTTCTTGGCGTGGGCTAAGATTGGCGGACACACCCACCCGAAAACAAAAAGTAGTCCATAAATATACGAAATTATATATTTGTGTGTGTGCGAGTGAGAGGAAAGGGACTCGAGCCGGTTTTCGCGAGTTAATTGACAAAGCAAAACAGAAAAATAAAACATAAGCAAACAAAAGCAAACAACGAAAAGTAAACAAAGGCTATTATAAACTGCGGTTATGTTCCAAACAAACTGAAAGATCGTTCTGCGGATCCGAGGAAGACCATAACAATGCTCCATACCCAATAATTAGCTATCACACAACCCACGCATTCCAATAACATGACCAAATTCCCCCCCGCCCTGCTCCCGAAACATGGCCAAATTCCTGGCAGCCCTTGGCATCTGCTTTTGGTTCTTCGTTTCGGCCAACGCTCACAACTGTCAGCATCAGCATCCCAAGGCCCACGAGGTGAGTCCAGATATCTGGGGAAAAGGGCTATTTCGAGGTTGGTGATTTCGATGGCTATTCTGCTCACCTGTACACGTGTGCGAAGTAATTCGAAAGGATTTAACCGCAACTGTTTCACAAAATCGATTTCAGCTTTAACTGTTTTGTGCGTTTGCTATTCCAATTTTCGTTTCTGAGGGAATGTAAATAATCGGGATTTCAAAGAAATAATTCGAGCTTTAAGATGGCAAATATAAAAAATTATTCAAACAATTTGATGAAATGTAACTGTAATGAATATTCCTCCTCGGTGAGAAATATAATTTATTTTTTTGGGGGTAGATTATTTAATGACAAAACTCTTAACTATTAGCCGAAGTCCTGATAATATAAAAGTATATTTTTTTTCTGCATTTCGGAAGTAATAAAGCTTTTACAAAAGTAAAGAAAAATGGTTTCACTAACGGATTTCGATTTGTGCTAAAACAACATGAAAATACCCTCCGTATGCGGCTGCCAAAATCGGATTTGAAAAGGCAACATCGATAAAACCCCAAAGAACCAGCAATTGGGGCCTTCGCCGTTCAAATTACTAGCTTGTTGTGTCCTTTGTGCTCATTAGAGCAAGTTCCTAATTGGTCCTGCTTTCGTAGGAAATTTATAATTGATTGGTTCTGCAATGGAACGACCTAATTAGAGCAGCAGTAAGACAGACGAGCACTGAAATTGTCGTTCTCATGATTCTGCCATAGAAACAGAAACTGAAACACTATGCAGGCGATGAGCAACCACAGCTTATTGACTAATTCCGCTGGATAGATAATAATATGCGCATTCGAGACTCAGTCAATGCGATGTGGTTACCATTCCGGTGGTGCCGCTGCATATTAACAGGTAGCTGGAAACTGGCAACTGGCAACTGGCAACTGGCAACTGGCAACTGGCAACTGGTGGTTACCAAACCGCCTCCACATGCACCACATCCAGTGGTCTAGTTAGGGTTTAAGTTCAAACTCTGCTGTCGGCCAACTTGTTGCTCTCAATTTAGCCGGGCTTTTGTCTTTCTGCAGGGGTTTTCGCTTACACTTAACTGCTTTCCAATCAACCGTATTTTTAATTGGCGCGTCGCCATATAATAAAGGTCGCAGTCAATTGCGCAAAAGGGGGAAATTTACATGATTACTGTACCGAGTGCGGTACAGTCGACCCTGGATTGTTGCTGTTTCCAGGAAACCGGAAATTGCAGTTTCGCAAAATGATTTTATTTATTCAAATTTTAAGTTTACTTGTAAGCTACTAAGAAGTACTATTAAGTACAATCCGATAAAAAAAACTCAACCGAGACGAAACTTTTCTACTTCCAAACTTGGAAATTTTAAAGGCCTTTTCGGTATAACTTGTTAAAAGAAAAACACTTTTAATCACCAATTTTGCCAAACCACATTTTAATATTTTAATACCCAGAAAACTTCGAGTGAACCGTAAAACCACAAAGTCTTAATTAGCGAGTAACAACTTTGGTGGAGCAAGTAAAAGTAAGCACGAGCAGCAAGGGAAAATTAATTCAGCGACTGTCTGTCGATGGCTAACGATGCTGTCGAGGTCGCCCAGCGTGTAATTAATAGAATTATCTGTAACTTAAACTGTTATAAATGCAGAAAACAGTCGGCCAGATTGTGTCTCCGTCTGGAATCGGAATCGAAATGGCTCTGTCCGCCCACCCACAGAGTTATCCTGTCAGAGGCAGTGATTGTGAAAGAGGATAAAGATATAAGTGCGGGCAGAGTCCGCTGATGCGGGGGCGAATGACCCCAAAAACCCCACCGACCAATCAAATACCGGTCCAGCTGAAACCGAAGCACTCAATTCTAATTAGTCTTATATAAATTGAAGAAAGCAGGGGAGAAAAATACGCGAATAAGCGCAATAATGTGTAAAAATCCCCAAATTGATTCGTTTGTCACGTTGCCAGTGTGCGTGCCCGCCAACGATGACGCGGACTGTACTGTTGAGTTCGTAAGCCGATAAACGCGGACACCGAGTGCACTTTAAACTCACAACAGATTTTTTTGGAACTTCCGAAAAGCTGCCAGTTTCATTTTTTGCCTTTCATTAATCTGAGCTGAAGCTGCAGAGTTTTTCTATTCAGGATTAAAAACTCATTTGCCTGCAGAGTTTGGTGGAATTTAATTTAGAGCCTGGGATATAAAATAAAAAAGAGCTAATGGAAGGTAATCAGGTGTTAGATAAAAATGGGTTCGCTGATTTCAAACTTTATAATTTCTAACATGCAGAAATAGGAAGTACTTTACCTTTCGGTAAGTGTAAAAACCTTACCTCATAAATGAAAATAAACAATGTTAAAGTTTCTTGTTTTGTGATGTCGACACTATATTTATCTTTTAGAAGATCCCCGTGGCAACTATAAACGCGAATGCAAATGCATTCATATCGATGAATTGTTTTGCAAGCCTCTACATGTATTTCCATTTTAAGTAGATAGCAGTCTTTCCTCTTCTGCAATTTTCGCCCCCCGACCATAAGTCACGATTAAATATTTATCAACTTGACGAAACAAACTTTAAACAAACAAGTTACCTTGTAGGAAAACGCTTTAGACAGGCAACAAGAAGCCATTCATGAAAACTTTGAAGCATCCTCGTGCAGAATAAAGGAAAATCGAAGACAGGACTTTCCGGCTTTTTTTGCTTCAGAAAATAGAGGTGGGGCTGACTTGCTATTTTATTCATGGGATTGGAAGAGTAATTGCCCAATTACAAGTCCCAGTAACTCAACTTCAGTTGCAGCATCCGAAGCAGTGAACTTGTTTGTAAGATTACATTTTCATAAATTGGATTTATACATTTTGTATGACATTGCAAGGTAGAAAGGTTGAAGGGGATGCACTGATTTTTAATTTAATGGTAGAGTAAAATCTTTTTTTTATATAAATTGCGGGTAAGTGAAATGCGGTAGGAATCCCCAAAGTAAAATGAGTTAAGTAACAACCGAATAACGAAGTGTTTTACACGCGAATAAAACATAATTTGCATGGCAGAAAGTTATAAAACGCCAGTTTTGTGTTATTAACTGCAGATTCCTCATTAGTCAAAACTAATCAAAAAGTTTGTATAATATTTGCAAACGAAAAAAGTTTGAAACCCGGTCAGTTATGTTTTAGATTTTCGCAGAAAGTGAATGAAAAGAGCTAGTTCGTAACGATGGCGGTTGCGCTTGCCTTTCGTATATTTCTATCAATTAAAACGCTGAGAGCAGAAGCTAATATTAGTAGCAAAGTGGTTACCATAGCAATGGCAAATAGACGCAAGTATAATATATAGACAGACGGTCCGACAAATCAGAGAGCTACTAAAAATATGGAATTTATCTCCAGTGCGCTCGAAGCCGCTGGGGAAAAACACGTTTGTCGAAAGCCAAAGGCAGTTGGCCAAATTGGCTGATGAATGTTCATGTTGATGCCGCTTCAGGGCCATTAAACGAAACTGTTTTGAAACAAAACACCGGCAGCTGGCAGCGAACAAACAAGTGTCTTCTGGTTGGAGGAGCTCCATGCCCCAACTAAATCCCACTTGGGCGTTGTCGTTCGTCGAAGCCCTTGCATAAGTCCCTTTAAGCCCAGGCCCTATGCTCCAATCTTCGGCATCTGCAAGTGCAAACAGGCATTAAACTTCCCTTCAATTCATTCTGCACTTGTGCAACACAACGTGCCATTTCTCGAATTCATCGGAGAACGTGCTCCTAATTGAATCAGAAACTAATTAGGCATTGTCTTCTGATTCGAGCAAAGAAAATTAGGTGACACGTTGAGATGAGCTCGAAATCATGTTTCATATTTAATCCTCTTTTTAATTGATTTATTTATGAAAGGAATTTGGCAGTGTGTGCTTCATTACGATCGTAATTAAGTTAACGCGCAATTAAATTCACACAATTCATCCGTTGTTTAAATTTTACGAGCTTTACAAAATTTGTAGTTATTATACATTTCATCGAGTTTAAGGCCGTTTAAAATTCGTTTAGCTTGCAATCAATTTTAAATTGAACAAACAAGCTTCTTGGAAATATTTAAATGGGATTAAATATGAAGTACATGCTGAATTAAATAAATTCAAATGAATTTGCTGCTGCAAGTAATGCATCACTTGAAAATTGGATTTATTGCACTTTGGACCCTGCAATAAATAATAAAAAAAACACATGCATTTTAATCCGAATTCTCTTTTGAATTCTACACATTTACTTGGTGAAATGTTACACTTGATTTTATTACAAAAGCAAACAACAAAAACAACGTTTTCATGGAACCTTAAGTGCCTGTTAATGTAATTATTCAATTGGCTGGACTATCATTCCGGTCAGAACTCATCCAATTTATTTGAGTTTGCGGCGTAAATTGTGCCACTTGAATAGCTGCTGATCCGGGCGGTCAGCTGCTGGTAAAGTGCCTTAGATTAGCTGCAGTTCATAATTTCAATTAAGTATAACACAGCTTTTTTTTTGCGGTCAAACTGTGAGGTAACGAACGAATTGAGTAAAAATAATCAACAGTCGGCGAACAGATGATTCAGACAAAAGGAGCGACTGAAAAAAGAGCAAGGCAAAAGAGCCAACAAAGTGGCGCAGCATGCTAAATAGCCAACGGCAAACCCCGGCTCAGAAAATATTAAACAAAAAAAAAAAACAAAAAACAATAACACAAATTGGTAAGCTGGAAAAGAGCGAAGCTGCTCGAGAGAACCCAAGAGTGAGAGTGGTGGCCAAACGAAAGTGAAAGCCCATTCCAAGACGCTCAATTGAAAGCCGCCACTTCGAACGATCTGCCGAACTTGAGCGATCGTTGAACGCAGGTGACAGCCAGCAGAATATTACACTGCAATAAATATTTTTACACATTTAAATAAATATTTTAAATTTTAAATAATAAGTTAAAAGTATAGAAAAATATAATAGCGTTTTTATACATTTTGATATAGGTTGTTCAGTTATTTGTTTGTTTACAAAATTTATGGTAGTTTCCCTAAATTTAATACGATTTAAAATTTGCAAACATGAAAATTGAGTTACTAACATAAAATAAGGATCAAGGTTGAATATATTGTTTAGTATTCAGATGCATTGTTATCTCTTCCAATGACTGCATGAATATTTATAACTATCAAAACATAAACAAGTATAAATTCACCGTCTTTTATTATACAAAAATTTGCAATCTTAAATATAGGTTACTGAAAACGGGAACAGAGCTGATTAAATTAATTAATATTAACACAACATGGCATTTATGGATGTGGTATTGTTGTTTTGATTCAATAACCACATGCATATTTATTAGCTGTGAATAATTTTGTGTGTATTGTAACATAGTCTTTGATTGATTTATTTCAATGGTGCTATCAATAATTCATTAAGGAAAAATGATGTAAAAATAGATAAAAGAAAAATTTAAATTAGGATGAACATTATTTAATTGATTTAACTAATGACTAATTAATATATCTTCATTTATTTCCCAATAAATTTAGTAGAGCTTGCATTCAGATTTTAAATCTCGTCTTGTAATTATTAAGTTTACTGAGCTGTAAAATAACATTTTTTCTCTGCAATATTTTTGTGCGGAAGAGAGTGTAAGCGAGTGAGTTGAAGACGCAGAAATGTTTTCAGTTACGGATTGGTTGCCGATTGGCAGACAGAGTGACTGCCAGCGAGTCGGAGACAGACGTAAATAATTACTCAACCACCAGCGATGATCGATTCCCGCGCCCAAATTAGCATGCGCAACTGGACAGGCAGCGTTGGCGCCTCGTAATCCCGATCCCAAAGCCAAATCGCCCCTCTTTTCGCCCAAAGCAAACGTGCGTGGCTTGCAGTTGGCCATTTATGACAGCTACTTTTTTATTTGTTTTGAGAGTTGGCCAAGCTCTTATTTGTTTGGCTAAAAAAGTAAATACGGGAGGTAATCAGGCGGGCGCAGGCGCAGCAGACTGTAACCAAAAGCGAGCATTTCTCTTTGCTTTTCTTTGCCGGTCTCCGCATTTTTTCTTTTTTTTTTTTTTGAATTGTTACCATTTCTGCCTTAAACGTGAGTCGCATACCCAAAGCTGGACACGCTCGAATGTGGCCCACAAACCGAATAAAAATTTGTTTGCCCCTCGAATGTGTGTTAGTATGCAAGCCAATCCGGTTGGCCATTACGTCTTATCACCAGATTGAATAAGCCCATGTGCATGCCAAGTTGGCTAGAAAGTGTGGGCAATAATTATGGTAAAACACTTCCACTAGGACTCTATAGAATCTTAGGTGCTTTGTTTTTATTTTTTAGGTGAAGTGGAGTAAATTTAAGTGTAATTGTGAAACTATTGAACAATTTGAAAAACTTTTTTAGTGAATATTATTAAAAATATATAACCGAGCCATTTATTTTTACTGTCGCGATTTTGTTGATGTACCAAGTTGTATGCAAACCATATTGGCCCTTATCTACTGGAAATTTGGTTAAAACTCCAGCTTCATCAGGAGTCCAATTCAAGAGTGCTAAATTTGCGCCAGCCTTGTGAAAAAATAACAATTTATTTATCCTATTTTAAAAACGTTCCTATTACCGAACTTACCGAGAAAGGACAGGTGTGATTGACATTTGTGAATTCCTTCATAAATGAATAGATGAGATTGGCAATGACAAACTTCCTTCGGTTTTTTAGGAATTGGCAAATGTCAAGTTTAATATCGTACATAAACGGATGCCAGCCTCCGGTTTCGCGTTTAACCATTTTAAAGTGGATCTCAAACTGCAAAAAAAACTTTACTTTTAAGTATCCAAGGTTGATTTTTGTTTTGAATTACTTGTGTTGCAGTTTTGAACAAAATCGTCTCTATGTTGATCAAATTGTGCTTCCGATCGATTGCTTTTATATGGCACTGCTTAATTTCACCCAACTGTGGAGCATAAATTTCGCATTGCAGTGCATTAAACTTATAGGAACCCTTGACCTTCAAAGAACAGGCTGAAACCATCAATCCGCAAACATTGTAAAGGTTACTCACATAATCGAAACTATTAAGCCAAAAAAACCACAAATAAATTACTTCTACTCTGATCATTTTACTATTTACAACTGAACGTTTTTGTATCGAATTCAATATAGTAACGTTAATTGGATTTGGACAATTATCTATAATTGTTGATGTCATTTTTCTGATTTGGATTTAAACATTTAAACAACATAGACAACATTTTAACATTAAATTGTTGAGAAAAATTAATTGTATGCTGGGGTAAAAATAGTTTTTTTTATTATTTTAAAAAAAATTTTATTTCCAAATGTTTAAGATTGCACTGTAAAAAATAAAGTTGGCTTTTAAAATGTTAAACAAAAAAAAAAAAATATATCGTATTGGCCGACTATATACAAGAGATTAAAAAAAAAAATCGGACTCCGTTGTTTTTAATCATATCGACTTGATTTCTTCCAGATAGAGTTTTATTGAATTTCAAATTTAATTTTATTAGAATCGGATAACTTTATCATATAGCTACCATAGGAAAGATCGAAATATACATATATATTTAGAAATAAATGATAACGCCGTTGTTTTTTATCCTACGGACATTAGTTTTAGAATATCGTGTTTTTAATTACCCTAGAGTCGAGAAATAATTTCATAAAGTTCGGAAAACTATATCATATAGCTGCCATAGGGGAGATCGAAATATCCATATAGAATTAACGGAAATTAACGGAAAAATGATAACATTGTTGTTTTTCATCAGACAAGCATGATTTTTGGACACGGTCGAATGGCCCACAAACCTTTTCGAATGTGAGTTGGTATGCAAGCCAATCCAGTTGGGCATTACGTCTTATCACAAGATTGAATAGAAGTGATAGATAAAAGTGCGGGCAATAAAAATGCTAAAAACACTTCCACACTTCCACAAGGATACTAACAGATCTTTAGGTGCTTTGTTTTTATTTTTTAAGTGAAGTGGAGTGATTTTAAGTGAAATTGCGAAACTTAATCAAATTGACAATATTTTTGTAGTGAATCTAATTAAAAATATATAATGGAACCATTTATTTTTAAAGCCATGATTTTGTTGATGTACCAAGTTGTTTGTAGTCCATATTGGCCTGGATCTACTGGAAATTTGGCTAAAACTCCAGCTTCGTCAGGAGTCCAATTCACCAGTTGCAAACTTTCGCCAGCCTTTCAAATAAATACATTCATTTCTTTTTATGAATATTATATATTTAAAATATAAACTTACCAAGAATGGACAGGTGTGATTGACATTTGTGAATTCCTTCATAAACGAATATATGAGATTGGCAATGAAAAACTTCCTTCGGTTTCTAAAGAATTTGCAAAGATCAACTTTCATATCGTACATAAACGGATGCCAGCCTCCGATTTCGCGTTTGACCATTTTAAAGTGAATATCAAACTGCAAAAAAGCTTACTTTTAAGACACCCAAAGTTGATTTTTGTTTTGAATTACTTTTGTTATAGTTTTGAACAAAACCGCCTCCATGTCAATCTTGTTGTGCTTCCGATCGATAGCTTTTATGTGGCATTGCTTCATTTCACCCAACTCTGGAGCATAAATTTCGCAATTCAGTGCATTAAACTTATAGGAACCCTTGACCTTCGAAAAACAGGCTTTAACCATCAATCCGTACACATTGTAAAGGTTACTCACATAATTTAAACCATTAAGCCAATAAAAACACAAATAAACAACATGTACTCTGATCATTTTCCTTTTTACTACTGAATGTTTTTGTATCGTCATTCAAAACCGTAATGTTCATTGGATTTTTTTGGCAATTATATGTAATTGTTGATGACATTTGTCTGATATGGATTTAGATCTTAACATCAAGCAAGTACTCGGCACGTGTAAAATATTTAAACATAAAATTGTTTACAAAAATTTTTTGTATGCAGGAGTAAATAAGAAAGTTATATTTTTAATCATTTTTATAAGTCTGAGGATTGTGTCCTTCCTTAGAGAGTTCACTGTATGAACATTTATAAATAAAATTGGCTTTTAATAATCTAAACGAAAAGCAATAAATCGCTATTATATTAAACGAAGCGGGTTGTTTATATACTTAATGTGCCTGTGATATATTATATTAGAAATATACTTTTAATCACTATCGGATCATATAAATATTTTTGTGTTAGTAAATTATTTATGCTATTGGCTAAATCTGTGTATAACAAGCCTACTAAATCAATGAATATTTTCGGTTCAGGTTTGTACATTAATATTAATGTGGTTAATGTTGGCCATTAAAAAAACATCGTGTCCATTAATGAATGCTGCCATTCAACTGTTAACGGTTCGCATCAAAATGCATTTTGGCTGCACTAATGCCGCAAAGATATTGACACCGTTACGACTCCGATTCCCTCTCTATAACCCGCGATTCCCTCTCTATAACCCCGAATACCCCGCTATTTGATTCCACTCCCCTTTGATGACAGCGAACGCATCGAGGTGAGTCGCCCGTCTAAATGGTTTTCTGCGTCATCATCTTTCACCTGCCAATCGTTTCGCAGATGATTTGTAATTTGTGCGGTTTTTCAAATGCTTTTTCAATGCACTCGACCGCAGCTGCTTTGGGGATTTTGGGATGATAATGCTCCCAGCTGAGCACGATCAATGTGAAGATCGCACATAACGTTGGTTGTTTTTTTCCGAGGGTCGTTGTCACGATTATTGCGAGCTTAGGAGATACATCTCTTTGATGGTTTATGGTTTACTTATCTAAACGGCACATGAGTATGGCAGGGCGTTTCTCAAGAGGGCTTACACAGCACATCTTTTATTCATGAGATGGAAAACCTAATGACAGATGGCTAATCTCCACAATATTACAAATAATGTCATACAATTATCTTTGAACTTACCAATTTGTAACCTTAATAACTCAACACGTTTCTCAAGCATTCAAGTTAATTTTTTTTATGAAAATAAATAATGTTACAGATAATTTATTAATGATATAATAGTTTATAAAAGGCGTACAAGGTTTTTACCATCTCCAAAATTCAGTTGCAGTAGCTTTTGTTTAATATTTTGTAGGATACATTTACAAGACGGTGCATTACATTTATTTGTTGTTTTGGTAAACAATGATTTTTGAAAATTAAGGAAACAATGACAAACAGATACTGTCACGTTGGCGGCTGATCCGCAGTCATTAGTGCTTCGATGAGTGGGAGATAAACCCGAGATCGAGACAAACCCCGTGGCACTTCAGTGGAACCACACCACTGCTGTTTGCTCAGCTCATTTCAATGCCAAACTCTTTTGTCAGATCGCAATTGCCTCAACTATTGTTGTTCTTGGATAAATAGGAATGGGTTTTTGTTTTTTTCTTCTTCGACGGGTTCGTGCAGGTGTCTAACTTTGCCTTTTACGAGCAGTTACAATCCGCACTTGGGCAGTGAGAACACCTAGCAAGCCACTTCCCACGATGAGGGCCATATGCTGCTCCATTAATTAAGGCAGCTAAGCTGTCTGTGCCAATACATTTCTTGTGTGCAAATTAGCTTTATTATAATTTCAATTGCCTGTGTCGATGATGTCGCCTTTCACTCCCCGTCTGGCTTTTCATTCGGTATGATAGACTGACTCACTTTGATGACTGGAAAGAAACATGTATGCTTTCGTTTTTATGCCTCCCAGCCCCCTTTTCTCCCCTGGGTGGAACTTCTTCGGAAAGCAGCAAGAACCTTTTAAGACCGCTTTGCGGACAGACAGACTACATTAAGTATACGCACACCCACACCCACACACACGCAATTTTCATGAGCATATTTTCAGCCGCACTCGAGCGCATCTCCGAGATGTCGGCGACAATTTATGCTGATGAGTGTCAAGTGCTTTATCCCTCTGTCTGTCTGTCTGCTTTGATTGTCTGTCAGCGGATTATTTGGTCGGATAAAGGTTGCTGCTGCATATTCAACGAAGACATCTAATTTATTCCTAATAATTGGCACAGATTGCACAATGCGACTGGTGGAGTATAATAATAACGAAACGAAACGAAACAAAAAACAATGGCATCGCCGAAACAACGGGCTAAATAAAAGCCAAAACAAAATAACCAGAGCCCGCAAATCATTGACATTTCGATGTGCCAATCGTTCGACATTTTGGCGGGTAATTTAAAAATTAATTTCACTGCAATTTGCGCAGACCAATTACCGCCGCGGAACTGCCTTTTTGTGTGGCCTTTGTGTCTGACTACATGTCGTCATTTTAACTATTAACAACGAAATTTCGCTTTCGTTTAGGCTCCGCTGACTGATTTCTTGATTTCTTCTTCGCTCTCCCTTTCCTTTACTTTCCGTCTCTATCGCTATGCTATACTATCTATTATATCTATCTGTTTATCGGGCTCATCATCCATCCATCTCTCGTTTTATAGGTCGTCCATGGCGTGCGCATCCAACTGGCTGATGGCGAAGAAGACTCCTCCTTGGACTCAGCCAGGCATAGCGTGCGCCGGCGCAGCGTTGCCGCCGAGCAGCCGCTGCGAATTCTGCTCGTCTACGATGACTCCGTCTACAGGTGAGTAACGCAGGTCCACTCAAAAAAAAATCGAAGCATAATTCCAAGAAAATTGTAAAGTTTTTAAGAGAATTAAAATTCAGTTTTAAAAAAAAGCAACCAAAAGAAGAGAATTAATTTTTCATCAATGAAAATTAAAATTCAGTTTAAAAAAAAAGCAATCAAAATAATTTCCAATTTATTACATATTTTTATTGCTACTTATTCATTTTGAAATGCAAATAAATTTACAGATTTTCGAATTTCTAATAAAAATAAAAGAAAACAAAAACACCTATTGAGATATCCTGGTAATCCTTTTATTTGTTGAAGGAATTTATAATTGAACCAGTTAAGTTATATTTTGCTTATTAAGTTTACCTCCTTTACTTTGAAAATAATTCCGTTTTTCCGCGTGTAAATCTGTGTGCTCCAGCTCTGAAAATTGGCTTTAATTGCACTTTAATGGCAGCCAGCCAAGCAGACAAAAAACAGTTTACGATTTGACTTGGCCGAATGTCAAGTTAACGTTCAGCCGCGCAAAAGCGAGTAAATAACCGACTCTCTGGAGCGTTTTGCTTTGGCCATGCACCGTTACGACCGACGCTCTGGGTTGGGTAACAATGTACCGCAGGCCCGAACCGTTTGGTTTTGGCCATGTGTGCGCAATTTGTCCAAATCAAACGTAGTGGGCCGAGGTGGTGTCTCCTAAGGTTGGCCATCGATTGCTCCATCCACATGGTCAAGCGGAGAAAAAATGGCTAAATGGCTAAATGGCCACTGGAACTGGCCAGATCGACTGACAGTTAGTTCAAATCGATCCGCGCGTTCGATTGGCGAGCAATGGCAGCGGACAAGGTCAGCAGGAAAGCGGAAAGTTGACTCGACTCTCGACTTGACTTGGCTTTAATTTTGGGTTTTCGAATCAGTGAATAATTTAGTCGTGAGTAAGTGACTCAAACAGGTGTTAACAGGTACACAATTACCCGGTATTGGTATCAGATACTTGACAGTAAATATCTTATGGCCTTCGAGTAAGAGTTTGTCGTGGGGGAATTTGCTTTGACTAATTGGATTCCAATGGTTTTCAATTTAAATTATTTATTATGGTTTTTTTTTTGATTAGTTTGAATATTTAAGTAATCCAACTTGTTAACTTGAAGTGGCTTAGTTTACTTCTGGTTTTAAGATGATTTAATTAAGAAATAAACATTAGTTCTGTCAGCTTAAAGCGATTAAATCTCAAGTTAATTAGAGCTACCTAGCTTATATTTAAAAAAAGCTTACTTACTTGTAAACATCTGTGGTGTTAATATCTTTATTTTTCCGAAAAGTCAATACTCCTGGAATTTTCCTTTGATTAAATGGTCTGGATGGCGAAACCAAATACCCACCTAAGTTTTGTTGTCAAGGCCCGCTTATCAACAAAGCAAAATTGGCTTCGCAAAATTTCTGGGAAATTCATACATCTAAATAAACAAAAACGCCTTGACGACACCCACGTCTGCGTGCCACCCTTTTTCCCATTGAGATTTTAATAAACAAACTATTTTCTTGTTGTTTCACGCTCACCATCTGCTAGGTTGGAAGAGGAGAAATTTAATTTGATAAATGTGAGTTGGCGTTTCTCGTTTCCTTGGTCCTCCAATCTGAATGCTTTTTGTTTACCCTTTCACAGGACACCGTGCTCCCGGAGGCCGTACAGTTCTGGGAACAGGCACTGATGGTCCGAGAAACCAAGGGCGTCATTCGCCTCAATAGGTAAGTTTACCCCCACCGCGTGGACAAAACAGCAAACAGGCTAAAATATTCATTAATGAATTTTTAGGAAATGCGATAGCACCCAGGTGTACGTGAAGAATGGCCACACCCACTGCATTGACCACTGCAAGGCGACGACGATGTGCGGCGAAGTCCAGGTTCCCAACGAGCACTTGGACGTAAGTAACTCTAGCAGAGTTTTCCCCGAACTCGAATCAAGTTCTGGTGGAAAGCTACAACCACTCCTAACATTATTCCAATGAAAAAGACCTTGAATAACATAAATGCAGCTTAACCAAATATTTGTTAAATTCAAAACTGGTTTAGGCAGCGAATGAGCAAGTGCAGCTTTTATGGAGGGTCTCTCAATTAGTTGGCAGCTTACAAGGCACTCTATATTTAATAGATAGTAACATATAATAATCTTTCCAGGTCTGTCGTGTTTGCAATGCCACTGGTCAGAATTGTCGAATTGATAATAATACGCAGCCGGGAGAAGGAATAGAGAATGCAGACTTTGTGTTTTATGTGTCGGCTAGACAAACCCAACGATGTTTTAAGGGACTGACGGTGGCTTACGCTGCCCATTGTCAGCAGGAAGCGGCTCTGGATCGGCCAATTGCCGGACACGCCAATCTTTGTCCGGAGAGCATTAGCACTAAGCCGCAGGAGCTGCAGACGCTGATCTCAACCGTAAAGCATGAGATTCTGCATGCACTGGGATTCTCCGTGAGTCTGTACGCTTTCTTCAGGGATGATGAGGGAAAACCACGGACGCCACGAAAATCGGACACAGGCAAGCCGTACCTGAATGAAAAGTAAGCTATCCAGTTAATCCTTAACTAACTAATCCGTAAATAATCCATAAACTACTATTTTAGATTGCAGATTCACCAGTGGAGCAACGAGACCATACGCAAGGTGATGCGAGAAAACTGGTCTGTGCGTGGTGGCCATGTCAACAAGATGGTGGACATGATGGTCACTCCCCGTGTGACGGCGGAGGTGCGTGCCCACTTCAATTGCGATAAGCTGGAGGGCGCCGAGCTAGAGGATCAGGGTGGCGAGGGAACCGCCCTGACCCACTGGGAGAAGCGCATCCTTGAGAACGAGGCGATGACTGGCACGCACACACAGTCGCCGGTCTTCTCGCGCATCACCCTCGCCCTGATGGAGGACTCTGGCTGGTATCGCGCCAACTACTCCATGGCCACGCCTTTAACCTGGGGAAAGGGTTTGGGCTGTGCGTTTGCCATGCGCAGCTGCAAGGATTGGATACAGTTGAATCATGCCAGGTGAGAATAGAGTTGTATAACATAAGTAATTTTAAATGTTTTTCTAATTCATCTGTTATTCTATTTTTTAAGGGGTCGCTCCATTCATCCCTTCTGCTCGAAGGTCAAGCAGGATCCCCTGCAGACCGAGTGCACCGACGATCGAAACTCGGTGGCGTTGTGCAATCTTATCCGTCATGAGTTCGAGTTGCCCAAGGGCTATCAGAACTTCGACAGCCTGAATCATGTGAAGGATGGCGAGGAAGGTTTCTACGGTGGATCCGTCTCACTGGCGGATCACTGTCCCTACATTCAAGAGTTCACCTGGCGCAGCAAGAATGTGATAGTGCGGGGATCCCATTGTCGATTCACAGAAAACAATCCAAGTACGAATAATATTTTATATTAATATGATTACCCATTTAACTTATGTTCTTCGATTTGCAGAGCCGGAGAAGAACTTCGCGTTGGAGAGCTACGGCGAAGGAGCCAAGTGCTTCGACCACAGCGAGTCCATGTGGGAGGAGCGATCCTGCCACCAGACACGCGAATGGCAGCACTGGGGCAGTGGATGCTACAAATACGACTGCTTCGACGGACGCCTGCACATTTTGGTTGGCAACTACAGCTACAAGTGCTCCTTCCCCGGGCAGAAGCTCTCCATTCGGATCGCAGCCAATGGATGGCTGCACAAGGGAGCGATCATGTGTCCACCGTGCCACGAACTGTGCGGATCCCAGTTCGCTGCCGAGGGCAAACAGTGTCGTCCGGGCGAGGAGCCCGATCCGCTCAACAAATACCCGCGCGACAACCTCGCTTGCGGAGCGGCCAGCGAGGTATCACGTTCCGTGGCCATAATCACCGCTGCTCTCCTGCTCTTCGGTCTGCGGTGCGGTTTCAGTTAGGCTGGCCAGCATGCATGGTGCAGTTTTACTTGCTCTTTATGTATTTAGTGAAATTTGTACATTTTAGCTGTATGATGTAAGCTCAACTTGTCTAAACGTAGGTTTACTGTAAGCGTAAAACTCCCGAGATTTGAGTGGGTCGGTTTTTTGGCAAAGAAATTTGAACAATTTCCTATATACTATTGTGTCTGAATTATGGATATAGCCTTTTTCAGCTAAGGAAAATTGTTTCAAACTATGCTCAAATATTAACTAGTTTAAAACGCATTGTTTTGCTAGACTTTCTCTATATTTCTGTGCATTCAAAAAAAATTGACCCCACCAAACGATAGCTTGTAATTTGTCCATCCCAAAATGTGATCTTTTTTAAGTGTGTCCTCGGATCTTTCCTGCATTTTGAAATGTTGGCTCTGTGCAAAGCCATTCACTTTAGAGTGGAGCATCCAAAGACAGGTCTATGCTTTTTGAATACTGATCTGTACATTCCAAAGCCTATTGCGAACAATATTTGATATTCAGAACGGTAGCATTTGGAAGTCCATTTGCGTGTTGTTAAATTTTTTGTTATTTATTATGAATATGGTTTTCTAAATTCGTTGATTGCCTTGTGATTTATGTATCCGATTAGTTTCGCTTAAGTTAAATGTGTTTTTTCCATTTCAGCTGCCTATCAAGCATTTAAGATTTGTAAACAGAGCACTTGATTTGTAATTTAGCTTTTAAGAACCTACACTTGAAATGTGAATAAACCAAGAGACCCTTATAATCGCAAAATAGTTTTTAAATAAAGTTTATTGTAATACTTAGGTGTAGTCTAACTCCTCTACGAGTTCGTAGAGGATGCCACCATCGTTGTCCTTCGCAGGAGATTCAGTTGCACTTTCTGGCTTTTTTAGGAAAAACGTTTTGCCTACTTCCTCTCGTTTTACTGGACTTTGCTGGTGTTTTTATGAGCTTGGACCTGAATGGAAATAGCATAAGTACTGGAAAATGGGTACTGATATGTTTACATACGCTTTGGTCAGTTCTTCGAGCATGGGAAGTAGTGTGGATCGCGAAACTCCGCGGGCTTCCTCTTCGGCCAATTCTTTGGGATGCGCTTGGCGCTTGTGCGATCGGCAGTTGGAGCCGTTTGAAAACTCTCTTCCGCAAAAGTTGCACTTATACGGCCGAATGCCGGTGTGCAGGATAAGGTGAGACTTCAGCGTCTTACTTCGCTTGAATGTTGATCCACAAACATCACACTTGTATTGTCGTTCGTCAGAGTGCACCAATTTGTGCTTGTTGAATGTGCGACGGGTTTTGAGCTTCACGCCGCAAATGGTACAATCGTAGCCTTTGTCGCTGTGCGTATCTAGGTGGATCTGAAAAAGTTATGGCGTCAGATAGGATCAATTCAATACATTACATTCCTTTTTGTTACATTTAATCTGGCCTTGTTTTTGAAGCGCCGTTGGCATACGGAACACTCGAAAGGACACTCTTCGGTGTGAACCAGTTTGTGGTCCTTAAGTCCGGTCACGTAATTAAAACTCTTTCCGCAAATATCACAGATATAGGGTTTGATCTGCTTGTGAACCGCATCTATATGTCGTTTGAGTGTTCCCGGTGTGGTGAAACGTTTTTCACAGTGCGGACAAGAGTTATCCGGTTTCACTTTGGGGGGTAAATGCGTGCGATAGTGGGCATGCAGTTGGTTAACTGCAGAAAAACATAATCCACACTGGTTGCATTCCAACTGCGGTAGATCCTTGGCCACAGTGTTGTGAACCTCCTCCATGTGTCTTTTGTAGGCCTTGGGTTTCTTGTACGGCTTGTTGCAAATTCTGCATTTATAGATGGCTGGCTCCTCGGGAATTTCACCCTCCTCCTCTATAAGATGCCCTGCGGAAAGATCATCCTGGGGATCGCTCTCAGACTCTATGCTTTCCTCTGCGATTTTGGGCTTTAAGGTTTCGGCTTGAGGATCCTGAGAGATAACTTCATAGGTTTCGATTTCGAAGTCTTCAACTTGGCTCTCTTCTATTATTTGGGACTCTTCGATGTAATTGTCGTCTTGTGTGTGATCTTCTTCTACTAAGCTATCAGAGGATTCGTGGGGTTCTACTTCCACCTCCACAGGTTCAACTTCTTCCTCTACAAGCTGTTCATCTACTTCGAGGATTTGCTCCTCCACTCCAGCGATATGTAGTTCTTCTCTGGCAATTTGTAACTCTTCTTCAACGATTTCCAGTTCTTCTTCAGCGACTTGCAGATCATTTTCATTTTGTTTGGAAAACGACTCCTCCTCTAAACTGGGTACAATTAAATTTTGTTTCTCGTTTCCAGCGGTTTGCATTTTATCTACAGCAACTTCTTCATCTCTCTGCAGAGGATGCCGATCTTCTGCTCTAGACATCATATGCTTCCAATCATCGGTCACCAAGCCACAAACCCTTCGTTGTTCTTCATAATCTACAATAACACCCGGTTTGATGATCTGCAATTTGTTAAAAAGCGTTTGCACTTTGCGAACTCTCTCCGAAAATTCAATGAGACAATCCAATAAAGTGAAACATTCTGAGCACAGATAATTGCTCAGCTCATCCTCCTGTTTGATCTGTAAAATATTACTATAGTTTTCTTTATAGAATAAATAACTAAATATTAGTTACATCAACCCAGAAATATTTGCCAATGGTCATGGCTAGCATATTTGCCCTGGAGTTCTTGTTCTCCTCCCTGGCGAACACGTTCTGGTTGCTTGGATTATCTTTGGCACACAGGCGGCACCAGCGGCGCCAGAAGGTTGCCTCTTTATTCCCGGATTCTTTTTTTGCCAGGAAACTCATCATGTTCAAAAATCATTTAAAATCACTTTTACTTTGTTTTGATTAACAACTCTGTCTTTGTCGACAAACCAGGGCTGGCAAGTGCGGTAGCAACCAGGGATGCGAATGGTATCTAGTTCCAGTTCACAATTTGGCGGTTTTCTAACGGCCCCCTCATTTGTTTCAAATAAGCGCTCATTTTGCAAGCTAGTTGCAGAATTCTTAGAAAACCCAGCTCAAATAAATATCAAACACGAAATGTGAGCCTTTTACAAAGTAACTTATATTTGTAAAATTCAAAACGTTCTACTTATGTTATTAGTATTTGTGTTATTAACTGCGTTAATTAGGTCCATCATCACTCGAGCTCTTTTAGACGTTATGAGCATTCTTAAAGTGTCCGTAACTCTGCGGCATATACATACGTATAACAGTATAAGTAATTTAGCTTAGCAGCTTAGGTAAATTAAATAATGCACTAGACTTAAACTAGGTAAGTGTATGAAACAAAATACTAGATGTCCTTCAACTGCCATTGACGGCGTCCTCCGACTTCATCGTCGAGCTGGGGAGAAGTTCACCGCTGCCCAGAAGATCGGCACTGGATGCAGCTGGCGGCAGTTGAGGCTGGGGTACATTTACTGGGATCACAGGGACAAGCGGCACAGCCGCGGCTTCCATTCCCGGCGCGGTGCTAATTGTCCTGGCCAATGTCTTCTGCTGGCGCATCAGCTTCTCCTTCTCACGAGCCGCTTTCAGCTTCTCAAATTCATCGCCCTCATCTTCTTGGAGCTGCGCAGCCGCATTGGCCAGCACATCGTTGGAGAACCTCAAGTCCATGTTCTCCACTGCAAACACATAAGGTAAACGTCAGTAAAATACATTAATGGATCACTGAATAATCAATGAAGTAATACGCAACGTGCAACGTCTAGGAAATGGCTAGGACTAATTGCTAGGCGGTTACCAATATGAAGTTGGAGTTACGGGTTGTCGACTACCTACTTGACCAGTCAGAAATCAGTTCTGTGGTCTTACGTAGTTTCAAATTAATCAATTTAAAGGGCTAAGCTGGGGTTAGTACTCAACAATTATTTGAAGCATTGCTTCAATAAAAAAAAATTCATTCCAATTGTTTAAAAAATAATTAAAATATAACAAGAAAAATAAGTGTACTCAGGTGTGCTTGCATTTTAAATATTAGAATTCTAAATAATATTCTAAGTAAAGTTAGAAAAGTAATATGACTAGTTATTGTAATCATTATAAAAAGTTGTTATTTCGAAAAATGTAAATAATAATTTTCTTTTTGAACAGCGACAGAAGAAGTATTTGTTTCGGAACTTTTCTATTTTTAAATCAATATTTCTAGGAATATGAAAGCACACCCACATAAATGTATAAAAATAAAATGGAAAAAGGGGAAAAACCAGCAACGATTACGGAGAAAAGCAAGCTAAACAATTCGAACAAGGTAATGTGGCCAATGGATGTGAACTTTACCGGGCGTGACGAACCACCTGAAAACCTGCGGTGCATCGGGCCTCTCTTTGAAAAAAATTCACGAATTTGTTGAAAATGAAGATACACAAATGTTATAGAAATGAGTTTAAGAAGCGGTTTGGGCGATCAAATATCCGCATCCGCTAACCGGATGACCAAGAATGTCGAACTTACCCGTTTCCCGGCTGGCGGCCTTTTGGGGATCGTACAGGGACTTGGTGCTCTCGCCCACCGGCGAACTTGGAGCAGTGGCGGCATTGGACAACAGCAGCGGACTTCCACCCGCAGGAGCTGAAGTACTGAGCAGGCTATCCACTCCGCCGGGTGGGAATAAACTGGATTCGTACTGGGACTGGGCGCGATTGTAAGAGGGAGGACGTGCTGGTATATCCACGGGTTCCGAATGAGCTGGTGGTGGTGGCTGAAGTGGCACCGAATTCGCAGCATTCGAGGTCGAGGTTGGGGCAAAGATGTCCATGACATTCGGTCGCGGTTCATTGGCCCTCATCGATGTGATGGTGGCCTGTTCATCCACCTCCTCGATGACTTGCTGTGTGATTCTCAGACTTCCAGGTGGTTTTCCCGCCGATGTTGCCGAGCCCACAACTCCACCAGACAGACTTGCTGAACTGGCACTCGCTGGGAATTTGTAGGGCTGATCCTGACTGGGCGTGGCCGATCCCGGCCTGCTGTCATCGCGACTCAGAAAACGCTTGAGTGCCGATGCCACCGTATTCACACGGGACAAAGTTCCAGAAACGCTGACAAGCGAGGGCGATGAACCCAATCGCATTTTGCCATTTCCAGCCGAGAAGTGAATGCCACTGGCATCGTCAGCCTGGTTTAGGGAAAACGAATTTTATATTAGATACATATTTAAGAATAGTTAGTAGGTATTGATTTCTTAGTTCCACTGTGCCCGGATTACTTGAAATTATTGAGTGCTCTATTTTCAGTGCAGCAGAAAGCATTTGATAGTCGTGCAGTGCGAAGTGCTGTTAAAGGCCTTAGGCTGTAGACAGATATTTTAGGCAATTAGAATCAAAAGTTAGTAGTCACATTCTTAAAGCATAGAGAGACACAAACACCTTTTTGTAAATTATGGTTAAGCGGGAGACAGGCACAGTATTCTCAAAAATAATAAATATTAAATATATAGTATGTTAAGTATAAGTACCACAAACCCAATACGATTCAATGTTTATAATTCCTCTATTATAAATATATAAAAGTAATATCGAAGTATTATATAACACAAATAATATGATAATATATATTTTCAGAAGTAATATAAATGTGCCTTCCTAATAATTTTGAATTAACACGTTAAAGGATATATAATTGTTAAAAAAAATGCAATAAATATACTTAACAAATTAGTGCTGTTCATCTATTTGAAGTATAGTTATTTGATGAATAGATTGTTCGACATTAAGTCTTATCGGTTAATTGTTTAAATAAATACTTGAGCTTCTACTGTGCCTGCTCCTGATTGTAATTATTATACACAATTATGTACATCTAGATTAGGTCTTTATATATCTACCAAGCACCGCTGTGATTCAGAATGCCAATGAGCGAACTTTGATCCCACAAATGCAATGTTTTCTTTTCGTGTGAGACAAGAAAAAGAGGTTAGAAACTGTTGAATTTGATTTGGATTTTTGATTAGGCTTTGACTTGGATCAGATCGCAGGACAAGAGGTGATGAATTTTGTTAACCAATCGAGAGTCAGGTGCCAATGCTTTGTAAGGCTAGGGATTGCGGCCAACGTTCTGATTCTAACCTCCTCATCTGGCGAGCCCTTAGGAAAGTCATAAGTAACCGACTGGACACCGGCATCCGTAGCCGGAGCCGTAGTCGAAGTCGGATCTTGAGCTTGACCCGGACCCGGGGCCTTCGCATCCGCGGCGACGGCGGGATCACCACTAGCATTACCAACCATTTCATCGATGCGCACGGATGACATTGTCGATGGCATCGCGGCGTTTTTCGGCACCTCGATCTTGGCAGTGGACGGTTCCGGGTGATTCTCCCGGAATCTCTCGGCGGCTATAGTGTAAGGCAGCTCGTTGGGGAACACCTCGTCCCAGTATTGATCCTTCAGCAGCTCCGGATGTTCGTGGTGCATCTCGTCGACAATCAAATACGATACTTGCAGGTTGCGATCCACCATCCAGTTGACCTGTTAAATAGATTAATCATTTATACGTTCAAGACCATTAAAATGTTAACCAATAAATACCTCAAAATCATCATCATCCTCGCCAAAAGGATTGATTAGTGACTCGGCCACCTTGAGCCAACCCATGTAGAAGAAAAACTGCAGCGTTGTGAAGACCGGAAAGTATAGATCCACCTTGTTGAGGTAGGTGGTATTTCCAACCACCTTTCCATCGGTCCACTGCTGACCCATGCAGCAAGTCAGGAAATAGGAGTAGACCGCCAAGGTTACCACTTGGGTGTAGACCAAGGGAACACTTATCGTATCATAGCTGATGAGGAGTCCACATTGACCGCGGAATTTATTCAGTTCATCAATGATGGTCTTCACTGCAAAGTCATCACGAATGCGACCTTCTTTCCTGGCTCTGGTTATAATACTAGCTGCCCAAACGATGGGCAACCAGTGCTTCGAGGGTCTGGGAAAGGCCTTGTTCATCGTATCGATGATGGTCTTCTCATTTTCATTCAGCAGACCCGCTTCCACCAGATTGCTGAGGCCAGGAAAGCGCTTCTTTACCCTTGGGGAAACGTTCGCCAGGACCATTGTCAAACAAAGGCACACATATCGCATCACTGTACGTCGCATCATCCTTCCTCGTTCGTCCTGACCATGGATTATCGAGCTGACGAACACGGCAATGGGATCTGGCCAGGGAATGGAGGTGTACTGGTTCCACCAACGGGTCATCACAATCGAAACATAGAAACCCAGAACGAAGGACAGGGGTATGAGTTCTCTGTAACTATCACAGTACTGCACAATGGCCTCAAAAGTCCTGAAATTGTGTATTAAATTTATTAACATAATGTAGTTAAAGAGAGATCATAGAAGAGAAACTAAGTTGTTAAATTCATTAACACATTTAATTAAATTATTTTTTGTTGGTAGAAAGCTACTGATGTCTTCATTCTAAAAGCAAATTTCGAAACATGGCAATTTATTTAAAGTAAAAATATTTTAGTTTTAGTTTTACAAATTTGTCTTCTCATGTAAATAAATGTAAGTGCAAGCGTAACGACTTCCAAAGTAGCTTTGTTTTTCTATTTGCTTTTTTTGGGTAAATATAAGTAAAAGTTTACTATTTAAACTACACCTATTTACATAAGATAAGTGTAGGCTCAGGGAATATTTTATTATAGCTGTGGGTCAGCAAATATATATGGCTAACTTTGGCAAAAAACGAGGCGTAAACCAGTTAATGAATTCTACATTTCAAAGTTCTCTCTAGATCACTTAGTAAGTCTATCCAATACTCACTCTTTTTGCGCACTGTTGAGGCCGAAACGATACACCATATTGATCGCATAGTAAATGGTCAAGAAGGCCAGAAGATCTAGCCAGACCAGTTTGTAAATGCTTCCGCGCCATCTGAAAACAGTCAATGGGCATGTTAAAATTGAGAATAGCCAATTATTATACACTCGACTTCTTCGACATCAGCCTATATAAATAGAGCGTACACGTCAAACTAATCAGCATACAGCAAACACTGGCCCTTATCAGGCAATAACAATTATTTCTGCTATAGCTTTGTTCCAGATTCCCCACTTGACTTTCATATTTCACCTATTTTGACCAGCGGCACATTGTCTAAGGATGAAACGTCACGGTGAATTTAACCCGCTGATATGAACCGATAATTTTGGCCACTTGTTGTTGACACAAAACGTCATAAAATGTATTTGGAGCCCTCGAAATATAAACATTGTCTGCGGAAATATGCGACTGCCTTGACATGACGTCCAGACAATATTTATAAAGCTTATCAGTCGAATAAAGCGTGATATAATGAACAATCGAGCGATATCTTATAACCAAGAAGGAGGTCTAAACAAAAACAATATTTTACGATTCCTTTTCGGAAATTTTGAAAGAGGTTTTTATGTAGAAAAAACTAATGAATCATGACGGGGAGATTCCCTTCGACCACAAGGTGTTTGTATTGGTCATAGTTAACCGATATGGCTAACAGCAGCCTAATTAGATCATCAAACTATTTAAATGGCAGCCCCATTGATTACATTTCAGGCACAACGCTTATTATCAGCAATAAATGAATGGAGGAAATGCGTAGGGGGAAAACTGTATTTCCCCTCTTGGCTCTTCGTTATTAAATTATAATTCAGACAACAAGCCATGACAGATGTCGGAGTTATGAATACACGGGTCTAGATTACATATTACACACGGAGAAGAGGGCTTGGGGGAAAGTCTCGTGGCAATTGCAGTTTGCCTTATGAAGGAAAGTGGAAAAGTTCTGTAATTTGCATTCCCTGCAATTGTGTTTCTCAACTGGTTATCCCATCCAATTGTCCGATGTGTGTCAATGCTCTATAATTAGCAAACGGACTAACAATTTCACACTGTACTTCTATATCTGCCCATTGAGTTATATAGTGCGAAGTACTCGTACTCGTATGTATTGAATATAAGACTTTAACTTCACTCACCTGAGAAGCAATTTAAGAAAACAGCCAAAGCCGCGACAAGTGGCCACTTCACCTGTGTACGTAATTGTCATTTTTCTCTCCTGTTTTTATTCCACCTTGGAATTAGTTTGTTTGCAGTGCTCTTTATAGCCAAGATTGTGTTTTTTACTGCCTTATCACGTCCCATACATCGCTTTCTGTCGAAAATGAAAGTTTCACTCTTTACCTGGAACAAAATTAGATAGAACAGAATTTTTCAGAGAGCACAGGGTTATGTAATCGTAGGGGAAGTAGGGAGAATTACTCAAAACAGTACCAGGAATCGCTACAGTAACGCAATTTGAAATTCTAAAATCGATTTTTTTTCTCAATTAGACATGCGACGAAATGGTTGAAGGAAACCTGGCAGCGCGGAAAACAATTGTAGTGCATTTAACATTTAATAGAAATGCAACAGCGTCGGGCTGATTATATTAATTGCAGCAATTTATTTAGCCCCGATGCATGTTCAGTTATTTGTGTATATCTATCTGAAAAAAAACGCTCCAAGCTGAGAACTTTGCGTGTGGGCGATGTCAAAGTCATCGTTTGAGCATTTAGGCGGTCTCCATTTGATTTCGAGAGGTGTTTCTGGGGGTCAGCCTCCGGCGATTAGATACCAATTAATCGAGCAAAAAGACTCAAAGTTAAACAGCGATTGGCATCTAGTGAGTACTGTGAATTTCGGCGAATTCGTTGGGGAAGTACATAATGTAATGGAGCCCAAGATGACCTCATTGAGCTCTGTTTTCCTCGTATAAACTTTTGTTGATCTCCCACTGTAAACTGATGAATTTCCGCCACAAAGGAGAGACACAAAATGCGAGAATTTCTGCGAGCCGGTGAGCTAATGATCAAAAATCACACCACGAACTCGGCTCTGAGCTCAAATTATATTACCAAGACCAAATCGACTATGTGCCATGTGATCCCGGCCTTTCTGCCGGGGAGAACATGACATCATTTATCGGTCCGCTTATTTTAAATGGGTTTGCTAGGTATGCACAGCTCAAAAGCGATCGTGTATAATACACAGAAAAAAATATTAAATTATTGGTTTATCTACCAAAGAAATGGGATTACGTAAGTAAAAATCGCTTTTTAGGATAAAATAAATTGGTTTGTTTAATTTAAATTTTATATTTCAAAATTAAAACCACATTTTAAATATTGTCTTGTAGTGTTTCTCCATTTAAGCTTGATTTTTTTCTTTTTTGGCTCGTAAAAGTCACAAAACTACAATAAAATGACGTAGTTCAGTGATTATTAGTTTGCATTTGATTAGGCATTCAAGGTAACCCAAAGATTTCAAGGGTTCACTGTTTCCTGAGATTAGTTTATAATTATTTAAACACTAATTTCTTAGACTTTTGATTTATCACCCTTTTGCAATCGCTTGAAGCTGAAACAGCAAACTTCTGAGAGCGTTTTGAATGTTGGGTAAACAAAGACAACAGCGATAAGAATGAGACTTTCGACTGGATATATAGTAGGCATAAAACAAATAAGCTAATTTATCGTATATATACGAATGAAGCATGCAAGTAAACAGAAACAGACAAAAGAAAAGTAGTAGTATGTGATAAGTAAATAAGTAAAGGGAAACGTTACATAAGAATCTTATCAAGAGATAACATCTAATTAAAGGTCGTGAAACCTGAGGTGTAAAATCATTTCAAGAACAAATTCTAAAACTTTGACGATAGGTGTACAACTGGATTGCAGTAAATAAATTAGCTCTTGCCAAAAGTAACAAAGGCTGATCATTGTTTATTGTTTTTGTGTTCCAGTCTCAGAGATGTGGTTTAACCCCCTTTTAAATTACAGGGTACCCCCAATGCCAAACCCTTTGCGATATTTCATCAACCGAAAGTGGCACTCAAATAAGTGATATACGATCCAGTGTCACATTGCTGATTTCTTTGTTTATTGAGCAAACTTATCGATGCGTTGGCTTCGCGAGAACTGACCTCTTCTCCTGCTTTTATATAATGCATTTCGTTTATGTGACTCAACGAACTAAAATCGTCAACATTGTTGACCTATAAAGACAAATATATCGGTCATGTTAACAGACTTGCTGCCATTATCTTTCCCATTAGCATAATATTCAATATTCGTTACACTGTTTCAAACTTGACGACAACATTCGAAATCAAATGGGCGAGGTTAATGACTTTTTTGCCGAACATTTGGCTGGCGACTTTCGAGAGTTGTCAGTGGGCCAGAAAGGCGCGTGGCTAAATTTAAATTATTCTCGAATGAGAGCACATTGCATTTTATTTAAATTCTTGGCATTACAGACACTTGATGCAAAAAAAAGGTGAGCGATGGGGGGCAGTAGTTTAAAGTAGCTGTTGAATTTTGAAGAAAAAAAGTATAAGAGGTAATACTTCTTGCTTCATAAGATTTTATTACAGTGTGTAACTGTTAATATTTTTTGTTTATATAATACATTTCTCTATTTATATTTTTCTTCTCAAGGGTGACTGTTACTTATTATCATTTGTTTTCATTTTGATTTATGAGTTTTTCCACTTAGTAATTCCGGGGTGGAGTTTATTAATGGCTTCCTTTTGGTCACTCAAGTAATTTGCGTAGAGATTGCAGTTGCAAAACCAAAACGGATGAGTCACTGGGAATGAATGATACATATATCATATCTACTATATACTGCAGTACTTTGTGAATTTGAGCTTGTAATTTCGGGACCAGCAATCGATTTTAAAGTCGCTCGTCACGCGTTTGAAACTGATTTTAGTTGTTATTCCCAACGGTGGACTGTTATTAAATCGCGCCACGGTCACTAACACTTACGTCTATTCCGGCATGTTGTTGTTGCTTGGATTCACGGCACGCCAGCAGCAAGAACAATAAAGTTAACAAATTGGCAGGTAGCGAAAAATAAAGTTAGAAGGGCTAAAAACAAACACAACCACAGTCAACACACACAAAGAAAACCCGGCACGTTGTAGTTTTGGGTTTCATGTACGAGTATTTTCTTCACTTGGCCTTTATGCTTCACTATTTCGCGTCGTCGTCGTCGCCGCCGAACTTCTTACACAAACACATAGACAGACAGAGCGGCCATTCAACAAAAATCGCGTTATTATGGTTCTGCGTTACTAGTCTTCTTCTGCCACTATTTTTTTGGCCACTTCCGTGCTGAACGACCGCCTCTGTGAAACTGAGACACTGAGCCACTGACACTCTGTTGTGCGAAAATCGTACACTCAGTGTACAGCTGTGTTGAAAGTGAGTGCGAAAATCGGCGAGAGGGAGCGAAAAGAGCGAAAAACTGGTTGCCAGAGAGCCGCAGGCAGATAAGCCGAGCGCAGGGCGGGATTTGGGCGAAAAAGGGGTGGACTCGCATATGGAGCTGGCCAAGCGGAAGAAATAATATAATGAATCATATTACAACCTATAAATATATTTGAGAGATACATTTTTTTGTATCACTATCATTTTTAAGTATATTTTACGTAAGTATTTATCTATAATATAAGCAGCATACCTGCAATTTATGTGGGCGCCTAAATCAACACCTTTGTACTTCAGTCTCAAATTGATCTTAGGCTCTTAAAATGTAGCATACTTCCTGGCACCAAAAAAATCTAATTTTAATTTACAATTTCTATGGTTCTCTTGGTTCAATTGTCATGATTGTTGTCATCAATTGTCATTATACAAGATGTTAGATTCTGAATTTAAACCAATTATTCATCGGAGCAATAACTCTATCTGCTAATTAAAAGAAAACACCATATTCTTTTTTAGTTTTTATTAAATTAAATGATTACACTTTAAATTAATTACAATTCGTACGTTTAACGCATTTGCCAAATGTTTGCTTCTTAACATTTTAGACTATACTGTAGTTGTTTATATATTTTAAATTAATTTTGTTGGCCTGCCTTTGTTTATTTTTACAAGTAGTTGAAACATTTCACTAATACACATTCGTTCGCACTTATGACAGACTAATGACTTATGTTAAGTGGTTGAATTAAAATTAGGCAAAGAGAACTTTAGTATGTTTAGATTAGTATTTTACAGCGGCATCGTCAATACCATAGTTTTGTTTTTAAAGAAATTTGGAAAACTTGCAGGGCGAGCAATTTCACTTAGTTATGTACATTTGAGACTCAAGTTCGAGATGTAGATTTGGGAAGTACTTAGGCTAGCTTACAGAATTAGTGTTCTTTATTGTCGCGTTCCTATCGATTGGGATCTGATCCTATGATCATATATTACTGGGCGGTCCCCGATGGGCGCGCTGTCCGTGTAACGTGGAATGCCTAGAGCCTGGACGCGAATGCACAATTGCGTAATCGTTATCATTATCGATTGGCATCGACCTTTGAAGGACGTTGGATAAGTTTCGATTTAATACAGTACATTTCAAATTACAGAAAGTGGGTGTTTGAGGAAGATCTTCATGGCAGATTAGTTAGCAACTCGTTCAAATTAGTTAGTTTTTCGATTTGGTTTAAGGAGTTAGTTATTACCGGTAGGAAAATGCAATTTACTATCGGTTAATTACAGTTGGTTTTGCATTCTATGTTTTGGATTGGTTCTGTTTTTTGTGATCTGTTGTGTGGTAATTCCTTCTTTTTTGCTGTCTAGCAGGGCGGGCAATAAAGATGTATATATTTACGATACATAGAGATACGCAGATACAAGATACTTTGTTGGCATGCTTTTGTTTTGTTGTTGGTTTTTGTGTGTGTGGCTCCAGAGCAACCAGAAAATAATTTGCGAGAGCAGAGCAGATGCATTTCGAAGTGTACATAGAATAGAGGTGTGTTGTGTGTGTTTTCTGTCGTTTTGTTTTTGTTTTTTTTTTTGATTTTGTGGATGCAGCTTAATATCTATCAGACCTATTTGAGTGTATCGTGGAGCCGCCGCTGGTGTAACCCTTGTGGGCATCCCTGCCGTGGAGCGAGTAACGGGATCCATATTGACTTCCATGCCAACTGCGATACGGATCGTATTCCTCGATGATCGATGGCTCCTTCTCGATAATCTGCAAGAATGGGTGAGATTTATTGAGACTGAATGTTTTTTAAAGAAACACAGAGAAAAATGTTTACTACATATTAATTTACCAAAATTCACAAATTCTGAGTCCATATCTTTTCTATTTTTGATTAGATTTTGAAGTGGCATATCTCTGAAAGTTTGTATTTTAATTCTCTAACAAACTGCATCATTGGCCTTTATTTAAATTTTTTTTGGCCTATTTTTTTTTTTTTAATTTTTATGATACAACCTCTTTAAAAATTTCAAAAAAATGGGTTTATTGAAAATTGGCCAAAATTCTAAGCCCACTTTTCTAATTTGCGAGTGATAAAATGTTTGAAACTTAAAAAAGCAATTCCATAAAACAGTATACATTTATGAAATGAAACAACGTATTTATCATAAACTCTAAATTTTCTCTGTGGAGCGATAAAAGTGAGATTTATTACCTCTGTATTGGCGCAACTGCAACTCATGGCTGTGCAGAGGAAGATGTTCATCAGCAGCATGATCAGGAAGAGTACGCCCAGGGTGATGGTCAGCCAGAGCAGCCAACTGGGTCGGATACCATCCTCGCAGTTGCCCGACACTACTGTTCGGATACAATAAAATAAATACCATAAATTACACACAAAGCATTTCAGCAAGTTAACTCACATCTAGCCTCGGCGGGATCGAGCACATAGACCGTGGTGCCAGCCAAACTGGAGCCCTCCTCATTTGGCCCGAATTTCCGGGGTCCATTGGTGCCCTTGCCAAACCCAGCGAGGGCCACATCGTTGCAGTCATCGATCTCCACACAGCGACCATAGCACTGGATCACATCGCACTGCAGATGCACCTCCGATCCTAAAAGTTTGTAAAAAGAGAAGGTAAGAATTTTGGGAGCCTCGGGCTAGAAAATTCCAAATCCTACCCTCAGGGAACTTGAACATCGAGGAGAGCACCGCCTCGGCAGCTCGACCATCTGCTGTGGGCACAAAGCGACTGATGATCTTCGAGTCGTAGGGGCAGCTTTGGGGGAAACAGAAAAGTATAAGTAAAAAAGTCATTTCACTGGGAAAAATATTGTAAAAAGAATATACCATTTTCAACGAGCTTAAAATCACCAAAAATATGAGGGTAAAAAATAGTTTTAACAAATGTGAACTTAAAACTCGGCGAAAACGAAATTACTAATATTAGGCAAAACTCACGACTCGGTCACTAAAATTTAACATGTATTTTTTTATTTTGGCAAAACACTTTTTAAAGACTGTAATAATATTTCCAATGAGCTATCGTAAAATTATGCAAGTGAGCATGCTTACCATATTCCTGAGATGTATATTTAATTACTTCTCAGATTTAAGTGCATTTTTCCTATAAAAACCTCTATTTTTGTGTGAAAATCGACTTACCCGCTGTCGTCGGTGAGCTTTTGGGTCCTGTTCTTCTTGTCAAAGGCAAAGCAGTTGCCCACACGCAGGCCATAGGTATCTGGGTATGGGTATGGGATTTTAATGGGAGAGCAGAGCGTTAAGTACGGACTTTAAAACATATCCCAGGGGCTGGGACTACCCACCGTTTGGCTTGGAGAACTCGGCGCGGATCTTGTACTCATGCCCGTAGACCGTTTCACGCACTCTGTGGTCGTTCTCCAGGAACTTGAGCACGACATGGGCATTGTCATCGCTGCGGAAAAGTTGTGGGAAGAGATATTCGGTTTTTACAATATGGTGTATGATGTATGGTTTGTGGTTTATGGCAGTTGGGGGACTAACGGTGGTCGTCTCTGTAATTACTCCGTGTGGTAGGGGCTAATTAAAAGCATATAGCCAATAGAGCCAAAAGCTTTGGGCGAAACTGCAGTTGCAATTGCAATTATGCAACTTCAATTGCCGGTCATTGAGCTATAGACTCTATAGTGGCTCTGTGGGCCAGATAAGCGGCGATACAAATATGTGTACACACGTCTAAAACTATTTGTTGTTCGCCTTGTACACGGACTGGCACGATTTTTGTGTTTGCGTTTACCGCACAAATTCTGTTAACAATTTCTTTGCCTTTTTCCGGGCTTAACAGAGCGCAACGTTTTGGAAAACCGTTTTTAATGCCATTTTTTTTCCTCTATATATAAATTTCCCATCTGAGGTTTTTGTACGAGAGTTAAGCAGCTGAGTTAAGGCAGCTGCCCAGTGGGGATTTTACTGGCAAAGACTTGCGTAAGTCGCAGTCGAGCAGAGTCATTGGCATTATGCAAATGAGCCGCGAGGCGAGAAGGTAAATTAAATTGTTTTTCGTTCACCTCAAGATGATTATCTTTGAAGCCTCTCAAGACGTTTACCGTTAATTGAACTGCTGAACAGTAAGCACTATAAATTTGTTGATTACTCCGCCTTTTTTGGGGAATTATTCTCTCACTTCTATTTGTTCGACGCACAAAAGAGGTGATTGAGTGAAAGAATCGAATCGCGGCCCAAAGCTCAATGGCCTTGAGTTCTAATTCCGCAAAGAGCCAGAAAGAAATGCGAACAATGGCAAATGGCCGGCTAAGAGCAACACCTACACGGCTGCATCGAAAAAAAAAAATAAAATAAAATATATACATGGAGAAAAGCAAATCGAAATCGAAGTCCATCCATGGTCAGCACAATTTGCTCTTTGATTTCATTTGTTGTTAGCCGCCAGAGACAACGAGTCTGTGGAAATTGGCCAGCACTTCTGACTGACGGAAGCTTGACCAAAAATTACAGCACACACGGAGCAAATCGCAGCCGAAACCGAAACAAATACAGAAACAGAACTTAAGTGCAATTGTCTAGACAGGTTAAGCATTCGACGACTTACCGCGCATAGCCCGATTTGCCACAGGTAATCACATAAAACTTATCGTCCGCCAATTCCAGAGTCTTGTGCACACGCACTGCCAGCTGAATGGAACGCTCCTCGGTGCGCTGCGGGGGATTTTTGGAGATAGGGGTTCAGAGAGGAGGGAAAAGTTCATTTAATTGCCGGTTATTAAAAGTTTATGCCCATGACGTTAATGTTGATTGGTTGGAAAAGCCGAGTTAGGTCCCAATTTACGCTCAGCCCGCTCAGGCTTCGCACATAAAACAGGAGCATAAGAGTGAAGCCGACTGTCGGCACTCGGAGAAATATGTTTTAAGCTCTGGAAACCTGTACTTTTAACACTACTTTATACGGTCTATAAATTCTTAACCTTTTTCAAACACCTTACAAATTAAGCAAATCTAAACGGGCTTTAATTTTACTCCTTATTAAAAAAGGGAAGCTTATTTCTATACTACTGTTATAATTATGCAAATGCTTTCTTTATTTTACATTTAACAAAAAAGTAAAGTAAACCAACTAATTTTGTTGAAATTTATATAATAATAAATTAAGTTTTCGCCTTTTTGAAGATCAACAATAATACTTGTATTTAAACAACTAATTTCTCTAACTGTAAGTGGCTGCCGCACGATCAGCTTGCAACTTGCACTTGTGGCATGTTAATTGTCACATGATGCAATCGCGAAACAAGGAAATGCAAAATGCCGCCAAGTGTGACGCATTTTCCAGTTGTTTATTTTCTCCGTAGCGTTTCTGCCTGACTCTGATTGCTCTCCGCTAGCTGTTTAAATATGCCCATGATCGTGCTCAAGCCACGGCTATCATGGTTTTCGGTAATTACTTTAGAATCATTTTGAATATTATCTGCATCTGCAGCTGGTTTGTGCAGTCGTATGTAACTGCAGATGGGCAACTGTTTTTCTAGGAATCTCTAACCATCTCCTCATCGCTCGACTGGCTAAGATTCTCTGCTGTAATTGCTCTAACTGTTGGCTAACACCTGACTGAGTTATTTTGTAATTTTTTCCAATATAACTATACAATAACCTTGACCCGCAAACAGCTTTCCATAAAAAGATGTACAAAAAGTACAAGTTTCTTTGTCACTTCTGTGAGGTTTACATTGCTTTTCCAGCAGCTGGCAGTAAAAACCAGTTTGCATTGCCCAGTAAATAAGTGTCAATGAATGTGAGTAAATACTTAGGTGGGTAAATTTTTTATATATATATAAGATATTACTTTGTTATATTTTTATCTGGCTGTTATTGGTTTAATCGGACGCCTCCACAACTGAGGGTATTATGGAGTTGATGAATGGTTTTTCATTATTAGAGTTTGGTCAGCTAGTTAAAGCGGTTAGCAAATAAACACAACATATCGCATCGGTTATAAGTACCTTGTCTGGTCGGAGAGCTCTCCATTGGTGGGGAACCAATGATGTCACAATCCGTTGGCCAACTCATGCATCACGCAGTTGCATGCCACGGCGGATGAGCTCATTATCGGGTTATTATCAAAAGCCAGGGGGAAAAATGGCAGAGTTGAGTTTCCCCGCCAAACGCTCCATGAGCGACTCCCAATTACCCGTCTTCTAAGTGTGTGGAAATTGCCCGATGGCAAATTGTTTTTGCGGCCCCCCGGCCCACAGTCTTTTTAGCCATTGCATTCGCAATTAACATTTAAATGTACATAATGGTGCTAGACAAAGAACCATTGCTGCCATCATCAAATAATGGCTAACAATCTCTCGGTCCGGAGCAACCCACTCGCCGCGCAGCAGCGAAAATAGAAATAATAATAACAATAATAATGGCGCTCGGGTAATAAGAAATAAGTTCAAGTACGCCAGCCGGCAATGCCGTCTTGAACTTTATGTAAAAATTGCTGGGCGTCTTGGCCATTGTCAGCGCCAATTTCATGCTCTGCCAGCTGCGCCGGAGCAGATTTAAAGATAAATACAGAAGGAGGAGGAGGAGGATCAGGATGGGGAGGAGGTAGAGGAGGAGGAGGTTGGAGTACGCCAGATCGAGGGCGAAAGTGCCCGACTGCAGTTGGTATTTTATTTTTTGCTGGCCAAGGTCAAACGCGCCGGCATTTCGAAGGCATTTCGCCCAGCAATTAAAGTCGCTCAAAAATATTTTGCCAAGAAATAGATTCGAAATTGCTGCCGCAACAAAAAACATTCTTTTGACACAAATTCCACGCAGCCGGCACAACAATAGCAACAGAAACAGCAACAGCAAAAGCATCGGATCCAACTACCAACATTCAACATCCAATATCCACATCACAGCCACAACAACAACAACAACAATAAGAACAAGAACAACGGCTTGGAATGCTGTCAAAGTCGAAGCGTGGAAATCCGTGTCTGTGTCTGGGCATGTGAAATCCGCCGTCTGCCGCTGAAACTAGACGCCGGCGCAAGTTGCCAAGGCACTCCCAGTCGGAAAGGCCAACAAAAACATTAAGGTACAGTAAAGGATCGAGTGCGTGAACCCATCAGCACTTGGGAAGACTTTATAGCAGCGTAAACAGTGTGAATTTCAGAGCTTAATGGTCTCAAGACCAAAAAATTACACTAAACAGGTAATTAAATGTGTCTAGAAATTTATCTACCTCTAACTTTTAATGAAAGATCTATTATAGAAAAGTTCTACAGTTAATAAAAAATATTGAAGACATAATGAAGTTCTAAAAAACTAATTTAATTATTAAAGATTTCACAGCTCTTCCCTTTACATACTTTTAAGCAACAGATTATTTATGAGTATTTGGTACTCAAATAATTAATGGTTTTCAAAAACTCCACACTTAACGATTCTTTACTGTACAACTTAATACTCAAGCTGCCACTATATGCGTGTTTGTGTACACATTAAAAATAAAATTCAAGCCGCAGTTGCGATAAGCGTGATTTAATTTTATGGGGGACCTCCCCTTTTTTTGTTCGCAGCTCGAATGGAAGGTGGGCCTTCAAGCTGCGAATCTCCCCCAGTCTAGTTTCATATTTTAACCCACAGATGAAAAGAAAGAGAGAGAAAAACGAAGGCAAATATTGGGATACAGGGTGCGGTCGGCTGAGATTTGACATTGCAATTAATAATGTTGTATGTGCTTGTACTTATAAACATCTGGCAGCCAGCCCTTTGGATAATTTGCATTTCAACGCATTGCACTTTGGGCCACAGGCGAACATATGTATACTCGTATGTACATATAGTATATCCGTATGGGATGACTATGGCTAATGCGATTTGCCTTTGTTCGAGTGCGTGCAGAAAAGAGGTAGAAACAAAAATCCCGACCAGACCCACACGGAATTGCAGTCGCTGGCTGTCAACGCCTGTGATGCACGTAGGATTAAACTTGATTTTTATTGCCATCGTTATAGACTATATAGACTGACTGCAGCGACGGCGTCGTCGACTTTGCTGATTTGCGTTGATTTGGGGCCAAGACGCGAGTACAAGTACACGGCCGATAGGCGGGCTAAAATTTATGCGCATGCGTGCCCTTTTTAGCCAGACAAGGTTGCAGACTCTTGCGATCTGGCATCAGGTCTCAAGTCCCTTACTTTGTGGCCTTTCATTGAGGCTGAAACTCCGCTGGCATTCTGCCGTCTCGGATCGTCGGTTTTCCAGCTGCCCAGACATTGCCTCACAGTTCACAGTTGGTGGCTTTCTGGCGGCCTGATTTTTGGGACGTAATTTGCAAATTATACTCGCTGGCTGACAAAATTAATTGGCAATTTGTCAAACGGAAGGTGGCTAACGAAAGACTTAGGACACGAACTTGCTGACTGCGCGGGTAACTGGGAACTAAGCTGGTCTGCTAATATAGTATTACGTCTAGCTATTACTTTGTGTAGTTGTTGATATGCCATGTATAACTTGGCACTCAATTAAATTCTCAAATTATATGCTATTAAAATAGATTTTCTTGTTTGTTTTGCTTTACAAATGGTACTATTTTAGGTTCTCTTGAACTCCGACTCTATTTTACCGTTCTGCACTACCTATTAATTATTTTTTTTTTCCACTTGGAAAGTTGAATAGCCCAAAAACTGTGTTGTAAGTTGTAATTATTCATAATAACTAAAGAATATTTTTTTTAATTTTCAAAAAAATTAAGAAATGAATTGTTTTTTTTTTTTTAAATAACATTTAAGATATCTGTATCAGGCTTGTTCTTTATCTGGCTTGTTTTATTAAAGATATTACCCCATTTCAGTTTAATTTCTTTTCTCCAACATCAAGTTGTGCATGGTTTAGTGATTAATTTGGTTAGGAAAGCGCGTTGGGTTATGCTTACATTGCTTCCACTCACGTTGCTGACCAGGATGCCGCAGTAGTCGCTGGCGCCCTGCTTGGCCCAGAGATTCAGGCTGAAGGCTACCGAGTCGCTGCCATCGCCCATGGCCATGCAGCCCGGAGTGCGGTAGTCCCGGACGTGGACCGCTCCCGTGTAGCCGGAGTTCATCTTCACCTTGATGTTCATCGTGCCCGCCTTGCAAGTGGCGGTCACATGGGGCGCGAATTCGGAGGGAGCTGCCGGCGGTTCCTGTGTGGTGACCTGCAATGAATACGAAATGCGAAAAGCGTTAGGCCATGTCGAGATGCTTCTTCGGTTAATAACTTTGACCCGATTCCGAGACCCTGGGAACTAACGCACTAACATCGACCGGCAAATTAATGCCAACTCATTGGACAAACACAGTGGAAACAGCAGCCAAAGAGGAAAATTCAAATTAATTTTAAATAGCCAATGCCAAAGAGTCAGCCGTAGTCGCAATTAATTGCAAAAAGGCAACAGCAAAGGCAAAGGCAACCAGACCCGGACCCGGAGATTGGCCAGAACTTTTGGGCCAGAGAACAACAGAACAGCTGCCAAAGTTCTGCACGTTTTGGGTCAGTTTACAGCTTACAGCCGAGCGCACTGTCAAAGGCATTTGGCTCTAAGATAATTTATTGGCGTGCTTGACTTGGGCTGCTGTCGCTCCGTCGTGATAATTGAATTTGTGCTCCAGCTTTAGAGCCGCAGAACGTTAGGGAATGGCTGGCGAATGAATGGAGTGGGTACACAAGAAAAACTTAACGGCTTAACGGAATGGAATTCCTAGAAACAGATTAACAAGATCTGCGGATAATGAATTTATTAAATTTTCAGGAGGAATTATGGTTGAACTGTAGTAACTTTGTTCCTACAGAAAAAGGGTTCATTAGAAAGGTCAATATTATATTTCATTTTTCAAAAGACTGCAGATAAACGAAAGACTTAAGACACGAACTGAATGGCCAGGAATAAAACGTTTCTCTTTTGTTTGCAATCGGGCCGCGCAAACAATTGAGCATTTAGTATTACCTCTTCAAACACAAAATGTAATTTATTGCAATGATGATTTGCAATTAATGAGCAATAATTTTTCAAGTGTAGCCACTAGATAAGCCGCGCGAGAGTTAAGTAAGCCATGTCATGACAATCGCCCAAACGCCGCCTTTGTGGTCCAACTGGTCTCACGTTTCGCCGGCCCTCAGGCGCTGTCCAAATCGAGGGGAATCCCCCTCGATATCCTATTTCTGTCCCGGGCGAAAGGCCTTTGATTTATATGTACTTTCAAAAAGGAATCAGCAGCAGGAGCAAAAGCATTCTGTCCGCCCTTTGGCGTGCAAAAAAAAATGTATGAAATTTTGTGCAGTCATTGAAGCAATTAATTTTCCATTCGATCCTCCTCCGCCCGCTGACTTGCGGCTACTGTTCGTCAGGTGAAATGCAGCCGGGTGACCCAGTTGCCAGGAGAACGCTGACAGTGCGACGCAGTCGGTGCCAAAAAACATGTTGGCCAGTGTGCCACTTTCTATGGCAACTAGAACATCCACTTTGCATGCCATCAGCAATTTATTGTATCTCAATGCGCCGGCCACTTTAATCCCAAATAAGAGTGGAGACAATGACAGTGTGATGGTGGATCCGTCCCCCCTCCCCTCCTTTCCTCCTTCCTTTGATCAGTGGATTCGAGGGGTTCAATGCGCTGCGAGGGTCACATGGAGTGACTCTGGGGACAACAGAGAGCAGCTCCACCGCGACTCCCATGACAATTTGTCGCTCGGCGAAAAAGCAATTGTTTTGCATGGATTTTTGCATTTGTTTTGGATTTTGTCTCTGTTTTTTTTTTTTTTTGTCTCCTATTTTTATCTCGCCAACTGCAACGGCAGTCAATTAAAATAGCTTTTGCATGCTCGTTTCACTATCGTTTCGAGTGTGGCGGCGGCGGCGGCTTGTTAAAATAGCTGGCCAAAAAAAGTACAGCATTCGGCTATTGTATTATGCAACACGCTCTGATTGTGGTTGGGGGTAGCTAGCCAACATAGCTGGCTGGGCTAACAAACAAAATGCAAAGCCAAACACAATTAGACACTTGCGCTGCCAGTCACGCCATGGCCAATGAGGCGAGTTAGTGAGCCGCAATATATTTATGCTTTTATTTTTTTCGGCCTGATGGATTTTCCCCGCAGGACATCTATGGCCGAGTGATTTCTCACAAATTCCTTTTCCTTTCCAACCCAACGACCGCATGCAAAATCGCATCGCGAAATCGAAACGCAGCTGGAATAAAAACAAGAAGTGGAGCCCAAAGTGGTCGCCAAGAATCGCCGACTCGCCCAAGATCATTAAGTTTGTGGCCCGAGATGGAGGTGATTTATATGGCTGCAAGGGGTCAGGCCATAAACCAAAAAGTGTTCGCCCCGCCGCATTTAAGCAGCTTTAGCTATTAAGCCAAGTGACGTGGGCAATTAGTACAGGAAGGCCAACTCGTTTTTCGCTTTTTTTTCCTTTATGTTCTCTGGACCGCGCAATTATCTGGTTAAGAATGACAAAACTGCAAGAGTTTATGTGAAAAATGAGGCTCTGTCTGGGGCGGTAAAAAGACCGCCCTGGAAATGCCCTGCTCGGCGGGAAATTGAGTTGGAGCCTGGCTCAAGAAGCGATTTTATGCTCTCATAAAAACGAAATGCAATTTGTGGGTCTTCAGGCAAATGGATGATATTGAACTTAAGTCTTTGCAAAAAGGGCAATAAAAAGTTGGTTAGATTTTCACACAGAAGGAAGAAAGTGAGCTACGCCAGAAGCTACTAAGAGTTTTATAAATGAAAGGTACGTATTTCAATTTCAATCCAATCTTAAATGCGATTAAGAGAATTGCAATTGATTTCCTTTTTCATCAATATTTTTAAAAGGTATTTGAGTCTTACTGGTTTTATAGAATACAATAAGGATTACAATTGATTTTCTTTTCCTTTAATAAATACTTTTGAAAGGTATTAGAGCCACGATGATTTTATAGAATACAATCACTAAGCCTTTAGATTCCCATGTCGAATTTGGAACCTAAAACATGATCACCTCTTTTGCGGGGCAATTAAATGTGATTGTGATTAATGTGCACTGCTAATTCCACTCAATTTACGTTGCCATTCCGTCTGGGTGTGTTTCCCTAACTTAAATATTTCGCAACGGCCCGCTTCGATTTTATTTTTTCCTCGAATTTTAGTTGGGAGATACAATCGCCAAAGTCATAGCCAAAGCCAAAGCATAAGTGCAGCTGCGCATAGTTGGCCAAAATAGATTGCCAAACATATTCCGATCGCTGCAAGTCGAAACAAAAAAACGAAAAAAAAAAGTAAAACAGAAAAACATGTGCTACAAGTTCGATGCTTAGAAGCGAAAAACAAAACTCGCGGATAACAAAAGGTGGGGAGTTGCTCTTAACATATTTCGCGTGCATTTGAATTTCCGCTATGTGGCGCTCGGGCAATAAAGCTTGGCTCGAAGTAAATTATAACATAAAGCCGGGCCAAGAGCCGAAAGCCGAACACAGTCGAGCCGAGCCGAGCTGAACTGAACGGAACTGAATTGAGCCAAGCCAAGCCCCGGCAAAATGGACTAAGCCGCGCGCGCTTTTCAGATGGCCAAGAGTCCAGCGCATTGAGCCCGACTGTTTGCTGATTGCAAATTGTCACGGTATTTTCGCTGGCAGCGCATAAATTGCCGTTTAACTCGCATTACCAGCCAGATGGGAGCGTATTTATGTGGCGGTCGCTTCGGCTTTGGCTTTGGCGTTGGCTGTGTGGCTGTGGCTGAGGCTATTCGGCCACAGAGAGCTTCAACGCCATGCGGACCTGGCCAAAAGCTTAATGAAGCTGACATCGCTGGCGAAAAACCCGTTCGGAGCTTTGCCTGATTATATAATGCAAACGACGCGACCAAGTGACAGCTGAAAGGGTTTTTCCAACGGTTTTCGTATCTTGGCCACAGGGTTCACAGATAAACAGACAAGCAGAAAAACAGACAACCCAAAAAGCCACGGCTCAAAAGGAAGAAAAACCGTGGGGCAATTAATGTCGCCGCAACTTCAATTAAATTTCAATTGCGCGCCGCGCTTTTCCATTGATGTTCTGACGCGCTAATTCCATGGCACGTCGAAGGGTCCCTCGACCATCAGGTTCAACCTGATGGGCACACCTTTTCGGCTCCACCAGCGCGGCTGCACGTTCCACAGCGACCCCTCCACCACTCGGTGGGTCAATTGTGTGGCTCATAATGAAACGCTGTCGTACCACTAATATAATAATAAGCACTTGTTCGCCGACGCTCCCTTCCCTTCGCCTCTTTTCTTCCCCCAAAAAGCATACTTCTTCTTTGGCTTTTGTTGAGGCGCTGTTGAAAGGCCATCAATAGTTGAGCTATGTAACTTTTTTTTGAAAATATCGCTGGACAACATTCCAAAGTGGTTCTCTGCCGGTTATTTATGTGCTTATTTATCGATGTCCGAGGAATCCCAAATCCACGAGAATCAGCAGCAGTAGCTCAAAAACCTGTGTCTTTTTTAATGAGTTTCGCTGCTGACCTGCTGGGAAATTATGCTAAGTACTTTCTATTCTTTGGGCTTACAAGGGCTGGCCGTGTTTTGAAAGTTTTCTTTAATTAAATTAGCCTTCTTTTGTCGGTCATCTGAAGGTTCTAATCATCGTCTTACCAAATGCATCATGCTCTCATTTTAACCGAAGTTGTGTTTTGAAACTTGTTGGAACTTAAGTGCATTTTCATTAACTTCATTTCATTCATTACCTTTTGAAGAAGGTTATACCAATTATGCTTTTTAAAAAAGCCAACGCACTTGGCTGTTATGTTAATTAGAGGTCGCCTTGTATTTAAATAAGGCTTTAAGAATTGGTGCATATTCATTAATTTAAAGTAGTCTTTTGTTTACTTATTTGTTTCTTAAACAAAACAATGGATTATTATTAACCAGGGGTGAACCTTTTAATCACAAACTTTTGAATTTGATCTACTTCATATATGTTAACCATTTTTTCAGAACAGTATAAGATGGTTTTGTTTAACGATACAATAAAATATTTAAAATTGATTACAAGTTGAAATGAAAGGCGCTTTTGTCAAATTTAGAACGTCTTCCAAAATTAAGGTTGACCCAAGTGCATTAGCAGTCGCAACTTTCATTTCGAAGTTTAAGAAAATTGTTCCCCTTAGTCATTGTTTGCTTGATTGAAACAATCGCTTATCGTGATTTCGAGTTCGAGCTTACTTCAAACTTGTCACACTTTCTTTGACCATCGCCTTAATTGCTGTCAAAAAGTTTGGCAGCACGAAAAGCCCATTCCAACCGGGGAAAAATCGTTCCCAGCAGCCGAAAAGCGAACAGAAAAACAGCCCTCGGTGGGTCGGCAATTTTCATAAATGTGCACTTTCCATGCGCATCATCTTGGACAGAATTTGAAAGCCAAGTCAGCCCCATACTGAGTTGAAAATTACCCGAAAGCCATGGAACCTCAATGACAGTCGCGCAGCTCAGCCTCAATGCACCAACGAGAAAAAAAAAAAAAAAAAGCAGAACAGGGGAATAGTTTTTCCCATTTCCCATTAGTTTCAAATAAAACCTACTTTTACCGCGGGGCCCAAAGCTGGAGCAGAAAAACAAAGGTAGAAACAATTGCTAAATTGTTTTTTTTTTTTTTTTTTTTGTAGACTGACTGACAGACAGGCGGAGAAACAGAGCAGCCGAGTTGTAGACCTGCAGGTGAACAATGCAAGTTAATCAAATAATGTATAGTACATGTAGTGTCAGCCAAAAGCCAAAGCCAAAGTCAAACAAAAGAAAGAACTTTCTCCGCACATAGAGCGCACTCGCTGGCGACCACCGATGACCCAATATGCCAAACACTTTTGCATAAATTTTAATGAATTTCACGCTACACCGCATTGAGCAAAAATAATTCGCACTGCGAGATCAACGCGGCGTTAAATTGCGCCAACTCGGTGGCTCGAATATGCCAGGTGAATTGGTTTCGATCCCACAGAACTAGTTGCTAAATCGGCAGTGATGACAGAATTATTTATCAAGATTAACACCAAATTCTATAAAATAAATACGTTGCGGAAATCCTCTTCAATTTTATTGCAGTTTCTATAATCTATAATCTCCAGAGAAGACTGGCATAAGCTTAAGTTTTAAATATATTTAGTGTTACTGCAATGAAATTATTTTGTTCTTCAATCAAATTTACATTTAAATGGAGCTTGATTGATTTTTTCTGAATAGAAAATGGAATACAGTATATAGTTCTCATGTCCCACTTTCAATATTATGTGCTATCAATGTTATTAATTTGATAAAGACTTTTAAGATATCTTCGACTGAAAAAGCCAATATATTTTTTTTAAACTCAATGACACACCTTTTAATAAATATCCAAATCACCACTGAAATTCGCGCAATTCCGAGCTCAAATCTTTCGGCGTTGACATAAACATGCGATTTCAGTTGGCCATTTCCTTCCAACTCGACCGCTCCCCCAGAGTTATGAGCAAAGAGCCATAGAATCTAACTGCGCACACTCGATCTAATAGGCCGAGTCGCGGCCAGTCGACATCTCGACCATCGGGAACGGCAATGGCAACGGCTTCCTGTCCAGAGGCCAGACTTCAGACTTCATAGCTCAGCCATCAGCCATCAGCTAACAGACATGAGACTCCGTGGAGCGATACTACTAACCCAGTGCCGATCTGGTGTTGCGTGCAGTGACCAAACTGGTTGGCTCTTCTAATTGCCCCGGTCTCTAGTGCGTGGCGATCGGTTGCCAGTTTATGTGGAGACGGGTGCCAGGTTTCCACCAGAACTGCAGTTCACTTCATTGCACCCGTCACTGATTTGTGGTCAATATGCAGCGCTCCTCGGACTGGTCATATTTTCTGTTAATTGGAGCATAATGGACCGATGATATTCACTGGCATTCTGCGGTTATCAGCCGCACAAACAAAAAATAAATCCCGGCTCAATTTGATAAAGCCAACTGTATCTAACACGAACCGTTACCACTCATGATCGTAAAGTAAAGGAAACAAAAACTAAAGTTAAATAGGAACTTGGAGAAGAATTTCAATGAAATGGCCAAGACAATCAACGAGTTTGTTGTCTAAGTCTTTTGTTTGCCGGCCATCAGAAGTTTCCCTGCTAAATTCTCGGTCGCCGCCGCCGGTGGCTCATCTCAAGTTCTAAGAAAACAGATATACGCTACTAAGTCCAAGTAAACAATGAATCATATTTTCGAGCACATTCATACGCATATTAAAGTTTTAGTTTTTATTGCCAGCGGGCTACCACAACAGTAATTCTGGCTTGGGTTGAAGATATAATATATAGATGCGGTTTCGAGGGGGCAGGGAGTTAACATAAGACCAGGGTGGGGCACTTCAATTGGCTTTTGGCAGCCGTTGCGAAGCACGTGCTTGTCAGTCGAGAACGGCTTTGCGGTTTATTTCGATACCCTCGCAGGGGAAAAACGCCAAGTGGGTAGCTCAAGTTTCTCTGCTCTCGGCAAGAGTTGTACTCAAGACGTTTTCGGTATTTCTAGAGCAAACAAGACTTCCTATCAAGAGCTGTTATTCAAATTGGATTTTTTGCAATACTTCAAGGTATTATTTAGAATCAGAAATGGTTCCAAGTTGTCGATAAATCCAAATAATATGATGTACTGTGAAACAAGAAAGGTTTTTTTAAATGTACTTTTACTTCTAATATTATATCTGGTTCTTTGGCATCTGAATTTTTTCGAACTCTTAAATTACTAAAGCAAGTATGTATCGAATTTCCTTAAATCAAGCTGAGCATATTTGGTTTCCCTCGATGAAAAAAGTGCACTCAACTTCAAGATATATTCAATCCTCCAATATCCAACCGCAACACAAGCTACCTGTGGCCGCATTCAACGCGTCACTTCTGGCCAAATACGCCGGATTCTTTATGGTGTTTTGCTTTTGTTTTCTGTATTTTTTGTTAAACAGTTTTACTTCATATACAGAAACGTCAATCGCTGTTGTTTGTTGGTGGGTTGTTCTCGGTGTCTTATTTGGTGGCTGGCAGGCCAAAGCCATGACGACATGGCGATACGAACACAGCAGCTCGTTATATACACATTTACGTATGGATTGCCATATATTCATATTGAATCGGATGGCTTCGAGAATTAGCATATTTCGTTCGCTTTCAGCTCATTTCTGTTGGTGTGCGCTGACATTGAAACCGATTTTAATGGCCCGTAACAACAAAAACATGGCAATGACAATATCACCGACAATAACAACAACAACAACAATAACAAGTACACGCACTCGCTAATGTGCAAGTCAATATTTAACTGCTAAAGAAGGCGTCAATTGAATTGAGTTAACCGCTGACTAATTTTGGGCATCTCTATGTCAAGTTTAGGCGGTGTTGGGCATATTAATCGAAGGGAAAGAAAATAAAACTGCCATTGGTAATTAAGCCTTGTGTTAACAACCTTTTCGGGTAACTGAAAAGCAGCCGAAAAAGGCGCTAGTTCATTTATTGTTTAATGAGTGTGAAAAGCGGACTGTCGGAGTACCGTAAGCCATCCAAGTTTCAATTTTAACATACACTTAACACGCACACATGTGGCGAGATTTACTTTCGCATAAGTTGTTGTTTACACGGGAATTTCTGTCTGACTTTTGGCCAGCCAACCAACCGATGGGTAAACTTATATCATCGTCATCATCATCATCATCACCGCTGTATTTATCTTCATTATTACCTTACAGATGATAATTACCAGGGAGACTGCGTTTTGTTTGCCGTTGCTTTTACGTATGCTTCAAGGTTTTGTGAGTTTTGCATTAAGCAAAAGCCAACTAACTCAGCGGCGCAGCCTCTTTTTGTTTTCTGTACTTGAAGTTTTTGAATCGAGCTGTAGGTTGAGTAGTGTTTGCCAAGCCCAGAGAGCGAATTTTGACGCCCACGCCCCGAAGCCCGGCATTTCATGATGTCATTCCCCAGCGGCCGCTGACTTCGATGGATAGTTCAACATACCCGTTATCAGTTTGGCAGGAGGAGTGGGCGGCGACAAGGGCGGAACTTGTCAAAAATTTGTTGAACCAAATGCCAGGAAATCAACTGACCAATCAAACATCAATGAACTTTTTGGCATTATATTATGACAGCTAAAGATAACATTGAAGTGCTCCCAGGTGCTCATAAAATATTTGAAGCACTTAAAAAACATAAATAGAAAAGTATTTTATAAAAATGTGAGAAATTTCAATAAGGTGGTGTATGTCTAAGTTGTCAATAATCCAAACATTTTTTTTATTACTTTCATAAATCACAAAACTTCTTATAGAAGTTTGATAACTTTTTAGTAACGAGGTATACTCCTTTTTTATTTAACCAAAAAAAAAGGAAAGCAACGTAAATAATAATTCAAGAAAATGTCTACTTTATCAAACGAAATTGCTGGGTTGGTGAGCAGTCGAGAAAAGTGCAGAAAATCCCCGGATCGCCGAAATCCCGACTTGGACCCATTTCGATTGATGCCAAGCCCTGGCAACTCTCACCATGATAGATTTGTGCCATTTCATAGGAAAACCGAAATCGAAGTAAGCCAAATCAGAACTGAAACCAAAACCAAAACAAAAACCATTCCCGAAGCGCTCACGAACAATGGACCAACATTTTGAAGGGGGTTCTAGGGAAAGGGCAAGGGGGATCGCACAGTTGGGTAAAAGTTAAGATATCGGTCAGTGGCACATTTGGAGTATGACTGCCAATGGGCGGGGAAAATCGGAGCACTAAGCCAGCCCGCAGAGTTATAGTTATGACCGCTGCTCCGGCGATGGCAATTGCTTGGGCTATTGATAAACTGGCCCAGCTGCAGTCAATGTGAAGTTCATTAATTTGTCTGCCCTGGAAAATTGCCGTGGAAAATCCACGACCCAAGACGCCATGAAAATGTTTTTTGAAGCCAGTGGGAGGGGATAGGAAGTAGGGCTGGTAGTTAACCCCGTTTTCTTGGTCGACGCAGAACATTATTGTATGCAAATGAAAAGTGAAATGTCCGGAAAGTGGTCTAATTATCTTTCACTTACCTGTCCAACCAGCAGCAGCAAAACGGGCAGGAGCCAAATGCCCTGGGTTTCTGGCCATTTCTTGCCTGTCGTCATCGCGTTCGCTTCCTAAGTCTTTCGATTTGGCTTTGTTCGCGGTTTGGTATCCTTTTGGTCAGCTGCAATTACCCGGAACGTTTATCACCCAATTGAGCAATTGTGCAATTGTGCAATTGTCTGGCCCTGATTATAGCCCACTTCATGCTGCTCACGCAGTTGTCAAGTTGCAGCTGCATTCGATTGGATAGCTTCTGTTTTTTATCTTTTCTTTTAAATTACTCATCCATTGGATGACTCAAACTCGGTACCGAGAACAAAAGCTAACTAAACAGAGCTTCCCTGAGGTATTTGCGGTTTATCGCCGCGTTTTCATCTCGACAGCTGCATTTCTCGAGCTGGTTTACTATAGATGATTTCTAGATATTTCGGCGGGTCATAACTTTCTATGAAATTTTTAAGTACGCAAACGTGACACGAGTGCAGCGCTTTTCTAATTTTTAATGTGCCCTTTTTTTGATCATTTTTATCTGATTAGCTTTTGAGCCAACGCATCCCATTCTCACGTATTTCGATTTCGTTTTCAACTCGACCCCGACCCGATTGAACCGCAGCTAATAAACTTCAAAGGTGAGTTTACTCGGAAAAAAGGGTTTCGCAAATCGTATCAAATGAAACAATGAGTTGGAATGCCGCAAACGAGTTTGCTCGAAAATATATTTATTTGCCCCGCAAAGAGCAGAAAAAATAGCATGACTTACGTCATTTGCTCAAAATGCGACAATAAAGCTAAAAGTCCAAAGCCATTACTAACAAAAGGTGACATTTCTGCCAAGTGTGCTCTAAATATCAAATATTTATGTTTAGTTAAAAAATCAATGTCTGACATATACATACAAAAAATGTGCTAATTTATGCTACAATTTTTTCGTGGTCAGAAGTTATTTATGGCTCACATATGTGATTTATTAAGCTTTTCTAATAGCAACCTCAAACGGAAATGCCGGACACGCCTACATGACTCCTAAACAAATAGTCTCAAAGAAACCTTTTATTAAATATTTTTCTATGCAGTAATCTGCAATACTCATGTCGGGCTAAAGCTCTTAGCAAAAAAGTTAGTCACTTTTATTTAGTTAATAAAAAACTTAGCTAACAACAGCAGCTGCATCTAAGAGAATTAAGTTTAAAACAAAGAGAGCAGATAAAAGAGGACGGGAAAAACTGAATTTTACTCGCAAATTCGCGCAAATTCCGGACTCTAAAAAAAAATAATTTAAACTTTAACTACGCACTCATCTGGCTAAAATTATTTACATGAAGTTGGCTATAATCAGCTGTAGTTTTCCACTATTAAATATAATTTTTGTGTGGTGTTTTTTTTTTGTTCACTTTAAAGTTAATAAATTTTGCTGCTCTTTTCAGCAGAGCGACGTATGAGCAACACGTGAAAACAAGTTTTATGCAACAGCCTGTTGTTTACTTATTATGGTTTGTGTAGTTGGTTAAATGTGTTTATTTATTCGAAAAAGCTGTTTTTATTTGTTATTACTCAGCTACCTGCACTCCGCACGGAAAACAAGGCTGGTTCTGACTTTTAAAACGCGTAAAACACTCAAGTCCAAATAAATTTAAACGAAAACTATCCGCTTGACACGTTGACGGTTCGAGAGATTGTTGGCAACTGAATCGCTGGGACGGAAACAGCTCTAAGCCAAGCTTTGCTGTTTCAGCTTCGCTGCTTGTTTTGTTTTTCTGTTTTTCCCACAATTCTCTCGCTCTCTCTCTCTCACTCACTTTTCGCTGCTCTTTTTGGCCACATCTTCGTTTGTTTTGGCCATTTTCGCTTTGTCTGCTGGTTCTGCTTATTGGAAGAGTTACCACATCGCTGGAAAACTTATTTAAGCCACTGCTTTGGCGCCAAAGCAACAGCTCTCCTGGATTTGGCCCAGTTGCTCTCTTTATTTATGTTACATCGCCATGCTACTGATAAAAATATTACAATGTGCGTCGGTATCTAAAGCAAGTACACTCGAAAAATAAGTTTCATTAATCTAAGCCCAGTTCATAAAAGAAAATTTATATTGAATATTTAATTTATTGTTGAAAACCATTTTTTTTTAATCAAGAAAAAGGTAAAATCGATACAAGTTTCTTAACTGGAAAAAGAAAAATTCAATACAAGAATATATGATCTCATAATAAGTTTGATAGATAGTAACTAAATATTTGATAAAGTAAACTCTTTTATCTCAGTGTTTTATAGTGGTGGTTGTTGGAATTTGTAGCGTAACGCAGACTTCAATGAATCGATATGCCCGCAGGTTTCTCTTACTCACGCATGCGCACAGATTTCAAGGGGGTGCTGTAACTTAAAAGAGAGCTGCCAGCAGGGGCGTAGCTACCGCCGTATATGCCGTATCAATTATACGGGGCCCCCGGGCCAAGGGGGCCCCCAAAGTGTGTAAGAGTGAATATTTAAAATTTGACTTTTATTTGTAAAATGGGTAAATAATGTGATAAATAAATATTTCTTCTCACAATATTTTGTATACCCTTGCAGAGCAAAAGGGTATTATAATTTCAGTCAGAAGTTTGCAACGCAGTGAAGGAGACACCTCAGACCCCATAAAGTATATATATTCTTGATCAGCATCACGAGTAGAATCAGAATACGTCTGTACGTCTGTCCGTCTGTCTGTTTCTATGTGAACTAGTCTCTCAGTTTTAAAGCTATCTTGCTGAAACTTTTCCAAAAGGTGTGTAGTTATTGCACGAAGTATATAAGTCGAAACGGGCCGGATCGGCCGACTATATCGGATAGCTCCCATACGAGAGAAGGAAATAAAAAATTCTCAGACCGTTGTTTTTGATCAGATCGACTTGATTTCTTCAAGATGGCGTTTTCTAACTGTTTTTGAATTTCGGATTAAATTTGATCAAAATCGGATAACTCTATCATATAGCCGTCATAGGAGCGATCGAAAAATATATATAGAATTAATGGAAATAAATTGATAACATCGTTGTTTTTTATCCCACAAGCATGATTTTTTGAATATCAAGTTTTTAAAAACTCTTATATTGAGAAAAAAGTTTCATAAAAATCGGACAACTATATCTTATAGCTGCCATAGGAAAGATCGAAAAATCTATATATAAATAACGGAAATAAAATTGTAACATCGTTGTTTTTCATCAGACAACCATGATTTTTGGAATATAGAGTTTTCTAACGACTCTTGAATACCGAATTATTTCATCAAAATCGGACGAGTATATCATATAGCCGTCATTTGAACAATAGTCGAAAATATAGAAAATGAATAGAAAAATCGTCTTAGCTTCGATGTTCTTTAGCCGTTATGTATTTTTTTCGACATATGACTGCAAAGGTATAAAAGCTTCGGTTTGCCGAAGCTAGCTTCCTTTCTTGTTTTCTTTTGTGAAAAATCTTTACCTCCATATAAGGGCCCCCAAAAAATTTTTTATACGGGGCCCCGACAAGGCACGCTACGCCACTGGCTGCCAGTGTTCGTTAATGCAATAGAAATAACGGTTTAGTCAAAGTTTTCATAACATTTATTAATGAAAAGTTAAGTAGTCTTAAGACCAAACTATAGCTTTTGATCTATTTAATGTTATTTCTCTTCAATTGTACAATTTCAGTACATTTTTTTCAACTTAACCGTTTTATTTATAAGTTCTTATCGCTATCTCTTCTAAGCTCTCTCTCTAACTTAACTCTCTTTCTCTTTAAGTACTCACATGCCGTTACATTCGCATTCCTTTTGGTGGGAAACTCTTGGATGAAAGACCCACTCGCTCAGTGAAAATTTCATCACCGTCGTTGACAGTTCAGTCAAAATTCTCTAGCTCCACGCAATTCGCCCAGCCAAATCTCAAAATTATCTAAACTACATTTTGTGTTCACTTTTGATCATTCAAAGTCATCGCTTAACGTTCATTCGCCATTCAAGTGGAAATTTAAACGCGTGGGCAGGAATATTCCAGTGGATTTCTTGCTTTTTAACGGTAAAGAAAAGAGCAATTGCCAAAAAATCGAAACACGGCGAAAGGAGAAAAAAAAAACATAAGAAATTTCTGTATCAGCCAGTCAGCGTTATTTGCACCAAGTGTGAGTGTCTGTGTGTATTTGTGAGTGTGTGGGTGCGAGTGTATCTGTGTGTGTGAGTGTGCATTTGTCTATGTGTGTACGTGATAAGCGTAGACAGACGCCGTAACAACAAAACTGAAACCTCGAGGTTAGAGAGGCACCATCGCTTTATTGAATTACAAGTAAAACAAAGAGCGCGACTTAGCTGGCGATTAAAGCGTCCTTAAAAAATGAGGATGAGGGGTCATGCTTAATGGGGGCGGGGCTGGTTGAAGGTGGGCGGTGGCAACCCGCTAACCCACAAACCCACTGCCAGCGGGAGGCCAGCAAACAATCCTGAGTGGTGGTTTTGATACTGCTAATTGGTTGGGAAAAATTAATTAAAATCCTAGGAGCAGCACACAGCCAACCAACTTGAAAACTATTTACCACTGACCGCCTGAAAGCCGTCTAAAGAAAGTTGTTTACACTTTGGTTCAGTTCTTAGTTGCTTTTTGGCTTTGTACATTTTTCTGGTCGGGCAAAGCTATGCTTTCACTTGAAAAATTATGAAAAGTAAGAAAAATAATTTGCTTTAACAATGTAACAAAAAAACAAGCACATTTTTCTCAACTTAATATACAAATTAACAAGTAAGAAATAATATATCAAATACAATTTTTATTTGATTAAATACAAAAGAAAAGATTTATAAGAACAAGTCATTTTCTTTATATTAATATTATTTTGTCCCAAAAATGTTTGCATTGGGAAGAATCCTCACTTTAAACAAAGCTTCTGCCATTAGAAAACAAAAGCATACAATTAAAACAAAATCTTCAGTTTTAGTTTATGAACAAAAGCGTCCCTTTATGGCTCGGTCTTAAAGTAGCATCAACTTGATAGCTTTGCTAAAAGCCCCCGAGTCGTTGACCTCCGACGGAAATAGCTGCCACAATTTGCGTGAGCCAGCGCCACAATCTAGACTCGAATGGCTGGCATTTTTAATTACCATCGAAAAGACATTAAGCCCTGTTTTATGACAAGCCAACGCACATATCAGCAGGAGGCAGGAGACTCGAAAGGAAATGCCGCTGGAAAATGGGTTAAATGTGGCTGCAGGTGCTGCAACTCCGGACGGAGTTTCCTATTCGCCAACCCTTTTCTCCCATTGCAGTTAGTGGAAAACAGTTGACAGGAAATGCAACTGCTTAAGCTGCCATAAAAAAGAACTTTAATTTGCCACTGACGTTGATGGATTGTGGTGCAACACAGCCGACCCAGCGAAATAACCCCAACCGCCCACAGGACGGGGGTTAAGCTGGGCTATAAAGTTTTTCCGGCACAGATTTGTGCTGACTACCAAAAAGTTGCGGGCAAACAGTCAAGAGAAGTTCCAAGCCTCCGGAAAAAGGGGGAAAACCCAAACAAGCCGAGACCCTCAACACGTTACTGTGATTATTAATTCAGAAAGTTTTCACACACACTCAGAAAGTGGAGAAATAAGGGCCAACATATCCCGCAATCAAGGCAAACCAAGCATATCGATGCTGGACTGCTATGAATTATGTAAGGAAAACCAAAAAGTTAAGGCGCCTGCTCAACTTAATTTGGCAACTAACGGGTCTCAATCTGCACGATATTTTAATAATTCTTAAAGTTGGCCAAACAATAATCAAAACCGCCAAGTCACTGCTATTTTGGTAGGCTAAATAAACAGAACAAATAAACAAACTGGGCCATCAATAATATAATCGATTACTATAAGCTCTGGTTAGACTGTTTTCCTTCCTACGAGTTAGTTTGCCTGGCTGACGTGAGGTTGAACTTTGACATTTGGGGCCACGCAGAGGAAAATGCCAAATGTCAGACCTGTCTGTGCTGGCAATTGCAGCTTTCCTTCGCAGCTTCTAGTGGGAAACCATCTCATCTCAGCTCAGCACAGCTGAGTGTGGGTCCAAAAAGTAAGCCACAGACAGAACGGCGTCCACGGCGTATACGTAATCTCCTTAGCCACAACAACTCATTACGAGGGCTTATGTCATGAAAGGGAGACGGGAGATGGCAGAGCAGAGCTCAACCGATTTTATTAGCAACAAATTTCACAGTTTTGACTTTCTAATGAACTTCAACAATGTATTTACATCTCATTGGAGCAGAAGCAAGGACATCCACGATTGTTCACACGCGACTCCTTTTGCCGCAACCCTCAAGCTTCGCACGAAAGTAGGCTACAAAAAGTTGCACAACCACGTTGAATATTTTAGTTATGATAAGTGAATCAGCATTTCCCAAGCCCCTCTGGGACCCATTAACGCAATTTTCCGCACTTAGTTGGGACCACCGAACAACAAAAAAGAAAGGTAACGCCTGCTGATTTGTTTAGGTGTTATTTACATATAACATTTGGTTATTTCGCTGCAAACGTTTGAGATTTGTTTTGGTTGGCTTTTTTTTTGTATTGCCCGGGGATGTGTTACGTTTGGTGGGTTGTGAGTGGGTTGTTTGTATCCAATGTCCTAGATAGCGGCCACTGTCAGTGCAATGAACCAAAAACACTGTTTGGCTTGGCAGTCGGCAGCAAAAAAAAAAGAGCAACAAAGAAGACAGCCAGTTGTCTCCTGGGATGGCAACCACTCGCTCGCCCATTCATTCAGCCATCCAGTCAGTCGTCCAGTTGGTTGGACATCCTCTGCCTGATAGCTGTCCCAGTTGATTTGCTTTTTGTGCTTCCACCTTTTATTTTTGTGCAAGTCTTGGCGAAAAGTTACAAAACTGAAGCCCAGCTGAATGAAAGGGTTTTGCTACTTAAATTTTGACTTGAAAACGAACTTCCGTTGCAAGGAAAACGCCTTTGAATGTTTTTAAGTTTGGTACATTCTCTTTAATTATTGTTTTTTATTTAGTTGGCTTTATAACTAACAAAGTTTTTACCGCAGAAAACTTTAGCTAAGTGCTATAACGATTTATTGAACAAACTTCGTGAAGCTCAAGTGTTTTAATAGTTTTGAAAAATTATTTGGAAACCAAAAAAGTGTGGGAAATAAAACGAGTGAAGTATTTCGAAAATTCAGCAATCATAATTAAGCTGCGGATTGTGGGTTTTATTTTATTAGCTTAATATTAATCCTCTTTCTTATTCCATTGCAGATTAAAGAAGCGCCCGAATAGGTTGAAAATCGCTGTGAAAACGAAGTGAAAAACCCGCGCAACACGGAGCCCAACTGTTCGACTTAATTGTCGACCTCTTCCAATATTAGCGCCATCGCAACTGCTGGGTGTGGGCGAATCTGCGCCCCGCCACCGGTAAGACTGTTCCGAGATCCCCTCAATTTTGTTATTTCAGAACTCACCTCGGCTTGGCTCTGGCACCCACAACTATATCACTCAAAAAACACATATAACATATATGCCACTCTCATACAGAAACACACTCGTATCTTTAGCCTTGCTTCCTTGCTTTCATCAACAAATTGCTTTTCAGTTTTTCCATCTTTTTCCGTTTTCCCCGCCGAGCTGGCCGCACGAACCTTTTGCGCATAAAAACACAAATTGCCCCACAGGCGGTCGGTGGATTTTGTGTGTGTGCTTGGGACCAACAAATATTATAATATAGCGGCTGAAAAGTTTCAAGTGTTGGCAGGCCTGCGGGCCACGACAATAAATACAAAACGCACAACGCCTTTTTGGCCACAAGTGTTTGACATTGTTGACATGGCCCAAACCGCTTCCCTCGGCCGCCGATTGATTTCAGCCGTTTTGTCGAGCACACAAAAGAATTTCGGTTTCATAATAGCCGTTTTTGCTATTCATGCATTTTGCACTCGCTGGCCATTGTCCTTAAATGTCCTTGCCTCCTGTGTGCACCTGTTGCCATCAGCTCGACTTAACCCCCATGCCCACACGCCATTGGTTTTTATGTTCTGTATGTGTTGCTTATTTTAATTAAAGTTTAGTTCAAGCCACCTTAATTGCAACTTTTTTAATGGAATTTCAGTTTTCACTTAGACCGACTCTTTCTCTCTCTGTCCGCCCTTCAACGACTCGCATCCTTTTAAGCACACATTCACGACATTTTCGTAAAAGCAAATGCAAAGTTTGTAATTTCACGGTCTATTTAACTCATTACTCCGGCAGTTCTGTAAGTGAAAGCTAATCGAAAGCAGCGGAGTTTGTTGAATGCAAATTTACTAATCATGTAACCAGCTGACATATGAAATTTGAAATGAGTTTTCCCCCACTTCAGTACATTACATTACAACAGTGTAATGTTTTTTACGATTTTTACCATCTTTCACTGTGAAAATGCACATTCGAAGTGACTACATTGCGCATACGCCACATGGGCGGCGCCTATAAACTCAATTAGAGAAACTTTCCAAGACAATTAGGATCAAAGTGAAAGCTTTGCCTGCAGAATCTCATTACCTTTGTAGGATAGGGTTAAACAAATGGGGGGACATATATATATTGTATGCCTTATTTTATGTTTGTGAGACGCTTTAAAATACTGTATGCCTTAATGTTCAATGTCTATGCACTATAAACATCAGATATCCTTAATTGAATGCTCAAAATTGAAAGCACTCTAGCTAATTAATCGAATGCGAAGCAAATCAACTCAAGTTTGTGATTTGATTTTTTTTTATTTAATGCCGCGGATCGAAGGAGCCGAAAAGCAGCACCCTGAATTTCTCGTCGTTCAAATCAAGCTTCACTTCCAATGTTAATTTCCTGAAGAGAAGGTAAAGACCTTAAAAAAGGAAGTGCCCCGAAGGCCTTTTGAATCTAAAAGGGTTTGGGGCTCAGTTGAACGAAACTAATTTGAAATTTCATATGTTCGTCTATTTCTCTCTCTCTCTCTCTTTCTGTTTTTCCGTCAACTGCGGTTTTCCCTACCGCTCCAATTGTTTTTCTCATCCTCCACAAATCCACACTCAACTGCGCTGCACAAAAATTTAAACCTGTCAACTTGTCTGGCGGTTGGAAAACCCCCACCAAAAAATATCAATCAATCAATCAATTGCCAACACACTCGAACACCGAACACAACAAATAAAACAATAAACAGATTCAGCTCGGGAGACTTGTCTTCCGAGGTAGACGATGTCGATCCGAACAGCCTGCCGCCGGCGGCTCGTCCCATCCAGGATCAGCCGACGAAGCCGCCGGTCGCCGGCGGACCGCCGAACATGCCGCCTCCGCCGGCACCCGGCCAACCGGCCGGAGCTGCTCCGGAGCTGTCGCTGAGCTTTGGCGCCGGCAAGGCCCCCCGACTGCCGCCCCCGCACCCCCCTCGAGGGGTCAGTGCCCCCACCAGTCCGGCCAAGTCGCGCGAAAGCCTGCTGCAGCGGGTGCAGAGTCTGACCGGCGCTGCCCGCGATCAGGGAGCCTCCATCTTGGGTACGCTTCACCGGGCAACTTCTACACTCAGAAAAAGATATACCAGTCATTCAGAGCCACAACATGCTTATATACCAAATACGTTACTAAGAGAAACTACAACTGCTTTTCCAAAGAAACATATTTGAAAAAAACATTAATGTTCATGTATTTACAATATAACTTCAGTATACAAGTAGCATAGAGTTTTTGCAACATTCTATACGCTGAACTCCCCCTATAAAATCATTGATATTTTCGCTCATGGACATTATTAGTAGATAGTTCTGATACTCGAATCCCATAAAAATTCCGGTTAACTGTTATTTTATCCCAAAGTTAAGATCCAAACCTTATTAATATTTTATGAAGAAGTTCACAAGATAAAAAGAAAGTTTTTGGAAACGTTATTCCCCAAAAACTAAATCTGAATGAATATTTTCTTAAATAAGATCTGGAAAAGTATTTTTTCTGAGTGTAGGGACTTTTTAATGGTCTCTGGACACGGAATGACATGTAACCCCAAACAGGAGCCGCGGTTCAGAGCGCCACACAGCGGGCACCGACCTTCAACAAGGACAAGTACTTCACGCTGCTGGTTTTGGATGACCAGAACACGGATTGGTCCAAATACTTCCGGGGCAGGCGATTGCACGGCGACTTCGACATCCGAGTGGAGCAGGCCGAGTTTAGGGCAAGTACCTTCTCATTTCTCACCAGATAATCGGGCTAATTACTGAGTGTCCTCCGCAGGACATCACCGTGGTCTCCAGCGCCGACACCGGGCCCGTTGTCACCATGGCCGCCTATCGCAGTGGCACTCGGGTAAGCTATAAAGTGCACCTACAAAAATAATGTAGGCTTTAACGGAATTTAATTTCAAATTAACATTTTCAAGAGCATACAGTCATAATATTATTTATTTTCATCATTATTGTACTCTAAAAATGGTTAATTGCAAAAACTAGGCATTTTAGGCCCGCCAAGATCAAGATTAATTAAATCTGAAAATCTTTATGTTGTTGTGTTAAAAATACATATACTTGGTGTTTTTTTGAGTGTGTTAGGAATAAATAGGAGCCATTTTTATAGGTACATTAACAGTTTTTATTGACCGAATACGTGACTTAATTTTTGCCAGTGCGCCCACCTAGGTTGTTTGCGCTTAATTAGTGCGATGGCCAGTGGACGGCAGTCGTAGATCCAACTTCTCAGCCGGGGATTTGATTGTCCGCCTGCACTTTGCCGAGGAATAGGAGCGATGAAAGCAACTGGTCCAAGGACATGGGTGGTTGAAAAGGGAAGTTAAAAGGGGGAATAGGTGGCAAATGGGCGAAAGAATAATCCACCGACCAAGGAGCTCAAAAGAGCTCGCAGTCTATCAGAAGGCTTTGTCCTTTTTCCCATATTTACGTAGCTCTGAGCTCGACACTCGGTCGCTCTATTTCCATTTGTTTATTTCAACTCATTCTGTTGACTTTACGATGCTGCTGTTTTTGCAATTGCGTCTGTCAGTGGCAATAAAAGACACTTGTAGCTGGGCAGAAATACGATTGCGAATGCCAAGTCTGGCACACTTGTGTCTGCCAGGAAATTAGACGCCAGCCCTGTTACGAGTGAAGAGTTTTTGAATACAAATAGAGTAGATTTTGTTTAACTCAAGTGGGATGTTCATTAGTTATGGTTAAGTGAACCTGCAGGGTTTGGTATCAACAAAGAGTTAACTATCTTTGTAAAAAAGTTTGATACGGACAAGCGACTTTTTTTTTGATGTTTTGGCATTGCACCCAAAAGTATGCAATAAAATTCTACTCACAATCATCATTATCATCATTATTTGGTTTTCTTGAATCCATGCCCTGCTCTCAAACAAACAGTGAATTCAAATTAAATTTCTTAATTTTATTATTTTTATGTATTTTTCGTTTTTAAAAATTACAAAAAGTATTTCCAGCATTTTGCGTTCTAAAAGCTAAGTGTAAATCCTCATTTTATCAGTAATTCTTTAATTTTCTTTTGGAATATCACACCAAATCAGGTGGCGCGTTCCTTCCGACCGGACTTTGTGCTAATTCGCCAGCCGCCGCGCGATGGATCCAGCGACTTTCGCTCCACGATCTTGGGCTTAAAATACGGTGGAGTACCCAGCATCAATTCGCTGCACTCGATCTACCAGTTTCAGGTAAGTTAACTCTAATTTCTGAATACCTTCGCAACTGATTTCGTTCTCGATTCTTTTTCGCTATAAAGGACAAGCCCTGGGTATTTTCGCATTTACTCCAGTTGCAACGACGCCTTGGACGCGATGGCTTTCCACTGATCGAACAGACCTTCTTCCCCAATCCACGCGATTTGGTAAGTGTACACGGTATAAACATTAAAAGCTAGACACTAATTAAGTAGCTGCTATAGAGCCGGCTGGTTACAAGTTCAAAAGCATCAATTAATAAATAACACATTAGGCATAACGTACGTATTAAAGCTCTGGACAGAGAAAAATGGGTAGCATAACAAGGAAGCGGACTTTTTGGGGTGGAGGGGGTTCTGAAAAATCCGTAGGATTTACGGGTCACTTCGGCACTTTCTGTACAACTGTGTGCGTCGCCAGCGACAGCGGGAAACTTCTCCATTGGCCGTTTGCACTTGATGTGGCATACAGGCACTGAAGTCCCGCTCGCATTTAGCAAATGGTGACCACTTGCACTCATCCGCATAGCTGCGACCCTTGAAGCACCTGTCTCCAAAGCAGGGAGTTACCTGGTGGGATAAAGAAGTTATTAAGACTTAAGTTCTATAAGTTTTGTTTATAAACCTACTTCGCACTTGGCTCCCTTGGCATAACCGCCACTGAAGCCATGGCGCTCTGTGATGGTCATCTTGGTGTACTCCTTGTAGTAGCTGCAAATGGTTAGATATGGCATCCTGCCTGCTACTATATAGACTTTTCCCAGGTCCAACTTGATCCCGCACATCCCATCATCTCGTGGAGTCGCCAGTCGACCATCGCGCAGCATTCGCCGCGCTTCAGGGGTGGCCTAAAATAAATAAAAAAATAAAATTAAAAATAATTTATTAGGGAGGTATTAGGGAGGCGTACATAAATTTATATTTAATTCAGAAGTTAGAATATATTTTATTAAACAGAAAAATTAATAATACCCCTCCGAAACAAGCACTTAAAGACATTAAAAACTTTTCTCTTATTTCAAATATTTTTTAAATGAAATTAAAAGATAAGATTACGTGCCATAAGCAGTAAATATTTTCTGTTCTAATTCCAATAACTAATAGGTACGTGCCTTAGGGCTTATATGCATCCAAACCAGTTCAAGTTGGATCAAATTTGACCTTATTCTGAGCAAATAATTAAAAATTGGACACATGTTGAACGAAACTTTAAACTATTTCTTGAAAGAATAATAGATTCATTCAACATTTTAAAAACAAAGGCAGAGAAAATTAATTAGGTGTTTTTTCCCATCATCTTTTGAACCATGTTTATAGCCTAAAGCTATCAATACTTCAAGAAAAATTACATAGTCAAGTGTCAGTTGATAAATGAAAGAATGTTAAAGGGCCTACAAAGTAGAAACTTTTCTTGCTGTGACAGTTTTCCGAGGGACGTGCTTACCTTGTAGGTGCGCTTGATGTGAACTTTGTAGGTGGTCTTGCCCGGCTCGATGGTTTCCGATTTGCGGAGGACGCGCAGCTGGACAACTGTCGAGGGGAAAGACGTTGGCGTTTGCTTATTGAACTCCCCGGAGATTGGGATCCGACTTGGTTAACTTACCGTAGTCCGCGCGGGAGAAGTGCGTCTGCGGATGGGCGGGCATGCAACTGCAGGCGTCCACTGGGCGACCGTAAAACGCGAGTACGGCGACCAGGAGGAGTGTCAATAAAGCCAAATGCCTTCTAAAATCCATGGCTGCGAGCAGATAAAATTACTCTGGTTTTTATGTCGCCGCCAGTGAGTCGGTCCCCGAAGATTACTGCAAAAAGGGAAGTGAGGAAAATGGGGGAAAATTGAGATTGCTTTTCAGGTTTAATGGGAAAATGTGTATAATAGCTGCCATCCTGCTGAAGGTCACACAGAGTTTAATTATGTCTGTCTTACTTATGTCATTCGGCTTATCAATGGAGGCCAGGCCGGCAGCCTTCAATCAATCGAGCCATCAATCCACTGCTTAATTATGCATTTAATATATTGCACATACGCCCCGTATGTCGGCAATTAATCGCGCCTTGTGTCACAAACACAAACACTCACGCACAAGCCCGGATCATCAAGAGCATGATGGGCACAAAGCACTTGACTGCCACTTCCCATCCATCTTTATTCTTTCAAGATTTGATTGGGATTGTGGATTGAGCCTGAAGCCATATTCCATGTATCGTCAATATTTCATTCGAGACTTACGCAAAGCCGATTCACCAGGCAGTCAATTTAGATCGCATAAATCGCACAAAAGTAGTTCAATTGCCCGGGCATTTCAATTGAAAATTGTTTATGGGAAATTCATAGAAAACTTGAGACGCACAAATCGAAATCCATTACAAAACCGCTGCAACGAGTCTACCACTATATCGATGCACCACCGCATATCGTTGCGATACCATAGATGCACAAACTCGTATACTCGTACATATACTCGTATATTAAAGCGAAAATATTGTATAATATCGAGAGTGGAAACAGGCAAGGCAATCAGCTGCAGCTCCCGATTCACTCTGGTTGTTTTTGTTGTTGTTGTCGAACCGATCAAGGCAGATAGTCAGGTTGCATATAGACGGACCTATGGCCATATGCACACCAGCCTATCTATCTATCTCTCCCGATTTCACCCCGATCTCCGATTCCCCCTCCGCTCGCGGCAATGTGGCAATTAAATTGAAATAAAATTGAATTAAAAGCATTTTGCGGAAAAGCCACTAGAAAACACACACGCATCGAGGGGAAAAGCTTGTGCGTGAATCGCCGCGGAGGTGAAAATGAAGGGGTGGCGGGGTCGTGAGCTATTGATTGAATGCAAGCCAAGCAGGCAGGAGTAATGCATCAAACTATTTATTAAGTGGCAGCCCAAGTGGCGGCCAGACAAGCAGACGCGCTGACTAATGGCTTAAACTGGAACACGCACACTGGCAGAAAATCGGTTCCAAAAAAGTGATCTTCGAGCACGACAATTAAAAGTTTTTCTTACGAAAAATATGTCTGTCATTAGATTTAATTGCCCGTTTTTCATAAAGATTTTTCAAGAAAGGGATGCTTGTTTTCGAATTTATTTTCGGAAATGACTTTATGCTTATTAACATTTGTAGAATTCAGAGAGCCAAAGAACAAGTTTAGTCGTAATAAATTCTATTAAATCCATTGTGACAAAAAATATAGCTGATTTGTAATCTGTGTTGACAGAACCAAGAGCTCATAGCTTTTATGCCTCATTTCCGGGCTAAAAATATTGAAAGCAATATTTCAGCAATATACAAGTTATCTTTATGTTTTAAGAATTTCAAAATGTAAGTCCCAATTTGTTTCGATAAAATTATATTTATTTAATTTTCTTTGTTTACTGTTATATTTTAAGGCAACAATTTTTCCACGATATTTGATATTTTTGCAGTGCTTTTTGAGAGTAATGTCAATTAATATAATTATCCTAAACTTCATTAAAGAAGAAAACATTTTCTTTAGCAAAGTGATTTCAGCTAGAAGTGTTTTTCCCTTCGTGAGATGGAAAATATATAAATAGAGGGTGGGAAAAATAGTGAGTATGTCGTAATGTCATGGGAGAATTTTCGTAGAAGGAAAGCGCCGCATGTCTGCCTGACTTTTCTTTTCTTGACACTGTGACACTTTGCCCGGCAATTAACGGCGCGGATTTGTTTAACAAACAGGCCGACAAGACAGTACTAACAACAACTGGGGAAAAAAAAAACAAAAAACAAACAAACAATCGGCCAAGAGGCAACAAAAAGTGGCACACACAAATCGAAAACGTCATCGTCGTTTAGCAGATAAATCAACTTGAGAGCCAATCGGCAGCAAGAAAAGCGTTTTAGAGGCGTTGAAAATTCGCACGATTTCATCGGGACTCCTTTATTTTTCTTCCCCCCAGAAGCATATGTCTCTATATCTATATATATGCAGCCATGTCTGAACGCACAATTAGCATGGCCATATATCACATCGCGTAGACATAGTTTAAAGCCGGCCAAAAACTGCAGCAACAGCCAGTCCACGAAGTTTTGGGTCGGTGTTTTTTGTTGTTCTTGTTTTTCCCTCTCGTTTGGTCGGAAAATGCTGCCCGTGTTTGTTGACAAGCTTAACACATGTCAATTAAATGTTATATATTATGGCACACGGCGGCCACTCACACAACCAAACTCGAACGTGCCGCTTTCGACGTCACTTAACGCTTCGTCTAATTGACACACTTGTTGGGGGCTCTTGTCTGCTCTGAAGTTCTGAAGTTCTGCTGTCGTCACCATCATCAATATTGACCTTTGACACTGGCTTCAATTTCCAGCGACTGGCATCCCATCATGCGGGCCACCGTCAACAATAGCAGGCAGCAATTTCAAAAGATATTAACTCAAATATCGGATCGAGTTCAATTGGCATTGATTTTCACTCTGCCCTCAGGCCACTTAAAATACTCCGGCCACAACAAAATGGGCAATGTTTATTGATAAACATGGAATTTCTACTACAAGGAAATGGGAACATAATTAAATTAAAAATTGTTCTGTTGTGCGATAAAAATTTAAATACAACATTATAGCTTAGTCATCTTTTAAAGTTTTTATATGATAAATGAAGTAGAATTTGTAATAAGAAAGGAGGAACTTTTTAATAAACGGATAAGTAACACTTTGGTAAAACTATGATATATTTATATTTTTTAATATATATATTTTAATTACTAGAAACACTTGATAAAACCTTTAATTAGTTACCCATTCAGCTTTGCTTTACAAATCGACTGTGACAATATTGATTGCTTACAATTTGTATGCTTGAACTACGGCAACTGCTTCATGAATTTTAAATCATCTCTAAAAGCATCAGCCACTTGGTGTTATGCAAATTTTGTGATTAACACTTGCCCAGACAAGCAAACGGAAGGCAAAAACCAGACAGATTTCCCAGGTGAATTCAAAGGGATTTCGTAAGGTCAGACATGAAAAAGTGTATGGCAAAGAAATCAAAAAGAAAGCTAGACAAAAAAGGATTTCCTTCCACCCAAACTAAAGCGCTTTCGGTTGGGTTCAGGTCCACCTTTTTTTTCGGCTTGTTGGTCGGGTTAAAACATCGCCAAAATGGCCCACCAACCAAAGCCACATAATTAATGCGATTTTGGTTGGTGGCTGTTTGGTGCTTTCAGAGAGTGCCAAATCTGAGATGGCCAGTTGCTAGTTGGCTGTTGAGAGGTTTGGTTTATGAGCACTTAATTGGGGCCATTAATAGCGGCTAATGCCGGGTAATGTCAGTGTTGGGGGAAGTCACAAAAGAATTGACAGCCAGCGGCACTTCGCCCAACAAAAGGCTAAATGCATCGGCATAAAAACGTATTTATAGCTTTCGGATCTTGCGCCTCTATTGCACTACACGCTCTCCAATTTACGATGCCTTGAGATTTGCGCCTCCGAAAGAGGCATAAAAAAATGTGCCTAATTGGATCTGCTTGGATCGCGTTTTCATGGCTCTATAGAAACTGATTTATGGCTTTTGTTTAGCTTTATACGAGTATGGCAAGGGATAAAGTGCAGTGTGCATACCTTATTAGCGGATTGTGGTTAATTGTGTCAGTTCGTATCTATTTTTGCTGCTTTATATAACTTAGATTTCGTTACGATGCAAAAACAAAGTAGTAGTAGTCAGTAGTCAGTATTAAATGGTTATGCAAATTCTCATATAACTTTGTATTGAACTTACAGAAGGAGATAAGATTAGATTACAGTTTTATAGGGTATAAATTCAGCTAATGAGCTCAAATATATGAGATATTTACAAAACACAATCCCGTATTTAACACCTTTTTTAATTAGTTAGCAAATTTCAGTTCGGAATTTAAAACAAGCAAATCATATAACAAATTTGAGTACTGAGTAACCGAAATGCGAATCGAATAACATTGTTCTTGCTCATTTTTTCAGCGGTCATTTACTTTTCGGTATTGCCTTCCGAAGCAATTCGCCTGAGTTTGTTTGTTATTGCTGATTGACTTTCTAAACAGTTTGGGAATGGGTTCGTTATGGGATCGAACTGCGCAGTCTGGTATTGGAATTTGATTTTTGCGGTTCTCACACACGACATTACAACGAGATGATGTCACTTTGTGGGGAGAATATTTTATCACCTCTTCCCCAGAACACAAGATATCGTTTAACTAGACCAAACAAATGTTTGCCTTGCAACTGGGTAAACAACCTCGAATGAGCTTTGACTTTTCCGGCAGTTTTTTCTTTACTTATTTTGCAGTCTCTGCATTTCTGCCAATTTTCATAACTCTGCTGGAAAACTTTCTTTGCCCGGCGGCATTCGGTTGGATATCTTTTCCTTTGTCGGCAGCCTGAACAACAATGAGAGAAAATTAAAGGAGAAATATCAAAGTCACGATCCGGCAATAGGCAATGCCATAATCAGCATGATCAATGCGGCCCAAAACGAAAGGGGCAACAAAGTATTCATTTTTTTTTGGGTTTGATTAATGCCGCAGCTTGATCTTTTGACCCGCAATGTTTGCCGTGCGCGATTGGGATTGCGAAATGCATTTCCGAGATAAAAATCTATCTATTGGCATTTACATGCACTCGGCGACACCTGACAAAGTCACTCAAAGCATCGGATACATATAATTAAGTTGTGCAAACCGAGTTGATAAGAACCACTCGTAGTGCTGCTAATTGAATCGCCAGCTGCCGGCAGTTAATGATGATGAAAACGAGATCCAATGGCTCACTTGCCGGTTGACAGCTTCATTCAGGTGTGACGAAATTCCGTCTGGCAGACACAACTATGTTGGGAATGTTTATTGCCGTGCGCCTCATTAACCCATGCACAAGTATGCCAGCGGATCTGACATCATTGCTCCCAAAATAATTCTTACGCAGCGCTCCTCTTCTCGGTGCACTCACTCGCCCCCAAAAAAGAGAAGCAAACAAAAATTAAAATTGCAAGTCCTAAATTCGTCACGTTCTTTGGCATTTCATTTTAAGGCCAAAAATTAAAAAGCGAAACAGTAACGGCACAAATCTCTCAACTTATGACACAAATTGCCTGGCGGCACTTGCTTCGTCTTGAAAAAATAAACAAACAGGATGCGTAACGAAAATTCAATTAAAAATGCTAATGTGTCGGCGGGGTCCTACAAATCTGGAGAGCCGAAGGTCTGGGCCTGGACTCAAATTGCATTGGCATGACCGCAAAAATATAAATCTTTAATGAGCAAAACCCAAAGCCTGTGCATATAAGGCCGCAAAATAAACATATGTATATGCGAGTATGCTTGCAAATAAATTCTGTGGGGTCTGGGCCTCTGGAATACAATGGACTGCAGTGTGTGTGCGGGCTCGCATTTCGTTATCAAATTGCAACATTTGCATAAAAATCAATAAACTGTTCAAATAACCCCGCTGGCAGTTCAATTAAATATTAAAGCGACAATCGTGGGCCGCCTTTCGTCAAGTTGGGTGATTTATTTCAGCATAACAACCTTCATTCATGCCGGGTGACAGATCTTGTTAAAGACATTAAGGAAAGGACCAGCAAAACAGCAGGAAATCTGACAAATTGACGGTCTCTGGCCCACACACACACTCAAACACACACACACAAATGAAGGAAGCCGGGGACCAAAAAGAAATCATTGTCAATAAATTGCCGCCTGACTTGTGCGATTTACGCAACATCCAGAGGATGGTGAAAAGTTATTAATGGACAGGAATACCAGCAGCTCTTTGTCACGGTGTCGCTGCCTTTAGCATTTCTTCTTAATTGTACAATAATATTTAATTGCAAGATTTGCACAAGAAATTTCTTATTAATGGACCCGGGATGAGCAGACGGTTGTTGTGGGTGTGTCGGCCGAAAAAGCCAGGCAAGTGTGAAGGCATAAACAATCGCAATACCAATCCAATATATCTGCATCGGCAGCCATATAAGGCGCAATGTCTGGCTGACTTTTTTGGGGATTTAAAAGCATTCGCCAAATATGGGAAATTGGATGATGTGCGAGGAAAAAGTCACAATCGTTTGGTTATGACAATTTTATTTGCGCGGCTTTGTGGCTTTTATTGTTCGCGGTTTGTGTTGAATGCGAAATCTTATTAGAGCAGCATTGATCGAATTTGCATTCTCGGAATTGCTGAAATAGGTATCCAATACAGGAATGAAAACGTATCAATTTCAATTGTTTACATATTTAGAATTGCAGCTTGCTCATTAATAAGTTAAATAATAGCTTACGGGCCATTCCTATAATTTATCAACGGCATCAAAACATGATGAATAATAAATTGATAGTTAAAGGTAACCAATAATTAATTTAATTGTTGAATCATCACTTAAAAAGCTGTTCTTTCGTGTAGCCTATTAACCGGGTTTCCCTTTTCTCGGTTTGCTATTGTGATTAAGATAATTTAAAGCCGCCATATGTCAATATCTAAAATTCGAAGGCGAACAATAAATTCAAAATATAAATTTAGCACACTTAAGATAAAAATTTTTCACAGTTAACAATAAGACAATATTATCTACCAGATAAGGTGAAAATAACAGTCAGCGTAGCAATTTGGCGAACACTTTTTTTCTGAAAAGCTGAAAGTCAATACGAATACAAACGCATTTAAATGGCGAATAAACAGAAAAGCCAAAGTCAAATGAAGGAAAAATTATGAATATCCATGCGAAACAGAGTGAGTTGCCGTGTTGGGAAAACACAATACGAAAGAAGGAGAAGGGAATCGAATGGAAAAAGCACTTGAAATGCATTTCCACTCTTTCCCTCGGGCTTCGTATTTCCCCTTGAGATTCGCTTGTACATTTTATGGGTTTTATGTGGTAGCAGTCGAAACATTTGATGTGTATTTTTCATATTTTTAGACATTAAATGGCCAATGCCAAAACACACATGACGTATGCGTGTTATGGAAAAACCAAAAAAGACACACTCACAAACACGCATTACTTTCCTTGACATCCAACGAATTTGTTACTTATACATCACTGATACGACTGAGCTTTACGATCAGACGACATTGCACAACCAAGCGACTTGTATATTTTTTAATGGCTGCAGTTTGTTTACAAATTGGCGACATTAAAAACTATTAAGACAAATCGAAAGGCCAGAAGAACTCTTGGGCCGCTTCAAAAGAGCAAGGGAGGCAGGCAAATAAAAACAAATTATAAATAAACGCAAATAAATAGTGGCATCTAGCGTAGTGTTTGTGAGCGCTGGGTTGGAAAACTGTGTCGCTGTGTCAACGTCGCCACATTTTCCCAGCGCGCGTTTTAAATAGCCTGAAAAACGCGTCTGACTCGCGCGTTTTGCATACCTTCAATTTGAATCTTCTAAATGCCAAACAACTCTAAAAATGAATTGTGTGTTGGCCTCTTAACAAATTTGCATTTTGGGTATTTACAAAAAAATTCTTCAGGAAATATTCTTCTGGTCTTTTAACATTTGACACAATGCGGAAATTAATGGAATCAATTACCATTTTAACATTAAGTCTTTTAAAAGTTAAATTGGGAAAGAGACCTTTTTTTACCTTTAAACAGCAACCTATTTCGTGGTGATATTTTGCACTGCTGGTTTTTGAACACTTGAACCCAAGAAATAGGGGAAAAACAAGGAAATGTATTTTCACCGGCACTCGCAATCGCACTCAACTCGACTCGTCTCGATTCGATTCGACTGCACTTGATACAATATATTCAACCGATCGCTCGCGATTTCTCCGTCGCCAACTTTGTGGCGTTCTAGCTCGATGGGCTTGCGGTTCTGCACTGGATCGCCAAGTCAACCGATTCGTCTGTTTTCTTAACCGAAACCGAATCCGAAGCCCCAACAACCGAAGACCCGAAGATCCCGCTCAAGTTGTTCGGATCGCGAGAGATTGGCCGAGTGAATATGGTTTGAGTGTTTCTCGCGGCAGTCGGCCGATCAAAAGCGCGATAAATTAACTCCGCAAATGAGTGGAAAGTGAGTGGTGGAGAGTCGATTGCATTTTTCGTGGCATTACTTTACCTTGGCAGCTTTATTAATTGCGTGCAGGGGCCTGGTTTATGCTCTTGGCCAAAAGGCATCATAGTATAGAGTCGTAGAAACTTGGCGCCACTTTAAAAGAGCGAGAGAAAGACACCGAGATGCCGTGGTGCGCCACACGAAACCGCAGAAAATAGCGCATCTGTCAGGCCGCAAATCAACTAATAACGTGGCTTTGTAAAGGCGACTTCCACTTCCTATTGCCATGTGGTGCACACACGTGCTGCCGCTCCGGTCATGCTTCATACCACACTGCATGCTCCACCTACAGCATGTTGCCATAATCTGCATTCCCGACCAGCTAACGCCACCGCGCAATGGGTATGCACTGCGAGAAAAAGTTACCCCAGATGGTGCAGAAACTGAAATAACAAACTGTTATAAAGAACAAGTTTAAGAAACTGTTATAACTATTATTATTCTGGTTTATTTGTATAGGGTTACTATTACAATTTGTAATTTGTAACAAACCACAACAAAACGATTTAAATGTGTAAGGCGTCTGGCCTTTCTAAAAATTCTTATATGAACGGATTGTTTACTTTACTATAATTTTGAAAGAGAACTTTCGAGGAGTAAGTTCTTATCTTAAACATTCCAGAAAATGTTGGGATTTTTTTATTGTTATATACATATATTATATAGTTATTTTTATATATTATATTTCAACTAGTTATGAACTCGATGTACAATTTAATACTTTAAGTATGAAACCATTTGTTTATATTAAGGCTTTACAAAAGCTAGACAATCATGTAGATATTTGCTGATTGTAATTTTTTGCTGGTGCACTCTTACATCGCTCGGACAAACAAACACCTTCCATTCCCCTCCCTTTTCCTCTCAATCCCCGCCCATTGAACCCGCCGCAGGGCGTTACGGATGCGTCACAGTGCATATTTTAAGTCGGCTGATATAACCGATGAGGAGCAGGCCCCTAGACAGCGGCCACTCGAGCGGAATACGCAGCAGCAGCTTCCAAGAATGCTGGCTATGCGGGGGAGTGACGTCGCCCTCTCGTTCTCGGAGACCACATTTATCCACATACTATATCACATATAGTAAAGTGAATCCATAAGGGAACCCACATCACGGCTGATTTTCATTGAGAGATTTCTCGCACTTTGTTTGGCCTTTCTGTCATCACAATTGTTCGAGTATCTCGTCTGCGGCAATTGCGACAATTCTTCGGGCTGCGTCATCGTTGTTATGGTTTTCCTTTCTGTTTTATTTTGATTTATTCACCCTCTGCCAATACTCGAAATTAAGCCCATGTGTTTACTTCTGATTTATCAACTGTTTAAATGTGGCTCGGGGAGAGATGATTAACAAGGGTAATCGCCTGTCGATTTGCATATATTATATAAATGTTACAACCATGAGCAACGCTGTAAAATTATTAAAATGTGAATTAGTCAAATGTGTATTTACGGGCATTTAATAGCGATTTGCATACGCCATTTATAGCGGCCTTGAGTTTTCAAGAAAATACCCTGTCTGAGTAATGGTGGAGAATTCTGAGAATTGGCCAGGCAAATCAAAGAAATTTTCAATGGCCAGATTCGTAATCGGAACTCAAGCAAAAACAACCAATGAATTTGGCACTTATCCAATGGATTATTAAGATCGCCCTCTGATTTCCGCAGCAAATAAAACAATAAAAAAAGCCAAAGAGCTTGAGTGCCATCATCAGCGTATTGTAATTTATAGAATTCCAATCAGACGGCGAAATAAGTATGGTGATTGCTGCGGTGTCTTTATTGGCAACACAGAAAGAAAGGAGTCTTAAACATGTGTTTATATAATATGTCAATTATGAAAGTAATGCATAGATAGATAGATAGGTATGCGATCGGTAGAATAAGAAGCAATGAAGTAAAAGGAACAATAGGAACAGGAAAAGGATAACATTGAAAATCCTTATCACTTTTAATCATTTGGTATCAACAACAAATACTTTTTTAAAGCCATATGAAAGCTTTTGAACTGAATATAAGATATGTAAAATATTAACACTAAATTAATGTTTTTTTCTCTGTACCGTTCCAGTTCCAGTTCACGAAGTTCCCCAGCGTGCTGAAGGCTGGACATTGCCACGGCGGCGTCGCCACCGCTCGGCTGGAGAACCAGAGCGCCCTGCAAGATGCCGCCGGACTGGTGAGCGGTGCCGGGAACGACTCGCATTGTTACTGCACCATCGAGCCCTACATCGATGCCAAGTTCAGCGTGCACATCCAGAAGATTGGCAACAACTACAAGGCGTTTATGTAAGTGACCGCAAGCCGCAGACGGCTGAAAAGCCACAATGCAAATGGTTGGATTGTTGGATGGTTGGAGTGGTCCGGCGACCTTGCAACTGTCAGCAGACAAAAGCGGTCGCTTTGCAATTGGCAATTATCCTACCAAGTGCCGCGGCAAGAGTTCATTGTTTCACTCCGACCGACCGAAATGCATTGACGGGTTCAAAGATCTTTTGTTGGAGTTCCCCCCAACCGATCGCATTATCTACGCTTTTTTAGCGGCTTAATTTTCTTGTATGGCTCATACGCTTTCGCTCTTTAACAGGCGCAAATCCATCACCGGCAATTGGAAGACCAATCAAGGCTCGGCCATGCTGGAGCAAATCACTTTAACCGAGAAGTACAAAAGCTGGGTGGATGAGGTAAGTCATCGGATCGAAACCAGGCGACACTAAATCAAATTGGGAATGAGTGTTAGCTTAACCAGGCGACTTGCCTGTTCACTATAAAAAAATTTTCCGGAGTATCTTACTGATTAATTTAATTACATATTTTATACCAAATACTTACCATTCTAATAGGAAATCATTTAGTTGGTATTAGGTGATAATTGAATTATTGGGGAATGCAATCTTTTGTCTGCTTCATTAAATGTTTCAATATGTAATATATTTATTACCCTTCAGTCTTTGCCTTATGTTACAGCTATTATTTATGAAGTTCCAAAGAAACCATTTAAGGGCATTTCATAGCGAAATTCAATCCAAATCCTTTTCATTGCCCCCAAAAGCCGCACACATAACCGTTATTGCCACGAGTTGTGAGCCAAAACGTGGAAATCTGGTCGCAAGCTGCTCAGCTTAGCTTAGCCCAGTTGAGTACGGTTCATTTATCAAATTTGCCCAATCAATATGGCTAAGGAAAATCGCTTTAAATTATTTGCGGCATTTTGGGTGCACAAATTTGATTTCGGCTGCTTTCCGATTTTCCCCCCGAGGGGGTGGCAAATGGAGAACCGTTATGGAGAACCAGCCACCAGAAATCATACTCGACTGACGTCAGTCGGCGGTCGAGTTTGCATTGCCCTCGAGCGGCGGCACAACTTTAATTAGAGCTCATGAATATGCAAATCGCAAAAACAGTTAAACGGTTTTAGCCGCACAATACGCTACGCGAGTTAACGGGAGTTTGCCTTCGAACAGATTTTAAGTAGGCGCCTCATAATTGCCAAATGAGGTGCAAGCATTTGGATACATGGGAAATCCATCAGATACAATATTCTATCTATGCGAATGCTCAATTCGATTTCCTTTGAGTCGCGACTGACTCACTCAATGAAACTGCATATGTGCATTAATTAATTGCTTTTTACTGGCGCAAATATTCCTCATTCAAGTGTCGCTCATTAGATAAGGCTGTCGTTTTTAGATACATTCAGAGAAAAATGTTCTTTCCCTTAAACATTTTGAACAGCAATCCACTTTAATTGATAGTAGCTTATCATTTTTCTAAAAACAAGGTTTTAATACTTTGGATATATGATAACTTCTTCTTAGAGAAAAAGTTGAGAAATAATAGAACAAAAGTAAAATATTTTAATTGCTACTTTTATGGCTTTCTACAATGGTACAAATATTTATTTAGATTAAATTTCCCCAAGTGCATAAATAAATGGGTGGGCCGTTAGAAACGTCATCGCAATTCTGGGCAAGTCAGAATCAGCTTCAGCATCAGCATTAGCTTTAGCGTTAGCTTTAATGAAAACAAACTGTGTAATTAAAACCGGCAGTCGAAGCCGGCGGAAGCCCACACAGAAATGTTTGAGCCGAATGATTCCCGTCTGACTGCTCTTGCATCGAAATCGAAAACACATTTTGGGGTCATGACTCAATCGCAATTCGATTCGTATCGCCTTTCAGATATCGGAGCTCTTTGGCGGCATGGAAGTGTGTGGTCTCTCCGTCGTGGTGGCCAAGGATGGGCGCGAGTACATCATCAGTGCCTGCGACAGCACCTTCGCCCTCATCGGAGACACCCAGGAGGAGGACCGCAGGCAGATCGCCGATCTCGTATCCGGACGCATGCAGGTTAGTATGAAATTTTTGGATAAAAAAAATCTCTAAATACATTTTAAGCTGATATCAACCAACAAGAAACGGCGTGGTTTTAGATTTGTTCATCTGTTTTAACATACAAAACATAGCTTAAGTCTATAAGTTAAGCGCTAATGTATTATTTCCGTTTAACTGTAAATAAAAATAATAAAAACATACAAAACTCGCTTAACGCGAAAAGAGCTAGAATTTTTATAAGTACCTATGTATTCGTTTTTCTAATTGAGGTTGCCTGCTTCCTTAGTTTGAAATTTTGTATTTCTCACAGAACGGAAATACTGATAAAGTAAATTTTCAACTCGAATTCAATTTAATCTTAACTTCTCTAGGAATTTTTATAAGGAATTAGAATTCTTTAAAATATTTCTTATCTCTTAAAAAAATGTTTGTTCATTTCTTTTTCTTTTCTTTTTCTTGGCAATTTTTTAGTTTGATAGAATGATGGGATTAATGCCGTACAAATAATTGTACATTTTTTTTTTTGCGTTTTTTTTTGCTTTCAAATTTTTAAGATATAATAATTCATAAAAAGGCGATTCGACAGTTTTTATTTAATTTATTTCTCTCAGTTTAATGCATTTTAATATTGCCAATACTAAAACTTAAAGTTCAAGCATTTTAAATTGAATCATTTCCTCCCGCTATTTTTCCAGAATGTCTGTCGTCCCAGCATGGCACAGACGGGACCAGGGAAGTTGCCCTCCCGCTCGTCGGTCTCCTCGCGGGCGGAGTCTCCCACGGACGAGGGCATGGCGCCCACTCCGCCGCTGCCGGCTGGACCGCGCCCCGCTCCAATGGGCGGACCACCGCCGATTCCGGAGCGCACCTCGCCGGCGGTGGGCTCGATTGGGCGGCTGAGCAGCCGCAGCAGCATCTCGGAGCTGCCGGAGGAGCCCTCCTCCTCGGGACCCAGCACAGTGGGCGGCGGAGTGCGCCGCGACTCGCAGACCTCGCAGTCCTCGACCATCTCCTCCTCGGTGTCGCGACCCGGAGGCCAGAGGCCACCGCAGAGCCAGAGTTCGGTGGTCGAGGACGCCGAGGACACCATGAAGAACCTGAGGAAGACCTTTGCGGGGATATTTGGTGACATGTAGGAAATCGCTAACAAGAAGCGCGGCAGAACGGCCAGCGAGACGAGCAGCGGCAGCGGGCCAGGCAGTGTGCCCAGCAGCGCGGGACCGGGAAGTGGATTCAGTGGCTCCTTCCTCGGCAAGCAGTTCTCGTTCGCCGGCAAGGGGGCGCCCGAGGTGGGCGTGATCTCCACGCAGCCTACGCGGCCAAGTGAAGAGCCCCCGGCAATTCCAACGACGGCGACGACGGCCAGCTCAGCCGTCCGGCCGGAGAGCAGCGTTTCGATTAGCGGTACAACAAATACGGATACGAACGGAGCGGGTTACCAGCCGGTGACCAACTATGAGCAGCAGGAGCGGGTCAATCCGTTCGACAAGGAGCCCAAGAAGTCGGGCAGTGCGGCCAGCATACACACCTCGCCCTCCTCCTCGATGTCATCCTCATCCATCTCGTCGCGCATAAATCGCAATGGGAATCCCATTAAGTCACCGCCACCGCCGGCGGGTCCACCACCTCCACCACCCACCAATGTGGTGGCCATGGGCAGCAATGCGAACAGTTCGAGTGGCTACAGGAACAGTTTCAGCAGTTCTTTAAGCAAGGACAAGACCAGTTATGGCAACTATGGCAGCACCACCTCGGTGGAGACCATCACGCGAATGGATACGAACACCACGAACACCGGAGCCACGGCAACGGAAGCGGGAGAAGCGAGTGGCATCACGGCCATCACAAATATCAGCAACAGTGCTGCAGGAGGAGGAGGTGGAGCAGTGGCTCCCACCACCACGGGAACCATCACCACATCGGTGACCACCAACGATTGGAGATCAGCCATCGGGATGCGATCGGCGAGTGTGTATAGTGCACCGGCGGCAGTGACCACCACCGTGCTGCCGGGCGACACATCTGGCTACGATTCCAACTCGATCGCCTCGCAGGGCGAGGGACTCAACAATCCCAGCGATCTGCCCTCGTACACACGACCCTCGTACTCGCGATCCGAGAGCAATGGTAATTATCTAGCCGTGGGCGTACTGCTGGTCAGCCTCACCCTGCGAAAGACCTAAAGATCGATTTTACAAATACATATACTTCATGATAAATCATGCCATTTAATCTCATTATCGTACTAATCAGCTACACCCCATATAAATATATATACAACTACATATAGAGAGACCAACTAAATGTAATCGATTGAACCCCTAGCCAAGTAGGCAGCCGTGTCAAAGTGTTAGCCAAACGAGAATATTAGGAGTTGTATCCTTTAGCCTAACTATTTTGATTTTCCTAGCCAAGCTCAGTGAGTAAGCCAAATATTACGTATACGACTTGCGGGCCGCTCAAGTGTTTGTAAGTCTCTCTTGCTAAAAACGCTTGTCTGCACACACACACACACACACACAAATATACATACACAACAGAAGACAACAAACAACAACAGGAACCGTACAGTACACACTCGCTAGAGTGCACCGCAAAACCTGAGTTCCGTTCTGTTGGCTTTTTGGGCACGCATCGAGAAACAAGAGAAACCGCAGATACAATCCAGATAAACTATAAAACACCACAAGAGTAACAAAGCTTTTAGTAAATACAAAATTCGTTAGTAATATTAATGCAACCCTTTTTTAGTTTTAGAATGTGCGTGTGTGTATTGCAGAAAATGCAGAGTTATCAAAAGATGAGCCTTAGAAAAATGTCGTTAACTAGTCCGAAAATCGTCCAAGAATCAGAACTCAAATTTCATTGTCATTTCACTCACATATTGATAATGCTTGTTTTTTTGGTAACGCTCATTTTGCTCATCCTCCATCACCAACTGTCAAATATCAAATTTACAAAAGTCGATCGAAAAAGTAGTATGTGGTCAAAAAAATATACAATTTGAATTTACAATAAAATTTAACAATTCTAGTTTAAATTTGTATATTGTTCAAACATAAGACTAGATTTCACTTCACCAATGGATTTTATTTATAATGCAACCTAAAATATTTATTGTAATATTGCAATAGTTCCAGTCTTTGTACTTCAAGTTGTTAATAACTTTCAAGAATTAAGCTAATTTTTTCGATCTCCTTTTGTATAAATAGAAGTAAAGCTCGATTGGCTCACGTAGTGCTAGCGATAAGTGCTAAGAACTGCACCCACGCCAAATTGATGTGCACTTCTTCCTTTAATCAATGTTCTTTTAATTAACTTAACTCCAATTCTTGCAGCTTCAAAGCAGTCGGATCTGGATGTTATCTTCGGGGACAGCAAGACCACTCCGGTTTCCTACGGAAATGGAAAGTACACCCGGGCTGCAGGATCTCTCTCAGATGCCGATATGATCTTCGGAGGACCGCCCTCCAACTACAAAAGCGATCGATTCGGGGCCGCCAAAAGCATGAGCATGAGTTCCAGTGGAATGGGTTCCGGAAACGGAACCGGATCGGGCAGCTATAAGATCTACGAGGGCATCCAGAATGCAGCATTCAGCGACTTTAGCGATTCGGGAAGCATGAGTAGCATCGGATCGCACACCAAACGCTGGAGTGCCAGCAAAGAGGATGACGAGGAGCTGGACTTGAAGTGAATCCAAGAAAAATTCCAAACCAAAACCATCACCTACAGTCACTCACACACACACTAAGACAAGCAAACTATAGAATTCTATCTATTTTCTGCCTCTGAAGTTTCCTGGTTTCATGGGAAAAAACACACTAAGCATATACTCACCCACTTAGACCATAAACTTTTGGTTACTATCGTTTCAACTGTCAACTATCTTGATCGAAACTCTTTCCTCTCATTCATATAAACATGACAAAAGTAAAAAAAAATGATGAAGCAGCTGAAAATGCTATGTAGACACTGTAGTACACTACTAATATATAATTATAACCACCAATGCAACAACAATAATGCAAAACCCATTAGATATGTGCAATGAAATGTCGAAATGCCGATGACTTGACTGGTTTTGCAGAATGATAAAACTTAAAGAACGAGGAACCTATTTAATTACCATACTTAAAAACATTTTGAAACATTTTCCAAGGCGAACAAATTATATATTAAATATATTATTGAGACAAATATTGAATTATATAACGACATATTAAACCAATTGAGAGTTGATGACATAAAAAGTATTCGCAAGCGTATATTACATGTTAACCTGCTAATGAATCAATGGGAGAACTTTTAAGTAAATGGAATATTAATGAATCTGTTATATACCAACATGAGACACATATGAAATCCTATAAAAAAAACTATATAAAATAAAAGACAATATGCGCAAAGTATAACAAACATAATATATACGCGATCTAATTATAATGGATAAATCGGTTAACGAACTATATGTATTCGGAAATTACTATGAGCAAATGTTACATACCAAACACGAAAATGGAAAACACAAGAACAGAAGCTACTCACACACAAAGTAAATGTTTATTACCACAAATATTATGATTATTATTATGATGTATTAGCAGTTAATGTTTACAAACAAGACGAGCCGGCATCGAGGGCTTCGAAAGATATGGAAAGATTGGAAGTACCAACCAAGCACGACAAGCAATGTTAATCTAGGCTGAACCAACCGAGCAACAATAACGAACCAAACATATTCGAAAATCTAGCGATCCCATGCGATCCACATAAATTTACACGGTTTAGTCGGTACTTGAAGGTCGAAGAAAAGAAAAGTTGGAGTTAGAGGCAATGATATTGAGGGATATTTAGATAATATACACAAATAAATATTTATAAATGTTGCAAGCGACAACAACGAAGTCATATTATCCATTCAATATATAAACAATAGCTTCAATTGGTTAGGACTATGATTTAGCGACAAATGTTTGATAAATGTTTTTTGTTACGCACATGGTTAAGCATTATTTAGAGCAATAGACAATTTTACATATGTTACATTTGAAATAATAGTAGCAATCATTTCAATTGGGTTGTAAACTTATCTCTTTTATTAACTAAATGCATTAGAGAATTTTAAATAACGTTATATGCAGGGGAATATAAGAAAAGAATACTTGAAAACTTGTTAATTTACCAACTCTCTTCGATTTTAGTAGAATCTACATTTGGGAATGCTACAAATATTTTAATCTAAACAAATTTACAACTATACAAGAATATTGAATACCCATTGTTTTCGGTTTGGGCCAATTGGGCCCGGTTACTCCATTCTATATCATCCTACCATCTATATACAAATATATATATTAAATATGTATGTAATTATAAGTGAATCTTTGGCTACAAGTACTTTTTCGTAATCGTAAACATCATCATTTTAATCGAACTGGCACATATTCATGGAATGTTTTATAAACATATATTTATAACGACAAATGTAGAACAGAAAGTACATAAATACAGGCATCGATCGAGCAATTCGATGAGCATATATCATGGCACTAGACCCACAACTTACATCAACTCACCCCATAACAATATCGTGCATCAAGTGAACAGAAAGTGCTGAATACATAAATTGAAACTCAAACGAAATACTCAAGCATAAGGCATACGTATAACTTACACGACTTCTTATCTGTTGCAAAATATACCAAATAAATACTCGTATTATTGTGAAAGTATAGCAAGAAATATGTACTTATATGTTGTCTGTAATTGATTCACGTTCCCCCTTAAAATCCCCCAAAAACCCCACAAAAAATACGAAAAGAGCTGGGGTTACACCCACTCACTTGGTACTCACAAATTTACTGCAAATCTCTATATATATATACATATATACTACGAATTATTCCAATGAACAGCGGCAACTGCAATGGCTAAGAAAACAAAACCAAAAGTAACAATAAATGAGTTGATGATTGATACAAAAGCAAAGACACAAATTGTTTTCCACTCCACGCACAATTTCGCGTGCGTTTACCTGCGGAATTGAGTTAGCATTGACATTAGCGAATCCTTCGGGCGGAAAAACGTCTGCTTCACTTTCAGGCTAATGACACCAGGAAAAACACTCTCGCCGATCCCTCCAATCCGTTTTTCCAGTGCAACGAGGCCTGCAACATAATCTCCTCGTCTACCTGCCAATTCGCAAGTTCGGGCCATAAAAACCAGGCACTTCCCAATGCCCAAACTAGTCATCATTCGCGACACACTCGATACAGACCGAAAGGCAATCACGCGATCTTCAACATGGATTATATCATCTTCGCTCTCTTGGCTTCCACCTGTTTCTTGGATCTTGCTAAGACAGCCAGTGTTCAGTTGGAGAACTACGACATGGATTTGGATAATGGGGATATAGCAAACACCACCGATTTGGAGTTCAATGAGGGAGTATCTTCGCTGGAAAGACCTCTTTCGTGGTTAAGAAGCGCCAGTGGAATCTTCGGCAGTCCCGCTGGCCATGTGGTCATCCAGGTGGCCAAGGAGCTGCTGCATCGCTCAGCTGGAAACAGTCAAGTATGGGTAGAATATAGAATTAAAAATCCAGGATATCTTCTTTACTCTTATTATTATTTACTGTGAAGTTTCATTTATTTTATTTTATTTATTAATTTCTTCTTAGGTTTTAAGTTTGAACCTAACCAATCTGCTGATCATCATACTGCTTAAAGTGCTGATCTTCTCAGCTGGAATGCTGGGTGCAGGACACTGGAGTGGCTATGGCTATGGTCATGGTCGCTCTGATGGACGTAGTGATAACTCCTTTGGTTTGGGCTTAGCTTCTGGAGATGACTATCTGATAACTGGATTTCTGGCTGCCCAGGGAGCCGGCAGGGATGAGTGCCTCTATGCAGCATCCTGTGCCTGTCCCACAGCAGCCTATGAATACGCAAAGGCAGGAAGAGCTCTTCTGGGCGCCATTGAAGTCTTTCAAGGGTAAGCAAATACAAAATAACCTGAATTAAAGTTTCAATTAGCACCCACAAACAAAAGCATAGAAAAATTCGAAGATCTATGCATAGCTTATCAATGAAGTTTTTTTGGATGACTAATTAAAATTTGATGGTCTAAAGATGCTTCACAAATCTTATTTCAAATGTTTCAGCTTGAGATTTTGACAAATAACTTTAAATACATAACTAAAAATATATTTCTTTTAAATTATTCTTAGAGTACCGCTGGAGAAACCGCGCTACAACGACCTAATAGTTCTCATGGAGCGTGCCGCATACGATGGCTTCCGAGGAGTTGCCTGCAACACCACCCAGACTTGCGACGGACTGCTCTGAAGTTTCCTTTATAAAACCACTATTTATGTATCTATTTAAATTTATATTAAATCATTAGATTGTAGTACAAACGAGGTGCAGGATAGTGCTTGGATTTCTGCTTTTGGTGTACAGTCTCAAATGGTTCAGCATGGAAATCAGATTATTGGCTAAGTAATTTAACTATGCTATGACTATTATTGTGTCTACTTCGGCTGTGATGTTTCGTTGAAAACTGCTAATCGAGAAGTTGGTGGGATTAGCGCAGGATATTCCTGTCCACATTCAGTTGCTCCTTGCCACCGGTTATGGCCTTCACGAATTCCGGATAGTGAAGCAAACCATCGTTGTTGTCATCGGCAATCAGCAGAAACTTGTCAATGGCCTCTGTAAAAAAATATTAAATATATTACAAACAAATAAATGAATGAAACAAAACTTTAAACTAGCATTTTCAATTATTTTGATCAAATGACAACTGAAATTAAGTTTTATAATCGTTCAAATGTAATGATTATGTCGGCTTTTTTATGTAATTAATTTTTAAAAGATAATAAAAATATTCCCACCTATAAAGTGTTCCAACTCATCGGTGGCATTTTGCAGGTATTCATCCCGCTCATTGTTTTTAAAATAGTCATAGTTATGATGCATGGCAGACTGAATCATCTCGAGGCCATCCAGTGCATTGTTATTATCATTGTCATGGGCCTGGAGTTATGAAATAAATTAAGATTAAGCAATATTGCTTGCAGTTTTCTTTTTTAGATCTTACCTTAAACATGTAGAAGATTTTCTCCTCCTCGCTCAAGTCCTCCAAATTGGCCTGCACTCCCATTTCCTTTAAATCGTCATCAATACGGCTAAAAAATACAAATATTTTTTATATCTAAACTCCATTTTTCAAACTCCCCATTCCACTCACTGCTCCTCGTGGGTGAGATGCTGGTCCACTCTGCGGGTTTCGCCTCTTGGATGATGTGGACCCCTCTTGACCGCCAGGGTTCCATCGAAAGTCTGGCTGAAACTGGCTATGCAGATAATGAAGTTCAGCAGGTTGGATAGATTGCACATCCTATACATGGCAAACCGAATTTTGCAGGAAACTGTTGTGTGTTGAATTGGGTTTTGTGTATTTTCTGAGGGGTGGGTTGGCCAGGCCACAACTGTCACGCGAGCTGTCAAATCGGTTTGCCAAGCGCAGGCGCTGAGTTTTTCCGCTTTTCCCCCTTCAGCCGGGTTCGTCTGTCAAAATTCAAACATAGCAACCTCTTCGGCAGTTGTCCCGTTGGTTCAATAGCATTCGACTTTGTTGGTTGGTAGACCTTAGCACACGAAGCGTTAAACAATTATTAAATTTTATAAAAGTTAATTTGTGAAAATGTGTGAGCAGTATTGCGACAAGTTCGAGACCTTCAATCCGGAGATTGAGTTTGCAAAGTTTCAAAAACGCAAGCCAGTTGTAAGAACTGCTCAACTTTATGAGAATCTGCACAAGCGAGAGGACATCAAGTGTCCCTGTAAGTGGGAGAATATTCTATCTATCTATACTATCTAAAATATACTAACTTATTATTTCGTATTTCTCCAATAGATAGTTTCAAGGGTTATGGCGTGGAGACGGACTCCAATACAATGTACCGCACCTGCAACTCGGAATACGGTTACTATGCACCCAATGCCTATACAATTCCCAAGCGTTTCTATCCACTGCCCCAGAATTTCTCCAATGAAGTCGTTCGCTTCGGCATGTATCGCAATTTCTCTTTAAACACGCACATGGATCGCACCTTCTACTAAAATACCAGCGTTTAAGCCTTCAATCACTCTCAGGTCGTCTCAACTTTTATTGGTTTTCTATGCCATTTGAAAATTTTAAGCTGGACAACAAATGAAACCTTTCTCCGAATATTTACCCTTATAAGCAACCCAGAAGAAATCTGTCATTAAAAAATTGTAAAATGTCAATAAGGCACCAAAAAAATTATAAAATTTTATAAAAGCAAACAAACGTTAGTCTTTTTTTATTATGTTAATTTAAGTTATTCGGTTAACTTTTTGTAAAAAAGAAGAAAGACCTGAAAAAAATTCTCAAGACCTATGCAATCACTTAAATTAAAAGTAAACCACCAACTGCCGGGAATTATCAGTAAACCAACGAAATGAGGTGAGCTATTAGCATAGATATAATAGCTGAATATACGGAATACCGTTCCCCAGTGAAACCAAGAAGCTACTCGATGCATTGCTGTGCGACATTTACGGCAAGCAGGAACAGTTGGCCAAGCGAATGCGACGCTGCTGCAGAAATCCTGTCCTGCGTTGTCGATCCTCGAAGGAGAAGAAGAAAGGACAACTGGCGCAACTAGCAAGCGGTATGGTTGGAAATCGCTCTGCGCTGGAGCGCCTGGATGTGCGCAAGCTGATCGATGTGTGTGCCATCCTCAAAGTGGAGGTTCTGATGCTGGGTTATCTTCTGGAAAGGGTCCTTATAGCCAGGGACCGTTTACAACGACATCAGGAGGTCCTTTGCGAGTTTGTCACTGCTGTGCTCGTAGTCGAAAGCGGTAAGCTTTAAGTTCATAGAAGATTTAAAAATTTTTAAAAACATTTTAAAATTAATTTTAAATTTTCCAAAAAAATGGTTTCCCGAAATTTAAAAAAAACGAGTATGCAACCTTATTGAAGGCCCAAATACCAAATACCTCTTCCTTTGAGATCAAATGTATTTTGGACCATTTTATGCGGGTTTTACCACAAAAAGGGGACAAAACATTTTAAAAAAAATTTCAATCGAGGAAGTATAAATATTTAAGTGGACACAACATTTTTGACAAAAATGTCCTGTTTTTATAAACTTTTTTCGAAGGCATGAATTTTTTTGAGTGCATCAAATGTCAAAGTGTGCGTGTGTGGGAGGGAGGGGTGTGCCCACTGCGCAGGCTCCCCACTGACAGCTGGAGGCTCGGTTCGCCCGTGCCTGAGCCACCGCCGTCAGTCAAGTGCGGAACTCTCAGCTGTGTGGATCGTGAAGTGCGGAATCGGAAAGCCTGAAAAAATCACAAAGCTGAACGCTGAAAAAATCCTCGCAAGCGTCACGCAACGTGCATGTATGTGTGGGCGTGCGTGTGTGTGTATGTGTGTTTGCTTTCATTGAATGAACTTTGTTGTGTCCTGAATGTATGTGTGTGTGTGCAAGAGTTGTGGGCAGGTGAAGCCTATGCGTGTGCGAGTGTGGGTGTGCCCCGAAAGAAGGAGGCTGACTTGATGACGACACAGCGCAGCATTGAGACTGTCTGACGGGCCACACACACTCGCACACCAGCAAGCACACACACACACCCACTAAACTTTGACTTTGTGAGCGTAAGAGTGGCAGTGTATGTGTACGTGTGTGTGGACCAGCGGTTTGAAATAACAAACGTGTGGACTGGCCTCCAGAAGCATTTTTGCCTGTCTTATCTATGTTTTTATATCATCTACGTCTCTCTCTTACTTTCCGTGCTCCCCTCTCTCTTTCTCTATTTTTTCTAAATGTGTGTGTGTTACCCTTGATATTCGTCGACCAAAATACCGATGTTAGCTGGAAAACAAGAGCCATAAAACTAAGCGCGTGCAAAAAGAGTAGCGTGCGATACCATTGCCCTGTATTTATTTATTTATTATTAAACTTATTTAGAGATGGGAAACACACTTTCTAATTGAATTGCAAGCGGTGGCCCAAGAAATAACAGAAGCGTGCGTAATGGAATAATACGATTTTATCGATCCGTTCAGCATAGGAAAATGCAATTAAAAACTGCACTCGCCTAAAAGCATGCAATCGAAAATTTCATTAAAAAGCTAACGCCCGCGTTTAATGCCTTTTCCTGCTTTATTTTCCGGTGGCTCTGGATATTGGTAACAGTAAAATAAGAAAACAAAAACAACAGAAGAACCCCCCGCATTCCTCGACATGTTTTTGATGGCTGCCACACACATGAGGTGCCTCTTTTGGCCCTGGCTGATATGGCCAGCCATTGTCGCTGCCATTGTTGTTCACTGTACGAGTGTGATTCATGTCACGCTCTCACACTCGGCCAGCCAAAAGGCACACGAACTGGCTTTGTTTGGCAAAAAATAGTTGATTGTGGATTGCATAACTACGAAGAATGTCCCACAAAAAAAATGTAATAGTAGGCAGAAGAGTTGAAGGCCGTGCGGCTTTAATCCATATATCTGGGCCAAACCATTCAAATCCATTATGCAGCAGTTGAGCAACTTTGATGAGTGCCAGCCATTTAGCAGGGAAAATTGCAAGTTAACGAGAAAAATATTCCGAAAGTTGAAAGGAACTCTATGTACCAGTCAGTAATTAATAGCCACGACAAAACTAAATATCCATCTCTCTTGGCCTTAGAGCTGTTTTCTTAATTAAATGCCACGTGGCTTCAAGCTCTGTTTACCTTTCCGCCCAAACTCATGAAAGCCCGTCAGAACGTAATGGCCACAATCCTTAGTATTAGGCTTATTAGGCCTGTCAGTGCCAGCTCGTGCAAAATTATACATTTAAATGCCATGAAATTTTAAAAACGAATTCCGGCTCAGAGGTAATTACTTGGCCAGAACAGGGGTTGTAGCAAACGTAACAACGAAAGTAGGTCAAGACAGTGGCCAGTAAGGCGGGGATTCGACGAGTGCACCACAAGTCGTACAACGGCATGGCTACAGTAACAAAAATGTATTACTGATATAACAAGTTAAAGAAAGTTATTACAAAATCATAAATAAATGCAAAACATTTTTTTCACATTTTTCAATTCTAAATTGTTAAGTTGTTCAATGTCAAACCACTCTTTTAAAATGTATATTAACATTTTGATAATTATTGGTTCTGTGCAACATTTTTGTAAGCTGAATAGGATTAAATACTCTTAATGAATACTAATGTGTTCTTTCCGTTTAACAACAGTAACATCTGAAAACTTGAAAAATCCCCTTTTATTTCAAGAAGAACCTTACTAACTTATTCAACCAAATCTTTTGCTATTTTGCAAGTGTAATAATAAGACACTGCTTAGTGTCCGCTTTCCATTTTTTCCCCCAAGTCAGCAGTCACCTGGCCAAGCTTTGGGAACTGGGTCTGCAGTTGCTTAGTTGTCAAGGTTTTCCCTCGTTTTTTTTCTTTTTTTTTTTTGCACTTGCGACGGTGTGTGTGAGTTGAATGTTTTCTGAGCTCTTCTGCAAGGCGAAAAAATAGTTTTCAATGACATTTGAGTCATGGTGAAACTGAAATGTGTGTGTGTATGTGGTTTTGTTCAAGTGCCAGTCTACAGTCTTCGCCAAATTATATAACTTCAGCATGCCACCAATATCTATGCAAATAGCTCTACAGCCCAATACGTATTTATAGTTGTGCATGCCTATGTGTAAGTGTCTCTATGTGTATTTAAGTAAATCTTGTGTAAATAATACAATAGGCCACAGCAACAACAACTACAACCACAGCTACTACTACAACAACTAGTACAACTACAACAACAAGAACAACAAGTACAACGTAAAGCAAAAATGTAAAACCATAAATAGAGAATCCCCAAACAACAATAAACTGCAAACGAACTGCAGCAGCAGCAACAACAAAGAGCCGCTGCGAGCAGTGGCAAAAATCATAGCATACCGTCAGGCGCACGTTAACTTAACATGGGTAACTATGCCAAGTCGCACACACTCTAACAGCCAACCTATCATTTCTCTCTTTCTCTGTCTCTGTGTGTGTCTATGTACATATATTAACACATCTCTCAAGTCAATTAACTGTCGATCGATGTCTTTTACCTTGTGTTCTTTATAGCGCGCCTCAAAGCGAAAACAAACGATTTGCTTTGCCTTCGATCTTTTGCTCGTTTCGAAACAAAGACTTAACTCTTGCTCTCTCTATCTCTCTCTTTTTTTACATTATTTGTTTAACAACGTTTTGATACCAACAAAATAACAACGAAAAGGTAATTTATGCAAAAGAAGTTCAAAGCAGAAGCTACTGCATATATCATACAATATTCGTTGAGCACACACTTTCGCTGGGGTGGACCTCTTAACTTTGTAAAACAAATTAAAAACATCTGAAGTTCTTTGTAACTTGTAAGAAGCTTAAACTTGTAACAAGCCTTTGACTTTTCAACTTTCTGTTAACTTTCAATGGTCAGCAGATAGCATGGTGATAAAGAAAAACAAATTAATCATACGACCTGTGTTCCAATTAAATAACCAAATATAAAAGGCAATTGATAAGAATTTAAAACAAAGTGGTTTTTAAAATGACGGCTTACATAATTGGAATTGTCAAGAACTAAATTTTAAATCAATTTCTCCCTGTTTTTAACAACAATGTTATAATAAACAAGGCACGGAGCAATAATGAATACTAAATCGAATAAATGACTAAAATATAATTGTTCATCTGAGGTCCGCTCTAAGGCACACATACAAACACTTCGCATACTCTTGCACAACCACACAGTCGAGGCATACGTACATACATACATACATACGTGCTTACATATTACTCATGCTAAGCGCGCACAATTCTAATTTTGGCGGCCGCTTGTAATTAACATTTGCATTTTCCTAGGGCAAGGGCTTTTCCCCCCTTCGCTGGCATAAATTTCCATTATTTAGCCATGTCGCTCTTTTGGAGGCGTTCGACCCCATTTAACCCATTTATCCTTCCCCGGGCCATGCAAATTATGTATTTCAATTTTTGCTCTGTATTGTATTATTTTTCCGTTCCTGTGTAAAACATTTAAACTTTTCGATAATCGCTGTTTTATGACCCAGTACACCAACACCAACATCCATACATACATACATCTGTTGCATGTTGGCCCAGTTGTTGCTGTTGTCCTTCCTGGTTTTCCCACCTATTTCAACAATCATTTCACGCTCTGATGATTTTGCTAAACACACGCGTCTGCTGCTTGCTTTAACTCGTCTGCGTGTACGTGTTTGCCGTGTTTCCTGTTTTGGTTTATGGGTTCTGGTTTTTTTCCCTTTCTCGTTCTCTTTCAATTTCACCAACACCTCTTACATTTCGCCATCAAATTGTAATTACTGCGTCGCAGTTTATTTTACACTGGCTGAGCGGTTTATTTATGACGCCCGTCGCGTTTATGGCAATGCAAAGTGACACGAGCTGCTGTGTGGGCGGCTGGAAGGTTGAAGGGTTCTAGGACTTTGGACATGTGCACACACGTGTGCCAATTTCGAGAGGATCTGGAAATCCGAGCTCAAGTTAAGCGGCTGATAACGCAATATTTCTATCCGATGTGTCGGAAAAATGTGATAAATTGTGTAGTATACTTGTATACATTTAATCGAATTAAAAATCAACAAGAAAAACTTCGGATAGATACAACAAAAAGCTTTACAAAACAAAAAAAAACTGTATAAACATTTCGCCTTGTAAAATTCCATGCTTATTAGGTATCAAAAACATTTTCTCAAAAGTTTTAAAGTAAAGCCAAGGACGAACTCGGCTGTCACGAGCACAGATCCTTTATCAAACTTGTGTAGCTTCAAAAGCAGATGGAAAAATTGAGTAGAAAATACAAAAATAAAACCCTGGACACATTGTTCACTTAAGTTTTGAGAGCCGGGCTTATTGAAATTGACAGGCATTTACAGTCCTCCTGATGCAAATTGATTGGCTTTGCTTTGGCAAGACTTCGAGAAGACCCACGTGGCGTATGAGTAATGCTTTCGTCGGGTAATTCGCAAAATTTAATCAAAGTTAAATACAGGACATCTCGTCTCGAGATTGCGAAAACTGCAACAGCAGCAACAATAGCAAGTGTTCCTCGGGGAGCCATTATGTAAGCCATCAGAAGCAGCATTTATCCTTCGCAATTTTGCCTTATTTTCCTGTTTTCTTTTTACCCCTCGGCTTCCCTCGCCTTCGTTTGCATAATCATCAGCTGAAGTGCTTTTGTCTGGGACCGCGTGATAAAAGGGAATTGCAATCGCTAAGCCGATAATCATTGGGGTTAAGCATTGCAATAGTTTAATGAACCAGCGAGGATTAAATTTATCATCTAGATGGCCGTTGACTGGGGAATTCATTAGGAGCCTCACGCCCGAATTGACACTAATGGCTCAGAACGTGCCTGCGCATCCGCCAGTCCGCAAGTCCACAAGTCTCTGGCCAACTGCATAGGAGATTGGGCCAGAAGAAAGTGGCCACCGACACAGACACGGACTCTGCACTCTGAGGAGTGACCCCCTCTTTTGGGGTCATGCAATCCCGGGGGATAAATGCGGTTTAAGTACACAGCTTTGGCGGCTTTCACACAGCAGCTGAATGGGGACATGGGCATTACATAAAGTAAAGTAAATCTCTTTTGAACTGCTCAAAAGGTGGCCGAATTTAAGTTACGTCTTACCGCCGCGTACTAAAAATGTTTTAGGGCTGTACGCGGTTACAGCTTCACTGAGATAAAATACTTCAGAACCTTCTGCTTAGACTTCAAATATTAAATTCAAATTAAAAAGTTTTTAATGTAAAGATGACGCTTCATACATTTTTTATAATTTTTTGCTGGCTTGATCTACGATAGCTTGAACTTAAACTTCTAATATTTTTTCGTTTTCTTATTATCTTAATGTACTTTTTTTGTAGCTTAAACATTGCAACACAAGCAATTCATTTTTTCCATAACCTTGATCACATTTCTTCATTCTTTATTTAAGACATGTTTTCTTGTTTTCTTTGTGACCACCATTACCGTAAACTTGTGCTGCTCTCTCATATTTTGTTCACCTATATATAAATAGCCGTCAGGAGGCATATTCTTTCGGCTCATTAAACCAACTGTCATGCCTTGCGTGTTTTTATGGCCGAGTACACAAAGCAAACACACGAGCACTCCAACCCAACACAAAAAAAAGGCATAACGCACGTGATGCTGGCCAAAGTTTAGATTTGGTCAAGGCCCAAAAATGTGGGCTAACAATCGAGGCCTTGACACGCACGAGAACTAGACAAACACTCGCAGAATATCCATGTCCTTCGGCAGGCGCATTTAAAATAATTACACTCACTTGCATGCGATAGAGAAATGCTCCCCATTGTCGTTCGCACATAAATCTCTCATGAAAAATGCACTGGAAGTACTGACAAATATGAGCCCCCCGTGGCGGTCAGCTTATCCTCCGGCCATAAAGAATGTTTTTACGTCCGGCGCCTAATTGGTGCGAAGTCAGGAGAAGCCCATTACATAAGAGTCGGCGCAATTAGTATTTCATTAGTCTGAAGAGAGAGGCTTGAAGGCCGCGCTCCTTCCTCCAGGATATTCTCCAATTTGCGGAGGGTAAACAAAACGATGTTTGCCTAGCTTTAACTGTGGACAACAGCCATTTCCATCTGCCTCTTCATTATACAAATGCCCATCTTCGAAGAAGTAAACACTTTGGGCATTCCATACATACGTGAGTGAGCTCGTGTGTGTGAATTTGCATAAGCATGTAAATAAGCGATGGAAGGCAAAGGAAAATTCTCAGTAATCATGACGCCAAATACGGTTTAGATTGGCTAACTTAAACAGCCTCTAATCAAAATATAATATTAAGCCAACGAATCCAAGCCAAATGTTTAAAAAGATTGCTCTATTGTAAAGAAAGTTTTTATCAACAGAAAGTTTGACAAGGTATCTTAACCCTACATAAGTTGAAGTTTAATTTACTGAAGTACAACTGTAAATGTAATCCAAAGAATCTTTTGAGTGAGTGAATAATTTTTGCAAACAATTTTAGTGCCTACTTTGAGGCTCCATATTAATGGATTCTCCGAATACTTAAATGTCTGCCTCCAACGCAAACAATTGCACCAATTTCCTCGGGAATTCTTCAAAACGGAAATTTTATTCCCACACATTCCATTCCCTTTTTATGCCCAAGCACAAGCTTCAGTGGAGCCCGAGAAAAATCAGATTTTAGCTTTTAAATTTGACTCACGTTTCGCTTGAACAGCATCTGCTCGATAAGCTCGAAACACGCAAGGGAAGTAAAAAATAAAACGGAAATCAAATTATCAGCCATAAAGTGCGATTCTATATAGCTCGAAACAGAAGCATTGAGATTCAAAGCGATGAAAAATGAAGCAAAAGAATATATATCCCTTCGTGGGAAAAACTTAAACCTAAGCCAATCTTCGGAAAGCTGAACGCAATCTGAATTTATGTTGCCATCATAAAGCCAGGCCAAGACGTCATATTTTTTATTAACTTGACCTTCGGTGCTGAGTGTGTGTTGGTTAGTGAGGATGAAGAGGGGGAAGGGGGAGGGGGAAGGGGAAGGGGGAAGATTGAAGGGCAGGGAATGCCTGTCGGCAGATGTCTGCAGTCTAAATGGCGATAAAGTTGAGCTAGGAGGATGTTGTGCTCATGTCAGGGTGTCAACATCGCACAGAGGATCTCGCCAGCTAACTATGTTTTACTTGGAATGCCAGGACCCACATCGCCATTGCCATCGCCTGCACATCCTTACCCGCATCTCGCTTGTCAACTGAAATAAATGTCATGGTCAATTTAACACAAAGACAAACACCCACTCGTGGTTCGCTGTGTGTGTGCGTGTGTGGTTGTGTGTGTTTGTTGGCCGCTTTTCAATGGAGTGTTTTTCTGTTGTTTCGGCTTGGCTTTGGTTTTCGTTTTTTTTTTTTTGTCGCTTTCACTGACATCTTTCCTCACAAGGACGTGCCACAAATCGCAACTTACCACCAACGATTGCATGCCGCATTTTGGTCGCTCTCAAGTTAGTTCGTCCATCGACATCTCGCAATTCGCAATTCGCAACTCGCAACATTTGGATCAGAGCACTTGATTGATTAAGTGTCTTAGCTATACCAATATTTGAATATAAATATACATATATATATATATCTTTTGTATTCTTTCTTCTTCTCTCTTTTGCGCGCTCTTAAAAACGTAAATTGTGCCAACTACAAACTCTGTATATCTCTATTATATAATCGAATATCGAATATCTCTATATATGTAAAGTTTGCATACTGCACGGATATTGTAAGTGCTAAAGGATCCGGCAGCCAAGAGCCAGCGAATCCTATTTGAATAGACAACCATTTAATCCGCTCGCCGACCGAAAGTATGCTATATAAGATTTTTGCTTGACTTTTGCAGACGATGCACAGCCTAAAATGCGTTTTAGCCTCTCACCACCGCCGCAGAAAGCCATTAGCAGTTCCCGCCTAACCTCACCCACCAGCACCACCACCGCCGCCACCACCAACAGCAAAGTCAGCAGCAGCAACACCACCACAGCCCTCGGAACCGCCAGCTGCAACAATAGAAGCCCCGGCTGCACCACCACCACCATGCTGGCCCGCAATGGCGGAGGCCACGGGACCAGCCCCACCGCCTCCGCATCCTTCGGCCAGGCCCCCTCAGCCCCCTCTGCCGCCGTCGACGATGAGGCCACCTCGGATTACAATCAGTGGCTGCACGCGATGAAGCTGGTGGCCCGCCTGCCCGGAGGCACTCCGCCCGAGTTCCGACGCAAGGTGAGATTACTCCGGGCTTTGTGCTCTCGATTCGCCCACCTAAGGCCACAGGATACGGGGAAATATATCCACTATATTTACCATTAATTATTTAAAGCTTTGTAGCTAAATCAATTGTCCGCCAAGCAAAGAAGAAATGAATTCGAAATAATAGTTTTTAATTAAAACCATTAAGATTAAAGTGAGAATAATAAGTGAGTTCAGAGTAAATAAATACTCTGAAACTCTTTAAATACTCATAAATTTGAAGAAGTATCATTTATAGTAAACTCTTCAATATAATTGGGACACTCAGAAATAATTGGTCTTCATCTAATGAGGATTCACCTTCTACTTCAACCACTTAGCCTTATTTTTTAAGTGCTGGAACGCACTTCCATGTTCCTTGAGTCAATAACCCTTTCATTCGGTTAATTACCTTCCGTAGTTGTGGCTCTCGCTGGCGGACAAGTACCTCAAGTCGAAGAACGTGGATTGGGCGCAGCAGCGGGAGAAGTGCTTCTGCGAGGAGTGGCGCGAGGACGACGAGGAGCTGGGAATCCAAATCGTAAAGGTGAGCGCCAGTCACGGCCAAGCCGAAGCTCTATTTGCCCCCGCAGGGAATCATGAATGTCTCGCCCCCGTTTAGGATCTGCATCGCACTGGCTCCAATCTGTGCACCGGCCCCGCGGGCTCCATTAACCAGGCCAAGTTGAAGCGCATCCTGCTCGGCTATGCGCGCTACAACCCCGAGGTGGGCTATTGCCAGGTGAGTGCTCCTCAAAGGAACTTCTGTCTGCCGTTGCACTTGAGTAAGTTAACAAGCAAAAAAACAACGCACACCCCCTTCAGGGCTTCAACATGCTGGGCGCCCTCATCCTGCAGGTGATGGACAAGGAGGAGGAGGAGTCCATGAAGGTCATGATCTATCTGGTGGAGGGCGTCCTGCCCACGGGCTACTTCTACGGATCGATGGGCGGCCTGCAGGCGGACATGGGTGTCTTCCGGGAACTGATGCAGACCAGATTGCCTCGCCTGGCGAAGCACCTGCAGCGGTTGCAGGGACCCGTGGAGAACGCCTTCGAACCGCCGCTGACCAACGTCTTCACCATGCAGTGGTTCCTCACCATGTTCTGCACCTGCCTGCCCATGTCCTGCGTCCTGCGCGTCTGGGATCTGGTGCTCATCGAGGGCAGCGACGTCCTGCTGCGTACGGCTCTAGTCCTCTGGAGTTTGCTAGAAGAGTAAGTTCAGAATAAAAATAAATAAGCCACTACAAAATTATTATTTAAGACTACATATTTAATAATATATTTAAAAATTTAATTTCAATCAATTAATTTAAAATTTATCATAGGCCAAATGAAATCAGACGCATACAGCTTTTTCAGGTTTAGGTTAAAGTTTATATACATTTATTAAGTTATCAGTAGAAGACAATTGAAATTTTTTTAAGATTAAATACGTTTTATAACGTAATGAATTATGGGCAATTGTCAGCAAACCCTATTTTGGAAAATTGGAAAGGTGTTATATGATCTCACTAAAATTTCGTATTTCGAATAGCGAAAAGTTTGCTTGTGGAAACATACAATTTCAATTATCTTCGATTCCCCGACGAGATTTTACTGAGTGCAGAGCAAAGAAATGGGAAGCAATTTGAAATTGGTAGCAATTGAGCTTAATTTCGGTATTTTTTTAATTATAATTGAATGCGAAAGACGATTATGTCAATGTGCATCCACTTGTGTGCAAAGTGTTTGGGTTGCTTTTCGGTGGGTGGTTGGTTGGTTGGCCCCACAATAGCCGCAGTGTTACTCGTGAATTTGTGTCAAGGCTGCTGGAATTTTGGCAAGAGTTTTTCTTGCTTGCCAAATGCAATTTAGCAATTCCACTTGGTCTTTACCCACCAGGAATTTCATGTTCAGACGTTGTGGAACTTTTTATGGTTCTGTGGAAAACAAGTTTTGCAAATATCAACAACAAAAAACGGAAGCGAACGACATTGAACCAAGCGGAGTGTTAACTAGAAATGGTTTTAGGGGAGGTCAAGGTTAAAAATTGACTGGGGAAATTCAAAGGATAAACTTTGAGGAAGTTTTTTCATTTTAAAAGTTAAAACTTTTTAGGACTACGATTTGATTGCCTGCATTTTATTAACTTTTGTGTTGGTGGAAGGAAATAATTTTACTAAATATAATCCTTTTATTTTTTCAGACGTGTGCTAAGTGTTCGATCTGCTGATGAGTTCTATGGCAAGATGGGTTCCTACTCCAGTGAGCTGCTTAATGGACACCTAGTTGACTCCAATGGACTTATAGAGCGGGTGGTAAAACTAGGACCCATTGCGGATCTACGACAGCTAAGGGATAAGCACCTCTACAATATTGCTCCTTTGCGTCACAAACAGGGATTGCAGTGAGTAGTTATAAAATTCAATTAAATATATGATATAATATCCCCCCTTTTTTAAAGGCTCTACTACGACGAGGAGGACACCCATTCGGATGAGGAGCGCATTGCGGTGGCCACCGTTTTTGGATTGAATTGGGGCAGACGTGGATCTGTGGGTCCGACGGCGGCGGTGGGAAAACAGCAGGTGGAGCAGAAGGATCGTTTGGCACTGGATATATCCCTGCTGAAGAAGCAGTATGATCGGTTGAGGGAACGCCAGAAGCAGGCTCATGTCATCCTAACCACTGCTTGTTCCACGGCAGCTCGTCAAGGATCGAGTCCTGCGAGCAGTTCGCAATCCTCGGTGCCAGTTAATCAACTTCTACTCGGTCGTCCTGCCATCGTTACCAATAAGGGAAAACGAGTTGGAGCACCCTTGGGTGCTATTCCTCCTGCTAGAAAGCCATCTCTTCCTGCAGTTTTGCACACAAAACCAGCAAATGAAAAGCAACTGCGAAGAGGGGAAACTCTTCTCTGGAGGGACACCGATCCCAGCCGAAGACGTCGGGATAGTTTGACCTGGAAGGAGATCAAGGCGGATCGAGCTGCCATGATGCGCGAAGGTGTTGATGTGACCTCCATGAAGACCCAAAAGCTGCGCACTCGTTTTGGCAAAGTGATAGCTCCTCGTACAGCGAGGATAGCGATGGGGATCAGGATGTTGAAGCAGGAGGCGGATCTAGCACGGACACCAGTCTCTGCGATGATGATGATCCAAAGTCCTTGGAAAAGAGTCCCAAGCACAAGGCGAAACTTGCTCGAAAACTCAAGGAGCAAAAGCAGTTGAGTGGATCCAGGGATACTAGTTTGGAACGACAGAGACCCAAATCCTGGGCACCAAGTACCCACGAAATACCCTTTATGCTGATGGGAACCGATAGTGGTGATGAGAAGGAGCCAGCGGTTAAGGAGGAACCTGATACTGGAGATCTGGCAGAAGATAGTGCCACGGAAAGCGGTCGTTTTGGTTTCGAAAAGGATTTAGATTTGGTTAGCTATAAGCTAGAGCCACTTAAACTCCCAAGTGATACCGAATTTCCTGACCTGACTCCTGTAAGTCCTCTAGTTACTCCAAGAGAAAAAAGCGAAGCTGAAGAAGATTTAATAGAAGAGCCGAAACCTTTCGATGTCAGTGATAATGGGGTCACCAATCAGTATTTCGAGAGAGTTAATAGTGTGGAGCGACCCAATCGATTGGAGTTATCCTACTCCCTAAACGAAGAAGAAACCGACACTAATGCTATTTACCTAGAAGAAAGGGAAAAAGTTGATGGTCACAGTGGAGATCAGGAGTATAAATCTTTGCCCCCACTTTTCGCAAGAGAGGAGGATGATAGTGTACAGTTGGAAGGTAAAGTGCCTCAGATTCGGGACGACAACATTCCTGGTGAAAACAAGGACGACTACAAGGAACTGTTAAGCATGACGATAGAGGAAAATAAAGGCTATAAGCCACCACCCCCCACAGCCAGTAGTTTGAGTAACGCCAGTCGAAAGAGAAGAGATCCGCGAAGAAAAACTCTTACCCGCTCATCAACAATCGAAATCGAGGAACGATATCAGGCTCTGGAGCGAAGGATTAGCCAGGATCAACCGAATGCAGATAGGCAATCCAAGTATATTCCAAGTACTGCTGCTCTAGAGGAAAGATTTAATACGCTCGAAAAACAATTAAGTGCCGAAAAGCAACGGAAGGAACTGAGCGACATGGAAACTGATCAACCAGCTAAATCCGATCGAATTCCCTCCACTGCAGATCTCGAAACCCGCTTTAATTCGTTGACCAAACAAATGAGTTCCAGTGAATCCAGTTCAAAAGCTCCAATTGATCTTAAAGACGAGGAACCGCCGGGTGGCAGCAGTTCCAAGGAGCAAAAGGATAGCGAGAAAACCAGCAAGCTGCACAAATCCGAGGAGATTGAATCTAAAACCAAAGAAACTACTGAGAAAACCGAAACCAGCGATTCGAAAGAAAAAGAAAGCGAGGAAAAGGAAGCCGAGCAGCCACGCCTTAAGAAACTTCCATCAACTGCGGAGCTTGAAGATCGTTTTAATGCCTTGGAACGCAAGATGAGTGTTCAGAAGAGCAGTCCATCCAAAACCAAGAAGGAACCCCCTGATGAAGAGCCATCGAGTCAGGAAACCAAGACTGCAAAAGAGCCAGAAGAGTCCGAAAAGCCTAAGGATAGCCAGTCAAAAGATTCTTCAGTTACTGATCTGAAAAAACCTGAAACTAAGGAAAGTCCTGTATCACCAAAGAAAAACCAAGAAAAGGAAAAAGACTCAAAAACAATCGAGTCACCGAAGATTGAAGAAAAACCAGTTAAAGAGAGTGTGAAGTCAGCAGACAACATCCAAAAACTAGAGAAATCACCAACAAATAATAAACAACAAAGCATAAAGAAATCCGATTCGGAAAAAGATGGCCAAATAAAAGAAACGGATTTAGATAAAGTTGAAGCTTCCAAGAAGACGGTTTCCGAAACTGAGAAAACGAAACAGGAAAAAAGTGATGAAACCGGAACTAAATCAAAAGCCGAAGAGGTAAAATCCATAAAAAGAACAGCTGCAGAATCTAAAAATTCAGCAAAAAAATCTGATTCTGATGCCCAACCAACCACAAAAGAATCAGAGTCTGCAAGGACCCCAAAAAAATCACCGCCTTCCACAGAGGAACTGGAAAAGCGTTTCAATGCCCTGGAAAAACAGATGAGCACTACCAATTTGGAGACAACCAAAGAGGCTGAGCAAACAAAATCATCAACTAAAAATCAAAAAGATCCAGAAGAAAAACTACAAAAGTCTATGAAATCTTTCGATGACAAGATCAAAGAGGTAAACACAGCAATAGAAAAAGAACAAAATAAGGTTGAGAAGGAAGAAGCTCAGGTTAAGGTGAAAGTTACAGAAAAGAAATCTCCCCAAAAAAAGTTGAAGAATCCGAAAGAGCAGAAGAAGGTCACACAAAGGGCAAAAACCAAAGAAGAGCTTCCGAACCACCTTCCACTGAGGATCTGGAAAAGCGCTATGAAACCTTAAAGCGTCGCATGAGTAGCAAAAATCATTTCAGCGAAACAGTTGACGAAGCTCTCGAAAGGATTCAACAAGAGGTGATTTCGGAGGAGGAAAAGAAACCACCTCCATCGACGGAGGATCTGGAGAGTCGCTTTGAGGCACTGCATGGTGGTGAGAGGAAGAACCAACCGAAGCACGTGGACGTGGCCATCGAAGCACATATTCCGGATCCTCCGCCACCGCCTCCGCCACCGAAGGACCGTCCCGTCCTGGCCGAACCCGTTCTCCACCAGCAGCAGGCTCTGATCGAGGAGCTGCAGAGCAAGATGCGTGGCCAGTCACCCGGCGAGGAGAACCTCAAGCCCAGCGAGATGAACCCGCAGAGGAAACAGAGGCAGCTCCTCCAGCGACCCACAACGATGGGCGATGAGACCTCGGAAGCACCTGCAAACACGGCTTACTACAGAGCGGCAAACCATGAACCCTTTCAGCAGCGCATGGTGCGTCGGTTCTCTGATTTACCCTCCCGGGCCGATCTGGAGAACCGATTGCAGTTCCTGGAGAGGCAACTCTACAAGAAGTTCTACAAGCAGCGCTGTGCAAGTGATTCCGAAGTTGCATCGAAAGTCAAACTCCTGCCGCCCGACGAGCAGCCCAGCACATCCCGTCAGGCGTCGAAGGCCTTGGAGGCCGAGGGTCAGCTGGAGAAACGTGTCCTGGCGCTGGAAAAGCAGCTGAGCGAGAATAGCCTCAAGCTACTGGAGGCCATGAGGGAACGCCAGAGGGCAGCAGCTCCCCAAAGCGATGATAGTGGTTCTCCGAGGCGATTGAGCACCGAAACTATCGACGCCACTGGCAAGGAACTGGTTAGATACACCCAAAACATCGGTGAGCTGGAGGAGGTGGATGCCCACAAGCCCATCAACATCAGCATCAACATCAAAATGCTGCTCAACAAGGAGGGTGAGCCCAAACAGCCGAAAGGTGACCCCAAACCCACAACCGAAGATCTAACTCGTCGGTTGGAGCAATTGGAGCAGCAACTGCTGGAGGAGCGGGCCAAAAATGGCTCTATTCCTCATGAAAGTGAAGTTCTTGAGAAAAAACTAGAAAAATCAGAGGAAAGTGATGACTGCAAAAAGCAGGAAAAGAACTGCCACAATCAGCATGTGAAAACCGATGAGAAATTAGAAAAGCCTGCCGAGGAAAAAATTAAACCAGAGACGGCAAAGGAAACCAAAACCCTGGAAAACGAAGAAAAAGCTCAGGCTCGAGCTAAAGAGGTGGTTACAGAAAAGTCCGAGAAAACCAAAGCCGAAGAGAAAGTGGTATTTGCTGAAAAACCAGCCGAGGAGAAAGCTGTTGTAAAGCCCAAGTTTCCTGTTAAAGAAAAATCAGACGCTTTTAAAGATGAAGCCCCGAAAAAAACTGAAGCAATAAAAACTGAAGTTAAAAAAGAACCATCCTCTCAAACAAAATCCCAACTTGCTAAAAAGGAAGAAGCCCTAACAAAAAAACAAAAAGAACTAGAACCTTCCTCTCAAGAAAAACCTGTCAATCAAAAGGAACTTCAGCCCGAGTCCAAGAACGCTCCTTCCACAAATAAAAAGGAAACCACAAATGCTGAAACAATCAAATCAAAGGAAACCTCTTCAGCGGAAGTCACCACTAGCAAAGAATCAGCCAAACAACTGCCAGAAAATAAAGAAACTAGCAAAGACTCCAAATCGAAAGAACTGCCCGATAAAATGGTGATTAATGCCACCGATTTGGGACCAGTGGACCCGAATAGCAAAACTGTGGTTTTGCTAATGGACAACGAACCGAGAGCTTCGAAGGTTAGGAGGCTGACTAGAGCTAATACCGAGGAACTGGAGGATCTTTTCCAGGCGCTGGAGAAACAACTCAACGACCGTAACCTTATAAAATCCGAGGATGGTCGACTGATTCGAGTGGAAACCAAACCAAGTGCCGAGCAAGTTGAGCAGGCTCAGGCTATTTGTGATCTCACCAAGGAAATCGAAGATTTTACGACCGCCAAACCTGAGGAAAAAGAAAAAGCAAAGGAGGAAATAAAAGAGGTAAAACCAGAGCCTGAAGAACCCGAAGAAGATTACGATTGGGGACCCAACACGGTAAAACACCACCTGAAACGCAAAACCGTCTATCTTCCCTCCACCAAAGAGTTGGAATCTCGTTTCCGCTCTTTGGAACGCCAAATCAAATTGCTAGAGGATGTGGAAAAGATTGATGTGGAGCAGCGATTGAATGAGATTGAAAGAAAAATCAAACTGCAGTACTCACTTTCCCACGAAAAGGATTTGAACAAGTACTTGGAGCTGTGCGAAGGCAAAGGTCTGGATGATGAGGAAATATTGCCAGTGGAAACTCCTACAAAGGTAGAAGAAACTACTTCGGTTAGAGATCGCTCTCGAAGTCCTGGACGTAAGGTGGCCACCAAATCCCCTTATACTTCTCCGTCGCGGAAGGTTGCTACCAAATCTCCTTATACTTCTCCTTCGAGAAAGGATGCCACCAGATCGCCCTACAGTTCTCCCTCGAGGAAGTCGACCAAGTCACCTTATACATCGCCTTCCAGAAATCGACAGCGATCACCTTCTCCAACTCGCTCACCCGAAAGAAAATCCAAGCGAAGTCCCTACACTTCACCAGCTCGTCGTAAGCCACATCCCAATGATCTTCCCATCTCCGATGATCTGGAATACAAATATCGAGTACTCGATTTGGTAAGATCCAAGTCCAAGGAGAACCTTGCTAAGCGAATGAACGACCCAAACAGAAAGCCAGCCATTCATCCTCTCGAAATGATACTAAGCCCAAGTCCGGATGCGGATGCAATCCCCACAACAGGAGAACTGGAGCACAGGATACGAGTTCTGGATGGAAAGCTCAAGTCACCAGCTAAAACTCGATCTAAATCTCGCTCCCGATCGCCGACCATCGAAGATATAAAGCGTCAGAAGATGCGGGATGAGCAGAAGCCAAGGACTCCTGTGCACAATCTGGAGAGGATTGTCAGTTCTCTCGATCGCCCGGAACCACCCACTGCCGAGGAGCTCGAGGAGCGCATCCGCATCCTGGAGCAGGAACACAAGTTCGACTTCAAAACCCAGAAGGACTACAAGGCATTCAATCAAAAGCTCAGGGACGTCATCTCCCCTTCGCTCTCCTTCGAGGAATTCCGGGCAGCCAAGTCCAGGGAGCAGAGTCCCCGCCGCCATGGAGCCACAACGCCCAAGTCTGCCCTGCGTCGCGACGATTTCGATGAGGCGTACTCGAGTGGCGCCACCACCACCACCACCCACTACCGCCCCACCAGCCCCAAGGTGATCCGCTTTCGGGACGAGGACCTGGACGACGAGGACCAGTTCGAGGAGGCTCCCCGCCCGAAGTCGCGGCACAACAGCGATCGAATGGTGGGCACCACTCATGAAGTTTTGGACTGTTTAGCGGAGAACACTAAAATTCTTCAACGTATTCTTAAGAAGACTCTTGCAGATCAGCCGTCGGCCACTCGCAGCTACGCCAGCAGCTCGGAGGGTCTGGACGCCTTGGGAAGTCGTCTAATGAGGGTAAGCTAAAAATATATTAAATAAACAGAAATAAAATACTAATGATCAACAACTAATTTAATAATAAGAGTGGTTTTTAAAAGATTAAACCGAGAGAAATCCGTTAAATCTCTGTCAAATTGGGCAAATGCCTTTGATTGATTTTAGTTTGGTATTTTTCAAACCTACCTATTTAAAATATTTAAAACTGTGTTTTGAATTTTAACCAGGCAAAGATAAAGATTGTGAAATATGTAGCTTAATCTTCATTACGTATAAGTGATAAGCATTGCAGACTAATCATAAATATTTAAAAAAAAATATATTTTACTTTTAAGGAGACCTCTCCGATCACCCGAACTGGAACCCACACTGGAGTGCCGCTGCGAACAGGGGAGAACATCAACGACCGGCTGAGTTCGATCAAGAACTCGATCAAGTCCATCGACAGCCTGTGCGAGGAGAAGCCCTACCAGAAGGAGAAGTGCCAGCGGTACATCGACTCGCTCTTCTCGGACTCCCTGCACTTTGCCAGCAAGAAGAGCTCCCTGGAGGACCTCAGCCTGAGCAGGAGCCTGAGTCGCAGCGAGAGTCGGGGAAGGAGCATCCACCGATCCGGGGACTATGCGCCCTCCATCAGGATCACCTCGGAGCACCGATCCCTGGGCTCGGCGGAGTCGCGGAGGAGTCCGCTGGGCAACCGCGATACGAGTCCCCTGCACCACCGATCCACCAGGGAGGTGAGCAGGGAGCTGTCGCCGCGGAGGAGGCGACTCGAGGAGGAGGACGAGGAGCGTAAGGATCGGGAGAGCAGTAGGGTAAGACGTGATAACTTGTTGCCAAATTATTTTGCCGATAATCGTAGCGAACTAAGTAGCGGGAGTAGTTTAACCGGGTTTAACCACAAAGTAGATAGACAACTAGAAGAGACGTGCGCCAAGTATGCGGACGATGCCCGACGCTCGGCCTGTCGCACACCGCTGAGCCACCCGTACGAGTCCCGCTCGTCAGCCACGACAGCCACACGACCCAGCCAAAACAGCCTCAGCCACAGCTACACAGCCACAGATCCTGTCCAGATCCAGGCAGCCGCGGGATCCGGTTCCACCACCGATTTGTTCCCCCGGCCAGTGTCTCCCTATCGCCAGCCCTACGATCCCTATAACCGAACCCCCGGACAGGGTGGCACGCCCCCTATCAGCCCGCCAAGCTGGAGATCCGACACACCACCGTCACCTCGACCTTCTACGATCGCTTCCTCACCGAGAAGCAAATCGAGCGGCAGACCCACTCCCGTCCGCCAAGCCGTTCGCCGGTGGTTTCGCCCTCGGTACCGGCGAAGAGCTATGGGGACTTGTGCAGCACCACCACCACCTCAGCCACATCGAGCACCACCGCTTTTGGCACCGCCGCCACCACCTCCTCCTCCTCCTCCTCATTCATGTCGAGCAGTTATGCCGGCACCTCGTTCTCACTGCCCTCGAGCAGTAACTACTCCTATTTGAACCCGGCTACGGGTGCTTCACCCCGAGCAAGTTGCTCAGATCTTCGCTTCACGGCAACCACCACAGCCATTACCTCCTCCACAGCCACCACCACCTCCACCACAACCACCACATCATCCTATGTGCCCTACAATTTCAGCAGCTCGTTCACCTCTCGATTGGGCGAACCCATTACCACTTGTCCGGCGAGTGGAGTGACCACCACCACCACCAGTTCGCTCACCCATTCCACAGGGGTCTACAATCCCATGATGTCGTTCACTCTGAGGGAACCGCTGGCCAGCAGTTCCCTGGGTTCCAGCTCAAGTGCCTCCACATTGCTACCTTTTCAGTTCAACAGAACTTTCACTTCCAACTTTGACAAGGAGCATAACAATAAGTAAGGAAGTGGAGGGGGAAGTCACATCAATCGTTAACCAAAGGTTGTCCATAAACATTAAAACAGACCCCTTAACAAAACAAACAATTAAACTACAGTACTCGAACAAATCAAGCTCAAAACTAATCATACTGAGAGAAAAATCAGTCTAAAAACAAAGTCTATTAGAATTTAAGAGCGATAGTGGAAATTTTAATTTATTAAGATTACTCTTAAAGAATAAAAGATCTAAATTACATGTTGAACCTAATGTTCAGAATTAATCAGCCCTAAATTAATAATTATTAAATTATGAATTATAACTAAACTTAATGTATTATATTCCCTTAAAAAATATTTTCTTGGTTTTAGATCGATTTTTATCTCAGTAAACCTAACACTTGCTAAGCAATATAAATATAGAAAATATTATAAACAGTTTTAGGCAAAAGTAAACCCAACTACAAACTATAAAATTATGTATCTCTATGAATATATATACAAACCTTGCAAATCGGATATTTACTCTTCAAGCAACTATGCACCAAACCATTTTGGCTTCTTGCAACTTACCTCATCTACATTTACAGCACCAGCAACTCAACTGATCATAACTTAGCAAAGATTTTTATACAACATATATATCTACGTATATACAAAGAGTATAGCTATTGAAACTGTAACCAAGTGCGAAGAGGGCAAATGTTATTCCATCTTTTTTCAGCGTTAACTAAAGTTTAGCTCTAATTCCTTTAACCAAAACACTCAATTAAACTTAAACTTTTCCTTAATATTAACTAATCAATTTACACAGATACCCGAAAAAAAAACAAAACAAACACGTTGAAGCGGTGTAAATCTCTCAGTGCATTTTTGGGCCGAGTTAGTCGAGGTTGCTAAACTTAATGATTAATCAAATTACGTTAACTGACTGACACGAGCCGTAAAATTAGTTTACCAACATTGTTAAATATACACGCAGCCATATATATGTACCTATACCAATTGAACGATATATTATATAGGTATTGTATTTAATTACATACCGATTGCAGTTGTTGAATTTCAATTATGCAAAAGACACGATAAAGATAACGAATAAGCAAGTAAACCCGAATGCAAATGGCTATAGAAACAATTATCACTCGCGGCAAAGGAGCCGAAAGTTAATCAAAACGATTAGGAAACTTTTGTGACGAGTATTTCGATACGAAATCGGCAAGAACCCAAGAAATTACCAATGGCAATTGTTAAGTAGGCAAAAGACGAAAACGGCTTCAGTTTATATACGCATAAATTTAATATTGATTAATGTTCTTGTGAATTTTGTTCCCCTCGTTTTGTTGTGATGCTTTTCATGTTATTAATACCACTTTTGTAAACCATTTTTGTTGTTGTTTGTAGTTTCTCTAAGAAAAACCACAAACTAACGAATTGGTAAAAGAAAATAATAGTGAAAATATTTTTATTACAAATTGTTGAAGAGTTTTAAGTTTTGAAATAAAAAGAAAATATTTAAAATAACACTTGAGTGTTTATATTTATGGCATTTCTGAGGGTTAAACATTTCCATTAATCGCAGGGAGAGCCGCTGATAAGCTGAGAAGATCGGAACCCGGTCTTATCAACCGAAATGTGGGAATCTTTCCAGCCAGCCAGTTTCCAAATCAGTCATCGATTGAAATCCGCGTGGCGTGGACGTGCCTTAGTTAATTCGCTTGAAGCATGCAACGATTTTTGGGAAGGAACAGTCGAAGCCTGCTGCTGAGATGTGGGCATCGCTATCTGGCCACCACTCCTGTAGAGGAGGTGCTATTCCCCACCAAATCGGATTTCCCCAGCCGCCACATTGGACCCCGCAAGACGGATGTGGTGGCCATGCTGGATACTTTGGGTTTCAAGGTAGGAAGGTCCTTCAAAGCTTTATGTACATATTACTTACATGAAACTTCAGCCTTTAATTTAAATCAAATTGATAAAAAGTGATGGAGGTATATTTAATAATTTAATCTCAATTTTAATGTGTAAATACTATAATTTGTAATATTTTATATTGAAAAGTTATAAATTGCTACCACATTTTAGTCCCTGGCTGAGCTGACGGAAAAAGCCGTACCCCAGAGCATTCAACTGAAGAGGGAACTCGACCTGGACAAACCCCTGAGTAAGTAACGCTGTTTTCCGATCCCAAAATAGCTGAAAAAATAGGCGTTAAGGCAACGGACCCCCTGGCGTGTTCGCAGGCACTGATAAGCCCGGTTCAATGGGGTCTTCAAGTTATCTCTGTTTTGACTGCCTCCGCTGATCTTCGATTCTCATCTCCGTCTGGCTGACAACAACTTTCCCCTCTGTCCCGCAGACGAACATGAGCTAATCCGTCGCATCCGCGACATATCTCTGAAGAATCAGCTGTGGCGCTCCTACATCGGAATGGGTTACCACAACTGCCATGTGCCGCACACGATTATCCGCAATATGTTTGAGAATCCGGGATGGACCACACAATACACACCCTACCAGCCGGAAATTGCCCAGGGTCGCTTGGAATCGCTGCTGAACTACCAGACTCTGGTTTCCGATCTCACCGGCTTGGATGTGGCCAATGCCTCGCTCCTGGACGAGGGAACCGCTGCAGCGGAGGCCATGTGCCTGGCCACGAGGCACAACAAGCGGAAGAAGCTCTACCTCTCGAACAGGGTGCATCCACAGACTTTGTCGGTGGTCAAGACGAGGGCCGAAGCCTTGGAGCTGGAAATCGTGGTGGGACCCATCGAACAGGCCGATCTGCCCAGTCGCGAGTTGGCTGGTATTCTTTTACAATATCCAGATACCTACGGTGATGTCAAGGACTTCGAGGATATTGCTGCTTTGGCAAAGAAAAATGGGGTAGGTTATTAAAATGGATCTTCAAGTTTTTTTACAAGTTAAATACAAGATTATAGAAAATGTTTTATAGATAACACAATTTACTTTATTTTTAATAAAATTTTTTTTTATTTGTAATATTTTCTATATAATTTCGATCAGTTTGTTTAATTAAACATTTAATATATTTTCCCTATTTTTTATTTATAGACTCTCGTGGTAGTGGCAACCGATTTGTTATCTCTGACCCTTCTGCGACCTCCGGCAGAATTTGGAGCTGATATTGCCGTGGGTACCTCGCAGCGTTTGGGAGTTCCTTTGGGATATGGAGGTCCCCATGCTGGATTCTTCGCCTGCAAGCAGAGTCTGGTGCGTCTGATGCCCGGAAGGATGATCGGTGTCACCCGAGACATGGATGGAAACGATGCCTATCGACTGGCTTTGCAAACGAGAGAACAGCACATCCGCAGGGACAAGGCCACGAGCAATATTTGTACTGCCCAAGCTCTTTTGGCCAACATGTCTGCTATGTACGCTATTTACCACGGACCCGAGGGCCTAAAAGCCATGGCCAATCGCATCCACCACTTTGCTTTAACTCTGCAAACAGGACTCTTGGGAGCAGGACACGAAGTGATCAATAAGAACTTCTTTGACACGCTGCACATCAAACTGAGTGGAAGTCAGTCACTTGAAGATCTTAAAGAGCGTGCCGAACACAAACGCATTAATCTCCGATATATGGAAGATGGAACAGTGGGCGTGGCTTTGGATGAAACAGTCAGCGTGGCCGATGTGGATGATCTCCTGTGGGTTTTCAAGGCGGAGGCAACTGTGGAGTACATTCTGGCGCGACGTGATGTTCTTAAGAACGCCATTGAAAACTCTAAGTTCCTGCGTACGTCTCCTTTCCTACAGCATCCCATTTTCCAGAGTTATCATAGGTGAGAAACTATAAAAAATATAAGAATTTTCGTATTATAAAAACTGATATCTAAAGTTCCAAAAAAATATTAAAAACAATTTTATTTTATTCCACAGCGAATCCCGCATGGTGCGCTACATGAAAAAGCTGGAGAACAAGGACATTTCACTTGTGCACTCAATGATTCCTCTAGGATCCTGCACCATGAAACTAAACTCCACCACCGAAATGATGCCATGTTCCTTCCGCCACTTTACGGACATCCATCCCTTTGCTCCCGTTGAACAAGCTCAGGGTTTCCACCAGATGTTCAATGAACTAGAACGTGACTTGTGCGAGATTACTGGATACGACAGAATCTCATTCCAGCCGAATTCAGGAGCCCAGGGAGAGTACGCCGGACTGAGAGCCATCAGGAGTTACCATGAGCACCGAAACGAGGGACACAGGAATATCTGCCTGATTCCCATCTCAGCTCACGGAACGAATCCTGCCTCCGCTCAGATGGCGGGAATGAAGGTGGAACCGATTAGGATACTGTCGAATGGTTCCATCGACATGGCCCATTTGAGAGCAAAGGCAGAGGAGCATGCTCGTGAATTATCCTGCCTGATGATTACCTATCCTTCCACAATGGGAGTTTTCGAGGAAACAGTGGCTGATATCTGCACTCTGATCCACAAACACGGAGGTCAGGTTTACCTGGATGGAGCAAACATGAATGCCCAAGTCGGTTTGTGCCGACCAGGAGATTATGGCAGTGATGTTTCGCATCTCAATCTGCACAAGACCTTCTGCATTCCTCATGGAGGAGGTGGTCCTGGAATGGGTCCCATTGGTGTGAAGGCCCACTTGGCTCCTTATCTGCCAGGACATCCTGTGGTTAGTCCTTTAAGCAGCGAGGAGCACAGTTTTGGTGTAGTTTCCGCAGCTCCCTTCGGCAGCTCTGCCATCCTGCCGATTTCCTGGTCATACATTAAACTCATGGGCAGTCGGGGATTGAAGAGAGCCACCCAAGTGGCCATCCTGAATGCTAACTACATGTCCAAGAGATTGGAGCAGCACTACAAGACGCTCTACAAGGCACCCAACTCCCAGTTGGTTGCCCATGAGTTTATTTTGGATATTCGCGATTTGAAAAAGACTGCCAATATCGAGGCGGTGGATGTGGCCAAGCGACTAATGGATTATGGATTCCATGCTCCAACGATGTCTTGGCCTGTGGCTGGAACGCTGATGATTGAGCCCACAGAATCCGAGGATAAGGAGGAGTTGGATCGGTTCTGCGATGCCATGATCTCCATTCGAGAGGAGATCGCCGAGATCGAAGCGGGTCGCATGGACAAGGCAGTGAATCCTTTGAAGATGTCTCCCCACACTCAAGCTCAAGTCATCTCGGATAAGTGGGATCGGCCTTACACTCGTGAGCAGGCTGCCTTCCCAGCTGTAAGTTAAAAAATATTCTTAAAATTAATTCGTTTAATTTACCTTTCTCTGCTTACAGATCTTTGTGAAACCAGATGCCAAGATTTGGCCTACTGTCGGCAGGATCGATGATGCCTATGGCGACAAACATCTCGTTTGCACCTGTCCCCCCATTTTGCCTGATTTATAAGACACTTTAGCTCTAAGACAAACTTAGTAACCTTTGTTGATTTTTTATTTTTAATAAAACCAAATATAGTAATTTTTATATTTGCCGTGATTTTATTTATTTTTATGAAGAACTTCTTCTTAAATAAATCCTAAATAAAAATTTTCTAAATGCGGCATTGTCTAAAAGGAAGATACACTTATAAATGTATCGTGTTTTCCTAGCAAATTTTCTTACAAGGGTAAATATAAATGTTATAGAACTTACACTTCGAGCCTTTACGGATATTTGAGTCATTTTTCTTTTGTTATGTACAGTAAAAAACTAAAGTAATTAAAATATACTACTTATTTACATTTAGTTTTCTTAGCTTTTGATTCTACTTTTGTATCTTTCACATGTTTTCTGTACCGTTTGTGGAAGGTATTTACATTATCTGTGGGTATCGTCCACTCAAATAGATTATTTTGCTTTGTAGGATCAGATAACTCCGAGTATTCACCGATCTCGACACCCAATAACTTACAAACCTTAGCTAAAACAACATCCACATAACTGGATATAATTAAATTCGCCTTTTTGTCATGTTTTGTGGGCTGCAGATTACAAATAACAAATTTACCACCGCGTTTAAGGTTTTTCAAAGGAAGATCGCCACTGGGAACAATTTGTAGAGTGGTTCCAAGGGCAATATTCAAATCAGCGATTGTGGAGTGCATCACACCCATTTCGAGATCATTTTCAGGAAGATCATGTTCCCAATCCAATACGTTATCGTATAGGATTCCTGATCTGCAGCTGCGTCCTTTGGTATTTATGGAAGATTTACAAGGTCGTTTTAGGGATTTTTGTCCTACAGTTTCCACAGCAGTTGAGCTCACGAATTGGCGCCTGCATTTCTTGCATTGCTCGATGTAAATATTGCCATGCAACTCCGAGAGGTATTTCCTATTTAGTCCCGATTTTAAGTGCAATCCATCTATATTCTGGGAGACAACATACTGCACATAGCCACTTTCTATTAAAGATATAATTGCCATGTGGGTCTTGGTGGGTTTGGCCTCATCGAAGGAGACGTTAAAGTCCGGCTTCTCGCCCTTCTCCTCCAGCGTCCAAACGCCTTTGGGTCCCCGGAAATCGGGAATACCAGCAGAGGTGCTAATGCCAGCTCCTGTGTGAAGGACTACATGTCCCGACTTCTTGATTAAATCAGCAAGCTCCTGGCACTTTTGGGCAACAACTTCCTCGCTGTCGAAACTCTCGGGAGCTCCAAGGATTCCCTTGTCGTCGTATGCTGATAATCCATCCGCGTAATTGCAGCTCATAATTCGTTTTATTAAAGATGATCTTTAAAAACCATGAAAATTGCACTTCAGCATAAATTTGTTTATATTTTCTGCGGCATGAAGTTCCACCGAGATTCTATTGTTTATAATATGACCATTTTATAAATGCTATAAGATACCATCTAGAGCAAACAAATTTTCAGAACAACATTGTACCTCAAAATTGGTTTTTCTATTTATTAGTTTTGAAAATGTATACATCAATTGTGTTTTTGTAATTTTAAAAAATGTGTCAAGCAAAAAGTTTAGAGCTAGATCTTTATTGGAACATTATAAATATTTACGACTTGTTTGTAAAAGTCAAACTTGTCTGGTCAGTGTAGTGTATCGATAAGCACACAAAGATTTTCCTCTCACACGGTCACACTATACCCGCGCGCCTATCGAAACAAAGTGTGCTTCTATTTTCCAATTCGCATCTGCCGGCAAATAAAAAACAAATTTCGCCCAGGGCAACACGACTGCTTGTTTGATCGTTACAACGCTTGAGTTCACATCTCCCGCTGTCGAAGAGCGTCTGCAACCGGAAACGCAGTAAAGGAACCAACAGCAAGGACTCAGATTTCGGGGCAACATGAAGATCGAGGAAGTCAAAAGCACTGTGCGCACTCAGCGCATTGCAGCCCACAGCCACGTGAAGGGACTGGGTCTGGACGAGATCGGGGCTGCGGTGCACAGTGCAGCTGGTTTGGTGGGTCAGAAGGCAGCGCGCGAGGCAGCCGGCATTGTGGTGGATTTGATCAAATCGAAGAAGATGGCTGGAAGAGCACTTTTGCTGGCCGGTCCTCCTGGCACTGGAAAGACCGCCATTGCCCTGGCTATCGCCCAGGAGCTGGGCAACAAGGTACCCTTCTGCCCAATGGTTGGCTCAGAGGTCTTTAGCAATGAGATCAAGAAGACCGAGGTGCTGATGGAGAACTTCCGTCGTTCCATTGGCCTTCGCATCCGCGAGACCAAGGAGGTTTACGAGGGCGAGGTCACCGAACTCACTCCCGTGGAGACCGAGAACCCCATGGGCGGCTATGGCAAGACCATCAGCAATGTGGTCATCGGTTTAAAGACCGCCAAGGGCACCAAGCAACTGAAGCTGGATCCCAGCATCTTCGATGCCCTGCAAAAGGAGAAGGTGGAGGTGGGCGATGTCATCTACATTGAAGCCAACAGCGGAGCCGTTAAGCGCCAGGGACGCAGCGACACTTTTGCCACCGAATTCGATCTGGAGACCGAGGAGTATGTGCCTCTGCCCAAGGGCGATGTCCACAAGAAGAAGGAGGTCGTCCAGGACGTCACCTTGCACGATCTGGATGTGGCCAATGCTCGTCCGCAGGGCGGCCAGGATGTGCTCTCCATGATGGGGCAGCTCATGAAGCCCAAGAAGACCGAAATTACCGGTGGGTTTTGGAATTTCATTTGCTTGTAAACAAAGTATCTTATGCATTCTTTTGATTCCTAGACAAACTGCGCTTGGAGATCAACAAAGTAGTGAACAAATACATTGACCAGGGCATAGCAGAGCTGGTTCCCGGAGTCCTCTTCATAGACGAAATCCACATGCTTGATCTGGAGACCTTCACCTATCTACACAAGTCGCTGGAATCTCCCATCGCTCCAATTGTGATCTTTGCCACCAATCGCGGACGCTGTGTGATTCGGTAAGAACAATTATAGAACTTCTCAATTACATTAGAGATATTTGGTTGTTATGGAAACATTTCAGTATTATTGATTTAATAAACTTATTTCTCCATATAAAAACAAGCCTAGTTGTATAGATAAGTTATTTAAAATTATTAAAATGAATAAATTAGTTGTACTATGCGTTTCTCTTAGTGCTCCTGTTTTTTATTAGTTTACACTATTATTTACTATTACTTTACTATAATTTATTTTTTAGTGGCACCACTGATATTGTATCGCCGCACGGCATTCCACTGGATCTGCTCGATCGCCTGCTGATCATCCGCACACTGCTCTACTCCACCGCCGACATGGAGCAGATCATCAAGCTGCGCGCCCAGACCGAGGGTCTCCAGCTGGAGGAGAACGCCTTTACTCGCCTCAGCGAGATCGGAACCAGCTCCACGCTGCGCTACGCTGTTCAGCTTTTGACTCCAGCCCACCAGATGTGCAAGGTTAATGGACGCACCCAGATCAGCAAGGACGACATCGAGGACGTGCACTCGCTCTTCCTCGACGCCAAGCGCTCCTCGAAGCATCTGTCCGAGAAGAACAATAAGTTTATGTTGTAAGTTCGCCGATTCCAGCACAATTGTAATACCATTTGAACAGATTTCCCAGTAAATGAAATATAAGCAATTCGATGCTAATTTTTAGATGGGTCAAAAAAATATTAAAAAGCGCGCTTAAGCGTTTGCTAACATCGATACCGTTAAGCAAGTTTTTAATTCAACACTAATTTAGTGTGTACACACTCTGTAATTTACTTACATGTAAGTTACTTTACATGTGAAAAACATCTGATATAAGTGTTTATTATATTCCTTTGATAATAAGTGGTATAGAGTTTTTAAACGAGTGGTTGAACTCAAATAACGTTTATCTGGAATTAATTTTTTTGCGCGTTGAAAATAGGAAGTACGGTCAAGTTAAATCGAATGAAATGATAAATATGGTTACCCAAGGTTCTGAGATATGGTAACTCTCTAGTTCGCTACCTAGTATTTGCATCACCAGCTGTTTTTGCCCATAGAAGCTGTAAAACCGTTCGGGTCCAGTCCATAATCGAGAGCGTCGCTGCCTCGGGTTCTTTCAAGAAATTTACTCATTTGGGAAAACGTTGTCCTCCGTTTACCTGTTTGAGAAACGTTGTTGCATGTAAAGTTTCTGTTCACCAGGTGGCGAACTTGACTAACGTTCAATGATAACGACCGATGGTGGGTTTATTGACTAAGGCCTCCTTTAACCACACGCGCCGCATAAGGGTTAAACAACACTCTTTCACTCGCACTTGTGTAGAGCGCAATAATGGACTGACAGATCCGAGGAGACTACGCTATACTTATTCTACCATGGTTTGGCCAAGAATTCAGTTCAGTTACTCGCGTCGAGCTGAAAAATTAGCCACGGAGCTCCGCTAAATTGCAGTAAATACTATATCTAACGATTTCGATTGCTTCGCGGCGTGGGCGTCTGCTTCTTCCCCCTCGCGTCTCGTATTTTCCGTTTCACTCTAACAACGCCGGCAGTTGCACTTGGTCTGTGTTTGTGTGCGTCAGCGCGTGTGTGTGAGGTTTTCTGAAAGAATGTGAAATCATAATAAAGTCGCGAATTGTTGTTGCTATTGGTCGTAATTAGCCATTATTAACACACATGTGTGTGTTTCAAGCTTATTTGTGTGTGAACAAAATCAAGGATACCGCTTTAGCTTAAATAAATGCAGTCCTGATGGCAGGATCAAGGTAAAATGGAAACATTTGGGATCTATTGTATGAATGAACCAATGTTGAAGAAGAAGAAGCCCCAGCAGCAACAACAAAACGGCAGCTAGGAGAGCGAAAGAGAGCGAAGGCAAACAAACGAAAACACAACAAAAAAAGAACAAAAGGTAAGTGCGTGTGTGCGTGAGTGTGTGTGCTGGAGGCCGCACCTCCCAATCAGAGAATTAGCCATGTGTGGGTGCCTGTTACACTTTTTTGTACTTATTTTTTGGCATTAACTGTTATTATTATTTAAGTAGCACGAACGCGGGAATTACATAATTTTGGTGTCTCTTTTTTGGGTCTTTTTCGTGTCTCTCTTTTGGGGTCCCAAAGGGAAAGCGAAAGTGTTCTTTTTGGAATGCCGCTTGTGTTTGTTTTATTTATGAATGGTGATTATGAGACTTAATAATTAATTGCCAGCATACGTTGTGATTTAATTTTTGTGCGTTAACCAGTTGCGCGACTCGCTGTCTCTGTCGCACCCACATATGGTCATAAATCAAATAAGAAATTCACACCAGAAAAAAGCGACAAACAAAAGAGACGAAGCGATGAACTCCCTCGCTCTGATCAGAACAGAAAGAAGCAGCAACAGTATTTGCAGCTGCGCCGCACGATCATTTCGCATTTTTTTCCCCACTGAGCCATTTTTAATGCGAAAATCTTGCGGGCGAAAATTGTCCGCCGCAGTTGGCCAAAAAGCATAAACAACACATTTTTATGGGACGCCGGTGGCGGCGCATGCACACCGAAAGAAAAACCTAGGTTCTTATATGATGTGATGAACAAAATTAAGAACCTTTTTACTTATTTCAAGCATTTTCGTTTTACATTTAAAAATGATTTCAATTAAGTTCATAGCTTTAACTTATAATTAATCATACATCAAATAATATAATTTTGCCAGACATTTCGAAATTATTTTCTGTGCAGCAGATTCGCCCACGATCCAATTTTTGTCTCTCTTTCCCTCTCTGGGGATCTCTCTTTATTCGCAATCGTTGCCAAATTTCATTTCACGCCCGCTGTTTTTGGCCCTACACTGTGAAAGATCCGTTAACTCGTTCGTGTCTGATTGGAATTTATGTAATTTGGTCGTACAGCGAAGTCTCGACAGAGTGAACCATTATAAACCGAACTGCCTATTTTTGTTAATTTAACTTAATTTGTTGTATCCTTAAAAATGTGTGACAAATTAACATGCTTTCGCAATAAAATATTACCATAACAAAGTTATTTTTTTTGTAAAAAAAGTTAAGGTAGAAGAGAGCTTACTTATATACAAATATTTCAGTTCCGCTGCGTCTTATTTCAAAAATCTTTTAGCCCGGCAAAAAAGGCCAATACACATACAAAATACAACAGAAAAATGACTTGAGCGTGGCGGTGTTGACGTTAATGAACTACAACAACAATTATGTTCGTTGTACTCGGCGGCAACAACGGTCAATATAGCAACAACTACATTTCACCGCAGTTCCTTTGTTGTTTTTGCGCTTTTGCTTTTGGTTAAGTTTTTTTTTGGTCGGCCTTTGGCCATAAGGCGAATTTATGCTTGTCCATTTGCTTGCAATTAGTTTCATGAAGTCAACTGCGCGCTAAAATATAGTTATTGTTGTCGTTGGTGTGGTTGTTGTTGTTATGCCAGTTATTGTTGCTCTCCGAGTTTTTCCTTTACTACGCTAAGCTACTTAACGTCACAGCCGCTGCTCGTAGTTATTTATTGTCCGCTGCTGCCGCTGCTGCGTCGACATTTTTGCATTGCACAGTAAATATGTACCACTAATACAGTAAAAATTCTCTAAGGAAATCTAAAAATCGAAATTAGTAGAGCGTCTTAAGACTAGATAATCCGTTAGATTTTCTCGGCTTACCTTTTATCACTTTGCAATGTTTAGTTTTTCTAGACTCTAAATAATTTATTAGGAAAGATTTTTGTAATGTAAGCTTACATCAATTTGTTGCAGTTATTAACATTGTCGTAAAATGTAAATTACTTATACGCCACGTAACCAATAGCAAGTTTGTATAACTAAACATATTTTCAATGGTTAAAAAACGTAAATAGGTCGATCGTATTTGACGAAACATTTTTCAATGACTCCATGTCTAGAGAGTTCTGTAAAGACTCAAGATGCAATTTCACCTTTTAGAAGTTGTTCTGTATTTTCCATTTCTGCTTTATGCTGTGCTGCAATTGTTTGCCCTTCGCAAGGTTGTTCCCACTGTGCGTGGGCGGGCAGAGGGGGTGCGGATATTGTGGCAGTGGCAGCGGTTTTCTAAAAAACATTTTGTTGGGTTGCCAAACAAAAGCAACAGCTGCGTTCGCGTTCTGCTTTGGCCGCCTCGCTTTTGGGCCTTTGTGAATGTGCAGCAAACAGCCTTGTAAGCGCCACCCACACAAAGAGGCGGACCACACAAAAAATTGTATGGTGAGCGAGGCAAAGACTCCAACACAGTCTAGCATCCATCCATCCATCCATCAGTGTGTGTGTGTGTGTGTGAGCCAACTATGACGTGAGCAGCAGCTGTCAAAGTCGCCCACGCCTCAAGTCGCGCTTTAAAAGCGTCATGTGCTCAGCTGAGCGCGTTTCGCTCTCTCTTTCCCCCTCTCGCACTGTCGCGCTCTTTCAGTCCGAAGCTTTGTGCACGTGTTCGTCGAGATTTTCAGCTCCTTTCAGTTTTCAAGCCAGCGTGAAATTTCTTTTAACTTGGAACTACCCTAACTTTAAATTATTGTGCCACAACAAGCTGAGTAAGAACATCCCTGATTAAAACATCCCTCAATTTATATTTACTGTGGCTCTCTGAGAATCTTAGGCTAAATGTTTTTCGCACCATAAATATTGGCCATGAATTTGATCAACAACCCCATTTATTTATTCTGCCAAATTGAGCGCCATAGAAATCTCTAGAGGTTGGCAACTGCACAAAAAACACAAGTCGCCTTTCATCATTGATCGAAGATATCTAATCTACGATATCTATCAAAGAGAATCATGTCTTAAATTAAGAAAGTCATTTCATAAAAATATGTTCCAAATAAAGTTATTTGAGAAATTTTCAAGTGTAATCGTACAATTGTAATTGTGTTTATGCAGACAAACATAAAATCGGATATTTTGTAAAAGGTCAAAGTCGTTTTTATCTTATCAAAGTTTACCAAAATGTGGGCAAAATTGTGCCTCAGTTTCAATTAAAATTGCATAAAAGATTCATGTTACCTGCAACCAACTGTTTCATTCAAGTTGAATTTTTCACCAAATTCATTTCGACCATGCACTTTGTGTCACAGAATTTCTACCGTATTTGCATTTGTATTCGTTTCATTGCACTTTGGGTCTTCGGTTCGGGCCACATACTGCACCACAACAAGCCATGGCATAATAAACTTTGCCATTTGTGCCTCATCTTCTGCCTCCGCCTCTGTCTGGGTCTTCTTCTTTTTGCTTTTTTCTAACCTTGTGCCAATAAAATTGAGAAAACAACCCAAGATGTGCACCGCACACAAAATGAAAAACTTGAATTGTTTCTAACACAATTTTCTTCTGGCCGCCTTCCTATTGTTTGCCCAAAGTGTGCGTGGGGATGGAGGAAAGACGGTGAAAGTGGGGAAAAGGGGCAAAATTGAGTGTGTCGAGCGGCACTTAATTTCTTTCTAGTTATTTTGGCTAGACAACTCGGTTACGGCTCAGCTGCGTCGCTTGGTGGCGCCACTGCGCAGCACTTTTCTAATTAATCTCTCATTTTATATTATCTATCCACCTATTAAACTATCAGTTGGCGCAGCTCTGATCAACACCTTCAATTTTAAAGTGTGAGTGGGCCGCGCCAGGTGAGTGGGCCCGTTAAAAGCGCCGCGGTGACTCAACTCAGCTCAAAAACGCTCTGCTCTTTTCATTCTCTGCGCACACAAAAAGCCTACAGTTGATCACCAGCAGAGACACTGAGAAAAAAAGAGTCTTTCGTACTTCTTCAGTTTGAAGCATTTCAAAAAGTTCCAGAAAACACTGGGATGATAAATTTTCCTCAAATGACAAAGTTTCTTTCAATTTAAAAAACCCATAAAACACTACCTCCTACACTAACTAAGAATTAGTCAGCATATATAAACAGCTGTTATGGGTTGGGTCCGATTCAAAACAGAAGTAATTAAGCTTTAAAGGGAAGTGCAATACAAATTATTCGGTTTTCTTGTTTTGAAAACAGTCTTAAGTCTTTAAATCGATTTTTCCAGTGCAGTAAATTGACTTTTGCTCATATGTGCGAACATTTGTACGTGCCGATAAGGTGGTGTAAATATTTGCAAACAATCGAGCAGCTCACCTGGACTCGCACATAATGTACCGGTCGCTTTTAACTTCTCCACTGTTTTCCATCCCCCCCACACTTTCTCGGTTTTCGCCGTGTCATTTACTCGCCAAAGTTTTCGTTGGTTGTGTTTTTTTTTTATATGTTGTCGTCGTTGTTTGAGTGGTGGGGCTGCCTAAAAGTCTGCGCTTATCAACGAATTTTCAGTGGGGCGTGCGGGCGACTCAATTTACTTATTGCCGCACCTTAACCGCTGAGGCAACAAATGCAGAAACAAGAGGTGAGAAAGAAGAGCGCCCTGGCAGAAAGCGAAAAAATGCATGATTCATGCGCTTGGTATTTTGCTTTGCTGCGGAGGTGTGCACTGAAAAAATGATTGGGTTTCTTATATGATAATAAAAACAGAAGCATGACATATAAAATGAGTAATATGCATATTATTAAATTATAAAAAGTTACGGTTTTCAATCTAATCAGTATATTTCAGTGAAAAGTTGTATGGGTTTTTCTTTTTTTGTTGGGTATAGCAATGGGCGGTGGTCGGTAAGTGAGTGGGGAAAACTGGTGTGGGTGGTTGGGTGTTGTGTTTGGGGAGCTTTCGGTTTTGCCGGCTGCTTGCTTGTTAATTTTAATTGATTTTAATTTGATTTGCTTAAAGTGAATTTTGTTTGGCCAACGCCAACGTTTTTTAGACATTGCTCCTTCTTCTCCCCCGCCTCCTTCTCTTAGCTTTTTGCTCCCTCTGCTCTTCAAATAAATTATATTTCTGAGCACATATATTGGGCTGAGGAATGGGATGCGAACTAGCTGACCC